TTTTAGGGTCGATGAACGAGTCCATTGACTGGAACATGGCTGAAATATATGAAAAGCTTGAAGTGCACCAAGTCGGGCGAGCGGCGTAGCCAAGTTCGGCAGATGATTTTCAACCCTAGCGTTTTAGTTTAGGATGATAGACACAACGGCAGCAGGCTCGAAATCTTGCAAGTGATGAGATGAAGCAGCATTGGAGGCCAACAAGGGGTAGCCAAACAAAGCGGATGCTTCGCTCTCAGGCTCAGCCCCTAACCGCTGACCTCCTCGACAGTCTCGGAATGGCATCAAGTGGCTCGTGAAATATAACGCGTCCTCGCATAGCTCCTCAAGAAACTGCGCCCCATTGAAGCCCTCTTCAACCAGCTCAATTCGGCGACCAACCGGATCTTCCGGAAATCCCCAGGCTGCAATCATGAGAGGCGCTGCAAATCCTTCATAGTATGGGTTTTGGCCAGCCCTGGCAAAGGCTCCATCTTCTCGCGGGGTTCCGAGATGGAGCGTCTCGCGCATGAGGCGGGTGGCGCTGCGCTGGAGGGGCAGAGTCAAGCATTGGAATATATTTATGGCCCGGCGGAGCGACATCTGGATACTTCGTAGTACACTCCCTGAGATTGCAGTGCAAGCAGGAGGGGAGGGGACATCCGAGTCTGTGCTGGGTCGGCTCCTGCGTGCAGAATGATGCCGCAAATGTGTGGGAGCGAGTCTACAAGCGCCGCAGCAATGATTGCTTCAACCGCACCGGCACCTCGACCTATTACAAAAATTTGTATTTGCGGAGACCGCATCGACCTGAGTGACTGTGCTGGCGATGGTTTGCCTAAAGGAGACCCTGAAGTGCAAAGTTCTTTTTTTTTGTAACAAGATTCCGAGAACATGGGGTATCGACGATTTATGTAAAGGCTATGATCATACTCAGGCTATAGCTATGAGTTCAAAGTATGCGGGCGATCATCATTGCAATTAGTACTCCATGGAGTTAAAGTAAGTGTCCGCATCTTGAAAGGAAGTCAAAATTTGCCGCGGTTGGTGATAATAAGACCTGCGCTGCTTACAAGTAACATTTTTTGATTTCGCCCGAGGGAGGCCTGTCTTCTGGTGCTGAATTCTCTCAGCTGTGCGGGCCCGCTTGGCTAATGGAGGTCGGTCTGCGCTAAATTCTCTGACCAAATCAACTGGGACGTTATACTGGTCAAGCAGCCGCAAGTAAGGAGTGGCTGAAACTTACAAGCATTGCATTGAATTTGGCTGGAACGGCGGCGGATTGAGTATTCATCGCCATCCCAGAGGAAGTTATCAACCATGCTAGCTACAGGTTCGATTTTTTGTGCAGCAGCCACCAACAGCGGCAAATTTGAGAGGACCATCTGGACTTCCCTCCTAAATTTGGTGGGAGTGCAGTCAGGAGCGCCTCTGACTTTTTCATCGAAACCTTGAAGCTTCATGTTGAGCAAGGCAGCAAGTTGCTGGGCGAAGAAATGATAGTATAAGTCGTTGGGGCCATCGATGGAAAGTCCGGAGTCATCGACGACTTCAAAGTTCGAAAAAAAGTAGTGAAGAAGTTCGCGACTTTTTGCGCGGGCATCATTATATTGCAAGCGCAAAAACAGAGAGAGGCCTGGGCTAGCTGGCAAGTCCGAATCTTCACTGGAGAGGTTCGTTTCAACTCTGTAAGTCTGGTAATCGACGACATTTAGTAATTCCATCGCGTTTGCCAGAGTGAAGATAGTTAAAATGTCTTGAAAAGATTCTAGATTCGGAATATGTTGGAGCAGGAAATCTGCATGAAAAGAATGTCAGGCTGGCAGGGGGAAGGAGATAGATAATAAGGCACCTACTGCTTGCCTCTTGATGAAGAACAAAGTGTCGGTGCCAAAGATACATAATGCGAATTAATAGTAGTCGGGATGGATCGTGGTTTGTATTTGTGATTAGCCCTCCTAGTGCCCAAGTGCGGTATAGACCAATGACCGACTCAGTCAGCGTACTCATGCAATAAAAGTGGCCGCCCCTGCAGATGGACGGCTTAGGAGTCGCGACCCAGTGTGGCGTTTGAGGCCGCATGCGCCTTACCAATGCTATTAATATGAATGGTAAATTTTGAAAGAAAAAGATTCATACAGTTGCATTCCAGGCGTTAGCAATATCGCTTCAATATGCCACATCTCCAGGTTGGGCTGCTCCATGCACCAGTTGTCGAAGGAATATAGATAGATGTACCCTGTTTGCCGGAAATGGTCGTCTTTCTTGGGCCGGGCGACAAACCAATATTTTGCGCCTACAAGTACGTTGATGAAGGTGCCAAAGCCATCGGAGTCAATGTGGCCATAGTGTAAAGCGCCGTGGGTGGCAACCAAACCCCAACGAAGGTCGCGAGATGGTAGCGGTGCTGCGTGTGCATTGCAGAAAGGGAGGCGCTCTGTCGCAATCCATGCATGAAGGTCTGTAGACAGGGCATCTGGCGAAAGATCGCTTGTGGGCAAGGGAAAGTCCAAAGCATTCAGAATGCGCCCATTGTCGTTTGGACCTGCAGAACCTTTGGCAAAGACCTGTTTCAATGTTCCTTGCCGAATGCGCAGGCTATAATCGCCGTTTTTGGCCTTGATACTTTGGTCTGCAAAAATCAGTTAGTTTTCGAATCAGTCGCCTTTCCCGAATTACCTTGTATATCGATGACTGCGTCCATGTGCGCAAGTCTAGATAGCGAATCCTCATTCCAATGGGGATTTCGAACAGGATGGCCAGTGGTTACAATGTTTTTTGTTGCAAAGAGTCTGAGGGCCTCAGCATCATCTAAATTTTCAAATTCTTCAGCCGTCATGATCGCAAAACTTGATGCGCCAGGGAGTGACAAATGGCGCGGAAAACCGTCCACATAATCATCAGCCACTGCTTTCATCAAGCGGTCGAAGTGGTTGACATCGATCTGATGCTGCAATAGTGTTAGGGGAGGAAAGCAAGGTTTGGCGATGGTTCTTACATGGAATTCTGGCGTATATGTGAGAAAGTCGTCCTTGCTGCAGCCATACAAACGTTAATCTTTTGCACCAGCACATTTCTGAAAGGGAGTGGATGAGCAGCAATACATAATGATCTTTCTGACCCACACTTCGAATATGTTTTAAGTTCAATGTGCTTGCCGGGGGCAGCGCCTGTTCGACAATTGTCAAAAACATTTTGGGCAGAAGGCAAAGACTTACCATGGCAGCATCTAGGTCAATGGATCCTGAGGGACTTTCAATGTTTGTGCAAGGATCCTCATCGTGAGTGAACTTCCTTTTGCCAGAATACGACGGTGAGCAAAGAGGTGCGGGGGGAAACCCGAAGCTATCTGGGCGCGGCGCATCAGCTGGGTTTTTTCCTCTTGTTCTCCGCGGGGGTCTTGATCTGCGCATCAGGGAGCCTGGATTCAGCCGACTTTTGGAATTGGCGTGGAATTTGTTGCCATCAAGAGGTTTTCGCTGCAAGTTTTCTCCTTCAAGCACCTCACCGCCCGAATCCGAGTTTGTATTTGAGTCTGAATCCTCCTCGCTGGATGATAAATGATCGCTTGAATCGGAGCCAAGATCGGTTAGGTCACTTTCTTCTGGATTTTTCAAATCGGTTTGAATAGCCTCGCCTGCTGATTGCGCATGATTTTCAATGTTAGGGGATGTGCCTCCTCCATTTCTTGTGTTGGACGCCCTTTGAGGAAAGAGGTCCTGATTTTCATCTGAACCAATGGTGCCCATGCCCGCAAGAGGGCACGCACTCCCTTCAGCCAGCTGGTTTTGGCCTAGCCCAGCCAGAGCCGCTGGTGAGCCGGCATTGGCGCCCAAGGCAGAAGCGGAAGAACCTGCTGCCATTAGGAAAGAACTATTCAATGCAGCTGCAATATTTGCTGCCAAAGCCTCTGTTTCGCTTGAGCTATCCCCATCAACGTCCATGCCTGCTTTGGCGGGGGTCTCGCTAACATTTGTTTTCTGCATGATTTGAAATGCCGGGCACCCGGATTCTGATTCTCTGCCTTCTGGTAAAGCACCAGACTGATTGGGCATAGGTTGTTCAAGTTCAGGGAAAAGTGGCCCATTGTCGCTTGGAGTGGCTAACGCCGGATTGTCTTTAAGAGCAGCAGGCGAGCCTGGTGCGGCAGCGTTTGATTTCATCGCATTAGTTGAAGGGGCTTCGCCTTCAGAGGAAATGGCGGGCGGCAAGATTTCTAGAGGCCACCCTTCGGGAATAGGGCCTTCAAGGTCAATGCAATATAAATTATCGTCTGCCTGTGCATCGCCTGCAGGGTCTGAGGCTGAACACTGCCCTTGAGAAAAAGATGTCGTAATGAAGTGAAAAAAGCGAGTACCTGGAGCGAACCAGTTGCGAACTTCACAAGTAGCTTGCTCTACAACATCCCAAGGCGCTGCAGATATGAATTGGCCGAGGGCGGCCCAAGCTGTTGTTTTACCTTCGGCGACAGCCACGAGCGCCTTCCAAAGCAGCTTCTCCACTTGAAGCAGCGCAGGCGGTTTTTGATTTCCTAGGGCCTTTCCGGTCTGGCAGCGCAGTTAGAAGCCCAAATATCCAATGAATGAAGTAGAATAAGCACCAGAAATAAGGTAAGCCTTTTGATGCTGCCAGTGTTATACCACGCTTTTGTCGTCAGCAACGCTACTGGGGATACAAAAGTACATATATCAAGGCAGAAGAGCAGTGAAGGCGCTTCTTTGAAAACGGCGCCAATGACGTCCATCTCGTTTTTGCTAATATCAAGGAGTCGCGGCCTGAGAAGGTGTCAAACTTTGCAGACCCTGAAGATCAAGTGTGGTTGCCGCACCTCAAAAAGTTCATAATGTCTCTATCTTCTTCATGGTTTTGGCTCGTGGGATCGCCGCCTTGATTTGAGCCATTAACGACATGGAAGTAGCCCTGCGGCGCTAAGTTAACGAAAATTGAAAAGGGTATAGACTGATACGCACATGCCAAACCATTCGAAGGCACAACGCAGCAGCCTCAACATTCGCAACTGAGGCATGGACACTTGCCTTCGATATGTTGGTGGACAGCGACTGCAGCAAGCTAAGTTCGACGAGCGTCCTGCTGGGCGAGCTTGGCGGCTCGGATTGGGCGAGCGTCTGCTGATACCTTTTTTTGAATTGATGAAGTAGTCTGACCCAATCGTGCAGCGGTGCCCATCCCTGCGACAAATTTTGAGAAAGCATGCAGTGGAAAAGAAGAGCAGCTGACTCTGAGTTTGTGCGTGAAAATAGGGCGGCGGCGGTGCTTGGGAACTTCGCTGGATTCGCCGTCGCTGGCAGCGCTAACCATTTTGTCCAGAATCATGTACTGCAGCATCAAATTGAGAAATAGGCCCTGTCTTTCTAGAGCTGGAAAATGCGCTTTAGCAGCTTGCAAGGTTATAGTACGTCCCATGCGGCCAATTTGCTCTTCTTCTTTCCCGACCAATAGGCACCGCTTCAGAGCTTTCAACTTTGGTGTGAGCTTTTTGGCAGTAAGAAGGATTTGCTCTGTATCCTCAAGAGCCGAGATGAATGGCTCCTAGATTAGGAGCCGTTAGTGCTAAGCGCAGGGCTTGCAGGACGATATAGACGTACCATACTGCCGACATCCGCCAACAGCTGCTTTAACTCTTTCTCCGCAACGAGTCGGCCATTTTCCCAAGGCATGCTCAGCAGGAACCGACTTTGGCTTCGCAGAGTGCCACTTTCCGACAACAAGGCAGACATTTGCGATTGGCAGGGAAGCCGAATTCTTTAGGGCTCGGTAGGCAAAATAAAATTTGGGACTGAAAGGGGGTAGACTCCGAGAGGCTCGTCCGACTGTCAGGGAAACGTTGGACTGTGACGGTAGGCGTCGAACTAATACATACAAAAACACGTGACTACTGCCATATAAATTATGTATTATACTATTAAAATTTGTAACAAGCTTGTTACGTAAGCGCGGCGCCAAAATTTTGAAGACAAACTTGAATATTCGTAGCATAAATGGTGCGCCATTTGCTGGAGGGATACGCATGCAATTAAAAGATTCTATCTCTTTCAACGCCCTGGAGTCCATGTTTGGACTTGGATTCAGCGATCCCTGATCTTTGTTTCCTCTCCTCCAGGCTATCTCCTGCATATCTCCTGCATTCGCGGTCAATTTTGAAGGAAACTCTCCTCCCTCTAGATCTGCGCCGCTCAGCCAACGACTTTCTCCGACCCCAAGAGTATTAGGAGGCACGGTCCCATTTGGGAATTGAGGGCCATATGCATACTAATAAGGATAAGGGTGCAGGTGGCAGGTGGGCGTGGGTTGACGACCTTCGTCATGGCGGCAAGAGGGGGGCGCATGGCGCCCGCGCCTGGTCCGCTTACCAGGGTCTGCATAATTATAAATTGTGCCCGCGAATCTGGTATGGGTGAAAACACATTAGAGGGTTGAGCATGAGGGTCGGGGGCGGGCACATAGGTAGCGGATATAGGCAAAACTGGGAAGGAAAAGAACCCAGATGCGATTTCGAATGGCGGCCGTCTCGAGAACAGAGTTGGAGCCGGAGGCTGGTGGCGACCACCTGGATGCTGATTTTGACTGCCCTTTTTGGCCAGAATACTGGGCATCCCTACGTTTGACCTCGGAACCTGAAACAAGGCATGAGGAAGAAGAAAATTCCAAGAAAATAATGCGCACCAGAAGGGGGGGCTCAGAGCCTAACTTGTCCGCTAGCTTGTGATAGGGAGCTCTCTATGCTGCTCGCTTGGCTTGAATTTGAAGCCTTTGGAATACGGAGGCGTTTGGGACGCCCGCAAAAGCTCTTTGGGATTTCCGCTGCCACTTGTTGGGACCGCGCGGTCTGCTTTGCCTTCCTTCGCAGCTGGCTAGAGGGACGCCAGCGACCCCGAGGGTTACTTCATATGATGGCGAGGAAGCGGACGAAGACGTGTCAGGGGGAGAGGGGAATGGGGAAATGGGCAGGACGGCAAGCCTGGTGATCCACCTTGGGACCATTCTTCATTTGTGGTTGGTGTCTCCAGCTCCGGCGATGATCTCAATAACTGGGAGGTGGACCAAACGAGCATCGCCTGTTCATCGCCATCCTCGAAAGATGCCAGGTTGGCTTCTCCACGATGCCAATTAATCTTCGGGTGCAGCGGTCTGCGAGCTGCGACCAAACATCGAGTAAGCGCAAAGACGATGCCTCGCACGAAGATCAAGAAGTGACTCGAGAGCAGATTTCGCTGGGGATGGCGACTGGACCGAAGACTGCCATGAAATTGGCAGAAAACGCTGCTTCTTGAGAGGCGGGGCAGAGCTGGTGGGTCTGCATGGTTGTGAGAAGAAGGCCCGGACTAGAGGGGGGGACGCGGATGGAGTAATAACTTGTTGTGGCGCCGGCTGGAAAATATCGCCCACTTTCCAACATATTCATCGAATCGGCCATCCGGATCGATGATTCTTTTCAATGATACACAACGCCTTCTCACTAAAGGCAGCTGAGTCGCAGACGCCGTTCATCAAATACAATTCAGGCAGCTGCGGCTCAACTTTCCACGGTAAAGAAAAGGGTAGGCGAATTGGAAGCATGCCTGGCTCAAACGAGGGAGGGGGGCGCTGGACTTTTGGTGGGGGGAAAAGGATATGCTTTGAAAGCTCCAACCCGCTGAGAATCCCAGGAGGTGGAGCTGCTAAAGCGGAAACATACTTTCAGGAGCCTCCGAAGAAGCTCACGATACACAGGTACCATAGGACTGATGATAGGTGCATCAGATGGAGTGGTTATTGGGAGCAGCAACCCCAGTTGGCGGATCCGCCAGCGGCTCAAAGATCTTCCACCTGTAATCAAGAAGTTCGCAATGTACATTGCTATGTGCGCACCCACAGCCGCCATCTTGAAGATGTATTCCGGCATGAAGTCCGTCCGGCGGTGGGCCACGAGAGCGTTGATAAAAGCCTCAAATACAACTGCATCGACAAGTGCTGGGCCGTATTAGGGTATTGGTACAAAACTTCAATGGCCTTATCGAGGTCCTTCTGAACACAACGATACGCGTTGATCAGTGAGCCAAAGTGCTGACCAAGGATTTGCACTCGTAGATCATCGCAAAATTGTTTGAAAACGCCTTCCCTCGCTGGGATGCCTACTGATTCAGGCGTGCCATATGTGCCGATGAGTAGCTGAGGAAAACGTTAGCATGAAGCAAGATGCACCAAGGAGTGTGCCAACCTTGTACGCGTGAGCTGCTGGGGAAACAACTGCCCAGAGAAGTTCATTGCGGTGAAAGTAGTTCGGGCCTCCAGGCGCCGGGCACCGGCAGCCTTGAAAGACTGTCCCTCTGGCTCCCACCTGGCAAGAACGCCCCAACCCCGCAGCAGCGCCAAAGCAAACACCCGCGTAGGGACTCGGCAAAACCAGAGTGCCTATTGCGCGGTGCTGAAGCATTCGCGACTTGGCAGTCACTGGAAATGCTGGCAGTGGTTGTGTTTGTACTGGCTTGCACAAACAAGCCACGAAACTGAAACTTCATTCTTGAGTTCAAAGTTGTGCCTTGTTTGCCTCCACCAAGTCGTCCGAATCGGCTGATACAGCGCTTGGAGCGCAAGTTTTGCTTGCAGCAATTACCATATATAAGTTGCAATTTTTCTCGATTGGGACCTAGGCATTCAAAAAGCAGAAAATTGCATCATTGTATATTGAAATTGACAGTGTATTTGAGCTATTCAATCATCCTGGGCTTCAGCGAGTATGCGCGCATCAGCAGGCGAGCCAGCTTCTTAACATCACTCGAAAACCGCGAGATCTGCATGACTAACGTGTAGCGGTCAAACATTATCCCATGCATGGTTGCTGCACTGAAGGGAGGGAATGCAGCAACCTCTGGATCTTCGCATGTCACCCGCAAAATAGCAGCTAGCAGCTAAAAGGGATAGTATCAGTGCTCCAAAATCCAGACTAGGCAATATTAGAGGCCTCACCTCTGTCGCAACATAGGAGATTAATACAGCGGGAGTCTCTTGGGTGGCAGTCGCTTTCCTGAAGAAGGCGGCTACACTCGGAGGCAAACGTGGATCACAAGGAAGAGGTTGCGATAGCAACACGCCCCGGTTCATGAGATAATGAACTACGATGAATAGAAGTGGGTGCGCAAAAGGACAGCCTGTTTTAGGCTAGAGCATGCCAGGTAAAAATGGGGGGCAATGGGCTGCATCACAAATTACTTACCGACACCATAGTCTTCTCTGCTGCTTCCAAAGTCACAGCTGGCACAATGCCAGCTGCAAGGTTGGCGATGGAGAGTTGGAATGTATTTTCAATAAATTCCACTGGAGAGTCGCGGTTGCGCACCAGGTAGGCCCTCACAATGAAGCGAATGATGATGCGAATATTTCGCCCGATTTCGCTTTGCATGGCTACCAATGGTTTTAGAAAAGGATCTTGTCCCAGGGGCAGCATGGGCGATGCATCGTTCCACCTGACTGCTAGCCAGTGGGAGAAAGAAGAGCCGGCACATCAGCTGAATAAATATTTCAAAAATGTGATCGCTTACCTGTCTCAGCCTCAGGGAGCGAAAAAGCCTCGCAGACGTTGTCCCATGCTCTTCGCAGCTGGAGTTCAACTCGAGGCTTAAGATTTTTTTGCGATGGCATATCCTGCAAATCGGCATCGTGCAAGAATTGGCCACAAAGGACCTCACATTGCACTGCAATCTGGCAGGCGCTCAAGCATATGGCAAGTTTGGGCGCCCACCGGGGGTAGAATGTAGTTATCTAAAAGCCAGTAGTCGGATATAATTGAAAATGGTGATTAAATATTTGGAACTCACAGGTGGCAGGTCATCTGCGAGGCGTCCCAGCCAGGCCGACCATTGCCCGAAGGTAACAGCGGCTGGAAGTGGCTCAAGTAAAAATGTGTTTGGGCGGCCGATCGGGACGAAGAGCAAGTGCTGCCAAAGATGATATGTTTCATCAAGAAAGACTTCATCGCGAAGCAAAATTTTGCTTTGAGAGGTGTACTGCCCAACATCGTTAGCTCAAGTTACAGACAAAAAATAATAACGACGAACTATGACCCTCCGTTTGTCCGAGCTGAGCATTAAGCCACTATGAACAAAATATTCTTCTAGATGCGGCTGAAAATGTATTTATCAATGCTCTGAGGCTGCTTTTGTATTGAGCTCTCACAAGGATGTATCTTACGATTGATGTGAAGTGAACATTGATGAACAGATATACATCTGTGTTGGTTCTTTGCGCTCCCTCTTCGTGCATTTTTGCAACGGGACATAAATGCTGATAGAGAATAAAATAAGGCGCTGTTTAGCACAAAAACTAGTGCCCAATAATAAATGAACTTACGTTCATGAGCGACTTAGGCTGCAATTCGATCGTGTTGGTTAGCACCTGGCAGGAGTGTAAACATACGCACCGCATAAAGAGGAAATATACCAGTAAGATCTGCAAGATATCCTCGGAAGTCCTCAACGGCGACGGAGCGGTTGGCTAGAGCATATGCCTCAATCCCATGTGGCAATGGGAATGAGCTCTCTGGAATCAGCTCCTATGAAAGACATCAGCTCGCGCCTCTAACAAGCGCAGCAGCCTACCCAAACCGGCACTATTTGCAGCGTAATGGGCTGGTACTTGAGACCCACGAGGCATCTCGTAAGCTTTTCTGGGGACTAAGTTTGCAACAAGAAAAAAGATGATTAGCACCAGCACTTCCAGGTTATTATACGGATTGATACTTACCGTTGATTGGGCTCCTGAGGGTGAGGGCAGCAAAGGCTGCAAGGCGGGTTGATTCAAGGCGACTGGAGGTGGGGCATGCTCGGTAGCCAACGAGTATGTGAAGCCTGAGGCTGATGCAGGCGGATCGGTTGGCAGGGGCCCGGAGTGAGTCCCCTGCTGTGCTGGCGCCTCTGTAATACTTGCCATAAATCGAATGAAAGCTTCTTCAACATCGCTGCTAACAGCTTCCATCGGCATCAGAGTGTTGAGGTCGGAGGTGTCGAAAAAGGACCATGGTATATCTGACATACTGTTAGTCGTGAGTTTCTGATAAGAGAGATGTAGCAAAATCCTTTTGATATCTATTTAAACATGCCTTGCGGCAATCTTAATCAAGTAGCAACATTGCGATGGAGATAAAATGCTCACAGACTGCTGCAACCCTTCTGGCTATCGACACCATCCTCAGAACAATCGAACGGCGATCGAGGAAATTTGGCAGGTGCGCTTCAACAGTCATGCACGAATTCGAATCTTAGATGAAACGAAGATCGCCGAAGGCGCGTGATGATTCAGATCTTGGGGCCGAGTATCCGATTGGTTTTTGCAACTTTAATTGGTGAGAAGCAGGCAGCAGCGGATCCGAGTCCGGCGCAAGAGTAATAATGACTCAAGCTCGAAAGGATGCGAGGAGGACCCCTGGCACTGGTAAGGTTGCACAGAGTAACGGAAGGGGGAATGAATATATCAAGGTGTTGCCGAGGGGTCCGACCAGCCTTGCAAGACTCGAGGGTTATAAATTTGCTAACGAGTACTTTTTCGATACTTACTGTACTGGATGCTTATTGTGCACCGATTAATTCTTTTTGCTATGTTAAGAATGACTGGGGTGAAATTAGTCTCCTTCAGTACAATCAAGAGATTCGGTAAATTGAGTACAGGGTAGAATACAAAAATCTTCAGTTACTTATTCTAACAATAATACGCTCTTCTGCTCATATCCGCGAATAGGCGAAATAAAGGCTGTTCTATTGCAGAATGTACATAAGTATACATATGCCGCTTGTAAAACCAATGTTCTCCTCACAGCAGCCTACCCATCCCCCAATGGATGTGGGCATGACGAGAGACGGCGTCAAGGCCACGGTCACCAATATCCACCTGTGTCGATCGTAGGCCTAATCTGGGTGGGTCAATGCGGGCCAAGGTAGGGGTACCTGCTTCTCTGTATGCGAGTCGACAATGGACGCGACAGAGTCCAGAACGGAGGGAACGGACTGCTCCGATTATTCAGTCAACTTTTGGGCGGGATACGCTATGGGGGTTAGGCAGGAGATGAGGGAGAGTAGGCAGAGAGGGAATGTAGGTGGATCAATGAATATCACCCATGAAGATGAGTGTTCGTGGTAATCGCGCCAAACTGGGAGTAAAGATGCACACACCGGCGGCTACACATCACCTCGTCGTGTTTTCAACAGAGCGGCAGCAGGTGTAGCAGAAGCCTGGGAAAAGAAACAAGAGGACCAGGTAATCTAAGACCCGGGCGCAACTCAATTCGAATATCTCTTAACCTTTCGAGTCCTGTGAACATGTAAAATTCCCATGAGGCACACACTGATGAGGATACACAGTGCAAAATGTATCAGATGGAGTGTTGAACGACCAAAAGGTGCATAGACTTAATGTGACGTTGAGAAGCTTCGCCTAGGCTGGAGCATGTGAAGGGACAGTGGTCGGACAGGGAGAGTGGTGATGGGTGGGAAGATTGAGAGTCACGACAGGAAAGTCCGCGACATCTCCATGCTTCCCTGTTCCCAACTCCCACCGCCTTTCACCGAACCTCCGCCTAACTCCCTGCACCAATGCGAATCTCCTGCTCAACAAGGCCGACCTTTTTTCTTTCTTCATTTCTACCACCACCTCCGCCCACTACAGCGAGGTCCTGAAAGCTTCACCATGGAGGCGGAGGCAGAGTGTATGTCTGTCTGTGGGCAGAAGCCGAGGCGAAACGGGTTATCGAGCATATCGACGACGACCTGCAGAGGAGCGGGAGCGATTGAAGGAGAAGGGCGACGTCAAGGCTAGTTTGCTTTACACTTATGCGCCACATATACTTACAGTCAACCCGAGAGCGAGAAATCAACGCTTCAGAAACAGATCCAGCTCATGTATAAGCTTGATGAATCAAGAGTGTGGATCTTGGTAAGCGGTCATCCATTTCAACATTGTTCATTCATTAAAACACATCCTAGCTATGGATGAAGCTTGGGACGACACTCTTGATGGAGACGCCCAAGCACAACCGACATCGACGAATGATTCGCGCAGTCTATCATACCCAAGAAGGCTCAGAGAAATGGTATCATAGTTCAGCTTTTACTTTGTATCAAGTCATACTCAGCACCTCATTATCAGCCTCCTTGCGCTCCTCACAGCTGACATCATCACCCTATGCCGATATTGGATCAGGGTGCAGGGTGATCATACGTGTGACAAAGTATACATTCATAGCATAGTTGTTCTGCACATATGTAGTAGCTTAATGAATATACATCATTGAATTCATCGAAAAAGTATTGCTCACTAAATACCTACTGAATCAGAACTAACTCTCAACTTACCCTTGCAAATGTGCATGTCATAAGCACTCAATAAGTCAGAACCAAGCTAATTGCGCTAACTTGAAACAGATATGAACTGTCCTCCAAATATGATGGTGGTTCCAATAGCATTTGGAAGCAGTGCGGCTGAAAAGGAAGATCATGCATGAGGGAATGACGTAGTGTAATGTGAAGACTAGGAAGGTTTGAAGGGCTAAAGACGTCGATAGTAGTCTCGTCCCCATCCGCTATAGGGTGTACGGCCCGACAGACCGTCCAAGTGTGAAAACACACGACGAAGAACACTATAACGTCTGGTGCATTTGGTAGGCAAAACCACCCATCGAGTCACAGCGTGACAAGACGTAACAATTTCGCGTGGTAGATCGTAGGAGTAATTGGGTCATTGGACTCGTTAGAGCTGACGTCGTTCCTCGGGACCTTTGGGCTGATGGGAATAGGTGTTTGGATTGTGTGCCGGGGGATTGGACACCTGGTGAAGGACCGCATGAGTTGAAAGTAGTGATCATGAGTTGAAAGTGGTGATGAGTTTGACAATGAGGGAGAGTCGATGGGGGATGCTTCGGAGGGGGATCAGAGGAAGAGCCGTCTTGGCCAGCCAGGTTGATGTTGCTGATAGTTCCGCTTGAGGGGGATGGGCGCCAGGTGGAAGGGAACTGAAGTTAAGTTCTCGCATTGACAGCTGTGTCACTGTCAATGTTCAAGCTCAAGGGCAACGAGAAGGTCATTGAAAGGGGAGGGTTGTCGCGTCGGATTGGTCAGTCGTGGAAGGTCGGAAACAATGTTTTGCGCATCGGAACGTCCATAACGTAGAATTGGCGTACTTAGTGGTACCAGTGAATGTGTTACCGTTTGTCACGCTGTGACTCGATGGGTGGTTTTGCCTACCAAATGCACCAGACGTTCTGGTGGTCGTTCTGCAGTGTATTTTGAATCTCTGATGGTCCGTCGGGCCGACCACCACAACGGAACGAGACTAATCGATAGCGTCTGAGTAGTTGATGTACTTCTACTTATGTGGGCTGATTTAACGGGATCTCCTGGATCCCTACCGCTTTCGGAAGGTGCACGTGACCACGTGACCTGGCACGTCGCGTCCTTTCTTCCTCCTTTCCTCCTCCCCCGCCGCTTCGTCCCACCACTTTGTCCCCTCCTGAAATTTTGCTTGTAGTACACTATTTGTATTTATTACATGTCAAAATACAAATTTTTTCTCAGTTCCAGCTTTCCCCCGGGCAAACAAGCAGCCTTGTCCAAAATGGACCTTGTGGCACATCCTTGATTGGAGCCTGGGTGCTGTTGAATTCTTGGGAAAAATACAAAACTTGTAGAATACCATGAATGCACCTGCTGCTACATGTTCACCACTTTTTTTGCTCTTCAGAGAGATATTTGGAAGGTGGTTTGCTGCAAGAGACTGAAAATAAGTCAGAAAAGCACACATAAGTCGACATAAGTGCTTATGTGTGATGGATTTAGCTTAAATCAAGTTCAATTTAGTGGGTTTAATGCCCTGTGATGCCAACCAGCTCAATTTAAGGTGCATTTCCATGAGCTAGCCTATCAGGGCCTACACCCTGCACCCAATTTAAGGGTCTTTTGGCTCAGGGACCTAACCCTCTGCTATATCACATTGGCTGCATGTTTTTGTTCCATCATTTTGGCCTGAAATTCATGTAATGCCCATGATATTGCAGGTAATAATATTTACATGAGATGTAGTATACTAGGGGGCAAAAAAAGAAGTTTTAAAACTAAACCTGGCCTTCCATTTCCCAAGATTGACGAGGTCTTCGAGAGGAGAGCATGGGAGTCCCAAATGTCACATCAGGTGTTGGGTGAGGCATGGCAGAGTCGGCACAATGGTGTTGAACTTCAGGCAACGTCACGATGAACTTGAATGGTGACTGTTGATGGGACAAACATGGAAAAGCAGGGTAATGATGGGTGTGGAGAGAGAGTGGGTGATGCTAGCCTGGGTGGCAATGAAAACACTATTGTGTGCCCAGACAGTCAAGACCATTGAAAGTACATGATATCAGTGAAGGCATTATATCATGCAGACATACCTTGTAGAACCCCGCCTTACAACCCTTCTCCTATGTTCCAGCTAATCCCCACTGCCCGATGTGTGTTGCGGCGCATCATTTCACATTATAACATTATGTTCGAGCGCTTGGAGGCAAGAACATGATGCAAGCCAAGATCCGCGTGGCGCAGTGTTGATCACATCACGTAATGTCGAGCATGTCGAGCAACGCGCAGCGTCAAGCGCGTTGCATAGTGTCAAGTGTGCTGTGTAGTGTCAAGTGCACTGCATAGTGTCAAGCACGTGGTGTAGTGCTGAGTGTGTTGTGTAGTGTCGAGTGTGTGGCCTGGTGTTGAGTGTGTTGCCTAGAAGGGTTGGCCACAGCAAAGAGGGGGTCGAGAGAGATGGAGGTGAGAGGAAAGAGATGGAAGTCAGGGTAGAAGGGCTTTGGAAGTAGTGCTTGGAAGTCCAGTCCCAAGACTGCAAAAAGACCGCAATTGGACCAGACCAAGACTGCAAAAGACTGGACCTGCAAAAATATTTCATGAAAATAGCAGATGTACCTTAGTATTTTGGTATATACATCAATTCTCAACATAATTTAACGTTCTTGCACTCGTTTAGAAGCTATGAAGAATGTCAATAAATTTACCGACTCACAATTGCAAAATCTATTGCATATTTTGTTGAAAAACCGGTCTTCAACTGGTTGTAACCAGTTTGGACCAAGACTGGTCCAAAGACTGAAAAAGACTGCAGTCTTGGTCTTTTCCGGTCCTGGTCCAGTCTTTTGAGGTTTTAGGAATCGTGTGGACTGGTCTTGGTCTCGGTCTTTTTGTTTTGGGCCAAAAAACCGAACTGGACTGGACTTTCAAGCATTATTTGGAAGGGCTAGAGGAAAGTGATTTTCTCACAGAAAACGGAATCTGCTGATGGGCACAATTTATCAAATTTAACATTCAGTACCTTACAGCTGAATGCAGAACAATAGGCCATGCCAAATCGACACATACATAGGGCGGACTCTCAAATTTTATGGTGGTATAGGGTGTCATCAATCCAGAGATTGAGATTTCACACCTTGTGAGAACTCAGCTGCCTCAGCCATCACGTCGCTTTGAAAATTTAAGGGTCCGCCCTGTGCATGTGTCGATCTGGCTTGGCCTATCGTTCTGCCTTCAGCTGTAAATTGAGTGAAATAATTGTACTTATTTTTATCAGTACTAATCACACTGATATATGGGCCTAAGTTACTATGATATGGTCACTATCTAGTTGCTATCTAGTATCATGATCCATCTATCACCTCCGCCCCACTCCAATCGACTTCCTCCAAGTCACTGAGGGCCTGCCGCATTTGTTGGCTTGAGGCCAACCTGGCTTGGGGGTCTCAGGACAATTTGTCCCACCTCAATTTCTTGCAGTTCGCCATGCCGCTGGAATCTGAATTCAGGCAGCTCTTTCCCCTAGTTTTTGCCTGGGGACCCTCAGGGTAGTGGCACAAATGCTGGTGGTGAGGCAGCAGAGCTTGTCAAGCAATTGCAAACTTGAAAGGGTTGAACACTTCGCAAATGAAGTTACAGCCACTCACTGGGTGCCCATGTGACCTTTGCACCTGCAAGTAGGTGCACTCTACTGTAACTGTGACACTGCTGAAATTTTTTGGGCAATCTAAAGCTTAAATTTCTGCCATGGTCCTGTGTGCCCTACTGCTACTGGCCACGACATTGAGGTGCCGGCAAGCAGGGGATTGGGAAGACTCACCCTGGAAATGTCCTAGGTACTGAGGGCGCAATGGATGGAATAAGACCCAGAGTGAATGCCAGTGGCATTCCGCTGCTTGATATTGAACAGGAGGCAGGAGAAAATGACCAGTCCATGCCCCATGGGGTTCTCTGCACCTCAATGGAGAGGATGTGGCACAATTTCGTGTGGATCGATGTTAAAGCCAGTGTGGTGATGATGGTGTTCCTTGAAGGTCTCTCAAGGTCATAATTACCTAACAAGTAGTATGGGATGTGTCTTCAGTGACCATTCCACACCATTATTATTCGAGGAAAGGGGGAGGTAAGGCTGGGGTATGTAGATAAGACTCGGAAAAGTTGAACCAAAGCAGGTGCTCATTTAGGAAGGTGCTCAACCAAACAAACAAATGGTTGGGCTGGAATCACTTTTGAGTTTCCACCTCAAACTCTAATCCCAAAACAGGAAGCCACGCAAAAACCAAACAAACCAATGTTTGGTTGTGATTTCGTGCTTGCCCTTGCTGTCCAAGCTTCCAACAGGTTCCAACTCAACAACGCCTGCTTACAGCTCCAGGAGCCTGCCAACCTCATCCCCCATACAACGCAAAGGTATCTCACTATCTTTCCTACATTCCTTACTGTTACTAATGCTTTGCAAACAAGTGTTCTTTCGGCCGCAGGCCATCATACAACAAATGGACAGAACCATCACAACAAGAACCTGCCGCCATCAAAGCCACACATATTAAAATACCAGCCCCTCACCATCACACAAAACCGCCTCAACAAGAACCTGCCACCATCAAAGTGCCATGTATGAAAGCTCCTCACAGTCCATCACCCAACTTCATTGAACAAACCGCTTGAAAGGATTGTACAGTGTGAGCGGTGCCCTGCCTCAAGCAGTGGGTTGCAAGTGTAGAGCAAAGAGAAGGAGCAAGGGAGGGGGCTTAGTGCCTTGTGGAACGCTGGATTGAAGGGTGAGACTGTAGAGCAGTTGAATGAATGCTTGACTGCATGTACATTTTCTATGGCATTGTTTCAGAACAGCTTCAACATCATTATTGAAGATACATTGTGTACACACTAATTACACCAGAATACTATAACTCCTGTGCTAAGTCCCTCCTTTTTTCGAGCTCCAAGGAAAACTTCAGCGAAATCATGCATATTTCTAAAAATAAGGTGGTTTCCCATTTTGGGATTAGAGTTTGAGGCGGAAAGTGAACAACTGGCTGGCCCAATGGCCCAAAGTGAGCTCTATCATTTTAATATTAGCTGTAATTGAGTCCTCTGAAGATATCTTGAACAAATGTTACATCTGACAGAAGTTTCTTCCCATATGGACTTGCCTTTTGTAGAAATTTATCTTTGAAGTTTATGAAATCAAGAAGTTGGCAAAGTGTATTCCTGATAATTCCAACAGAAAGAAATTGCTCAAATGAGGTACAACATTTTAAATATCTTTCAAATAATTCTGAAAGAGAGCACAATGGAATTGCTCATCAAAGTATGAGTCCATGCTGTCTCAGAGTATGTGTAAGCACATTTCTCCATTCTATATCACTTTCACCTGAATGTGCCTGTCCCATAGCTGTGCCTGTCACTTTGTGATTGGGTACTTAGAAGACAAAACAAACCATACATGGACTGCATAAACCAGCAGACTGGCGAGACTACCCTGCTCACTTTAGACGTGTCCCTAAACAGTGTTTCTGCGCTGGGCTGGGTGGGGGAATGTTTGCCTTGGGTGTGCCCTCATCAGTGCAAGGGATGGTCATAGGGGGTCAGGTATATTGGCATTAGGGGCCTTAGGTAGTCCCTCCTATTGGGATCTTGGTGCACTGCAAGTAACAAATCCAAAAAATGTTGCAACCCTATAAGATGCTCAGTCTAGCATGGTGTGCTTGCCTGGGTGTCTCACAAGGGCTGTGAAGGCAGCACAGAGGAGGGACCCAGGATTATATACCATGCCATAGTGCCTGACTCAGCATCACTATTGAATAGCACTGCAGTGAGCCATAGCAGCACGAAGAGAGGCATTACTCGGAGTATGAGTAAGAGGGCTGTGACAGTGCTGCTGATGAATTCAGTGAGGCTGAATTCAAAGGAGCTGGGCCCAGAGGCCTCTGAAAATGCTCCCCTCTCTTGGAACCCATATTTATGTCAACTGCAAAAAACTTAACTGAACCAGACCTGCAAACATTATTGAGACATGTAGAAACATATGTAGCAATGCATAAATCATTGATATCATAGAGAGACCAGGACAGACAATGGGGAGCGGCAACCCACTGCCAAAATTTCAACTCCGCCGCATTTTCCCATCACCAAAGACCTGATCAAAAAATGGTCGATCATCTCAACTGCTCGTATTTACTTCAACACAACAGTAGATTGCCACTTTAAGTGTGGATATATGTAGGTGGAGCATAAGTAAAGGTGCTCGTATACAATTTAGCACAAAAATACAAATATTCCGTCAGTTAATATCTTACTTCGAGCCTTCCAAACCCCTTTATAAAATTCTGTCCCGAACAAATCCATCCTACGCTCCATGAGTTTGTGCCTGCAAAAATTTGAAACAATACCTTTACAGATGAGGTAGCAATCCATGATGGGGGAATGGCATGGTAAGACGAGTCGATGATCACATGTTGCAATAAAGAAAGTAACTGAAGTGCGACTATCGGCGTCAGCAATGCGTTATTGTCGTTACCTCTGCATATATTGACTTGTTAACCACAAGTATCTTATATCATGGGCAAAGACACTTGAAAAGTGGGCCGGAAGTCACGATCGACATTGCAAACTTCCCAGTCAATGACAAACCTTCGCAACATTCACTCCGACAACTTGGAGAACAGACTGGAACACAATATGAATGTCTAAAGCTCAAAACCAGCAGGAGCTTGAAGCTCAACTCGGCGCGAGGAGTGAATAGGAAAGCTACATTCCAGAGGAAAATGCATTTGACATGTATAGTGACACAGATATAGAACTTGGCTACTAAATTCAATCATAATAGTATATTATATATCACCACAAACAGCGTAGACTTGTAAATTGGTCCCTACGTATCGATTGAAGTGAAATAACAGTCGTCGACCACTGAATTCGACTATTTGGCACGAGACAAACAGAACCAAACAGCATGATTTTATTGGCACGGTTGCCACTCCCCACAGACAAGAAGAGACACCCAACACACTCAGGCACATGACAATGTGTCGTTGATCTGTCACCAATGAATATTTTGCATATATGATATCATTTTTTTGTGACTGCACTGAATCTTCTTTATTTGAGCATTTTTTGATATTAAATATTTAACATAATTATCTGCTTTTATTACCTTCATACTGGCAATGAACTCAATTGCCCCAGATTGTGGCTCAGTAGTGAAGATAAAATGGGTTTTGGAGAAGCAGGACTCTCAGGGGTCCTGTCTGACACCGTGAGAAAAGTATTCACTTCAAATAGCACGGTGACCATATTGTCACTATAGGTTACTAAACAATGCCCATCCCCTCCTCTCCCGTCCACTCCCGCAACTCATCCACTGTGTCTAGTGTTGGAAGTGTGCGTTCAGCATCCGACCATGACAGCGGAATATCCACCTCATCGTCGCTTGATACGCCCCGCACAAGTATAAGTGGGAGCAACCCCAAAGCCGTACTTGAGCCACCTCTACTTGGTCAGGCTGACTCGTTGAAGCTGGCGTATGAAGATTTCGCCCCATTCATCGAGACGGAAGAACTTTCTGCATTGGGTTACCGTGAAATTTGGTATAGAGTTGCTGTGAATCAAGTGGTAACCCTCTACTTCTCATTTCTTGCGTCATTGTACTCAATTTGACTGCTAGGCAGCCTATACGCTACCCCTTGTTCTCTACGACATCCTCCCAGAGAATTCCATTAATCAACTCATCCTCGCTCATCACAGACAAGTCACGGCCGAGGGTCAACTTCGCGACCTCAGGCGGCCCAAGCAAGATGAGCTGCTAGCGAAGCAATATCTTGTGCTTGATAGGATGCTGGAGCGCGCACAAACTGAGGCGAAAATTCTCGAGCCCCTTCATGCAATGCGCTGGCAAGGAGATAACAGCGCCAGTGCAAAATCTCGGTCGTCATGGATGGAGAGCCCTGAGTCGGCATCGCGATCGGAGGGTTACAATTATTACTCGGAAAATATTTTGGGACGCCGCCTCGATACAATCCTAGGTTACGCAAATTAAATTGATAGTTCATGTATTACTATGTAAGTTAGCCTCCATACTTATGCTGTGCTCAGTTCACAAAAGCTGCCGGTTTCGTCACCGTCAACAGAGTAGTAGAATAAGTAAGAGTCTGAGTAATTCAAATTGAATGCACATTGAGTGTCATGTGACTTACTTACAGCGTTGCCAGTTGTTTAGGTCATTAAGCCTCAGGCCTCACCACGAAGTTCCCGCCTTTGCTGGCAGTCAGAAGTCCGCAGACTCAGCGTCCTTCCCAGTGTGTACGCCTCCAAAATGAAACGCCCTCGCATCAGAAAAGTCCTTCGCTTCCTTGTGCCACACGTGGCCTCAAATACAAAAGCTCTTAACTTATTTGCTAATGCGATTGACGAGGTCTCTTTATGGCGTGTATTTGTCGGAAAATCACAGCAGGTTGGGCTGGTGAGCCGCACGAGTTACTCGAACCCATTGAATGGTTTCAGCTCTTTGTGGATCACTGCTCCGCACATGTCTCCTTCATCCGGAAACCTTTAGTAAATGCCAACTCTGCCCGCAAAGCCAAGTGTAGCAGCGCCCGAAATACCAAAAAAGCGCTTTGGCTAAAGTTTAGGCTTTACTCGCCGCGCGCGCGCATCAAAATCGACCGAGTTTGCGAACATTCCTGAAACTATAGTCACGGTGTATTCAAATGACGAAGCTTATCCCCCCCCTCTCAAACACTGGATGTACGAATCGGACGAAATAAAGAGAAAATGGAAAAGCACCTTACTTCAGGGCGGCGACCTGACATTCGCAAATCCTACCTTCCGCCGCCTGAAGGAACTTCTGCTCCAACGAAGCCGTCCTCCCCGCGGTAGATGGCATCATTCAAGAAGCTGTATCAAACCGACCGAGTAAGCATCTCCCATTTTGATTGCTGCCATCATTCACTATCACTTGCTTTAGCTGGAAGATCCTGGGTCCCTCGTCCAAATAGGATTTTCTGCTGGTGTTCGCAGCACACCGAAATTCGACCGGGTTCGCAATATCACCAACCGAAAATTGCCCACTCACATCATTGATGGCATGGATCACCAATCTAGCTCGGTGTTTGCTCTTTTTTTGGAATCTTTGCCGCAATTGTCTTACAGAGGAAGTAATGGACGATTTTGATAACATCTTTGAAGAATGCTGCATGTTAAGGATGCATCCATGCAAAGGGGCTGCAGGAGATTCTATCAATCATGGCCAATGCACTTCGGGCAACCATAGCCAATTCACGTCAGGCGACTATTCTATCCAAATAGGCGATGACAAGTTTGTCTTCAAGCTGAAAGGGCCCCTCCTGCTGGCGTTTGCGGACAAAATTACTCACGGTTTGTTGTTGAATCTAATTTCTTGTAAATTGCTCATTATCTTGTTGCAGCTCCACTCATTTCGAGCACCAACCCCATAAATATGCAATATCATGGATAGTGAGGAGAGATTACCCTCCTGACGATGGCGGCCATTTCTATATTAGCACTTATCGCATTCGAATTCAAGCAGCTGCAAATACGCTTATCATATGGAGGCCAGTTGACGTTTATAGCACCAGTTTGCAAAATCTCAACCCACCCCCGGCGCCAACCCCCGCTTTCTGCAAACGGGTGTCGCCATCGTGACATCTAACAGACTCCCCCTTGTCCTTGCCTTGTCTGGAAGGAATATTGCGAAGGCAACTTGTCTCACCCGGAAGCTATGAAAATTTTATCTGAGAGTGACGATGATTTTGATCAGGGATAGAATGTAACTGACTTTTCAGATTGCGCCAATGCATTTTAATTTTTTTGAGCTGAAAACCAAAGCATCGGTTTTGGGTTCAGAGTTGTCACTTGTTTTATTTTGAGGACCTAAACAAACTGTGCAAATCAAAATCTTGAAAGCACCATAATCCATTGCGGAGTCTTACAGCTACGTATAGCCAAAGCCGCAAGCTCGCTGGGCGCAACACGCGCGAATAATGTTTCCCATCAGGCAGCCTGCCAGAATTTACACCTGCCTCTTCAAAGTTTTGCTGCCAGGTGCATCTACTTCATCCATGGCACGCCTAGTACCTTTGATGCCACCTCAACGGATTCCTGGGCGCAATCGTCTACTTTTATTGCGCCAACTTCGCCAACTTGTTGCATCTGGACCCCCAACTTCCTTCCTCACCTCTACAATTTGCAATGAAATATATCAATGGGCCTAAGCTAAGAGTGGCCGCGAATGCCGACCTCGTCGTCTGCCTCTGCCTTGCTTACCCAGCTGGGTGGGGGCAAATCTGGTATTAGTGGCTTCAGCACTGGTTCCATTGCGGGCCGCATGGAGGAGCAGTTGCCACTCGGACCTATTGTCCGTTCATAGCACGGGACGCTCAAGACTCGGCACTGGCACTGGCGTTTCGTCTTCTACTTGCTCGGCGGCCGATTTTAGATCCAAAGGGCATTGCTCCTCCGCCGCCTCTCCTCCAGTTCATCGTTGGCTAATTTGAGCTGCGTTGATTGGAAACCCTATACAAAGGGCCTACTTGCATCATTATTAGGAAGCATTTTGATTCGACTACGGGTCGGCCAGGAAATTAGTGGATGGCAGCCTGAGAGAGAGGGTGCACTCATCTTGTGTTAACTTTCTTGGCGCAAATTCATTTGCTTGCGAAGCCAAGATGTGCCAGCAACGAACAGAACTATTTAACATCCGAGTCAAACAGGATCGAACCAGCACTTTGTATCCATATGCCCTTCTCTTGATCTGAGGCCTGCCGCCACAAGGCTTTTGGCACTAATTGCAGTGATGCTGCCGCCGCCAAGTAGGAGTACCTCAAGTTTCATATTCACCGCGCCGCAGCCTTTTTAATTCGCTTGAAACTGGCCAGAGACCCTGCGCTGCGGTTTGGGATCTTTCCACCCCGCCACGCTCCAATCCTGATAACTTTGGCAAGTTCTTCGTCCACAACGGAAGGACGCGAAGCCACTACGACTCGCGTGAGTCACCGATACTCATTCGGAACCCATTTTGCATCTGACTCGGAGCCTGGCGCCGAGCCATTTGCTTCCCTTAGACGCCCGATCTTACTTGAACTCTGCCACTTGCGGAAGCCCTTTTCAAGGAAACTATGGTGTTTCTGCAGCTTTACAGCGACAAGACTACTAGCTTTCTGAATGCAGCGGCGGGGAGAAGTCTCTACCTTGACTCGTCCAATTTGTGCAGAAATCATCCTGTGGGTAAATTTGTGCTTTCTTATGCCATCGATGCTAACTTCAGGCCCAGGAAAGAATCAAAAATGGTTTATCAGACGCAGCAATAGTCCAGTACATTCCCCAAGAAGCAACTATGATTGATCCCTTGAAAAGTGACCATGGGGGCACTAAAGAAGGAGGGCTAAGCGCAGGGTTATTTGTTATCCACCCCACCACTCTAGCTGCTGACAACGAATTCTCTAGAAACACTTTCGGCTCGATAATAATGCCACACCTGATAACACTCTCCGGCGACCTTCCAATGTCCGACGGCACTGCAAAAGTTGCTGAAATAGAGGAAATGTTACCAAGAACTGGCAATAATACTCGTCGTTGTCGTTATTGTTAATTTTGCAGTTCCCTGCCGACTTTCATCACTCTCACGCACCGCCCACCTACTCGCGCTCATCTGCAACATCCAATGGTTTTTCATATGCTGCCAACCGCCGCAAAATATGCTCATGATACTCAGTGTTCGCTTTTTTCTGCCCACCTGAGCGTTTCGCTTTTTACTCCCCTAGACTGCATATTTCCGCAATTTCGTGCTGTAACCCATATATAAGTAGTAGTAAATCCTCGTTCAACACTCACCAGCCTCTCATTACTTTTCGAGAATAATGTTGTTGAAGTACTAGGGACAAGTTGGGATCAGATATGACAAGTTGAAACAGTGACACAATTGCTGCGTCTGACTCAAGTCTGACTTGAGTTTTATGACAGCTGCGCATCCGTGAACAACTTTTCAAGTGGAGTCCCGTGATCATTCAACCCACGCGGCGTTCCTTCCTCCTCGGAAGAAGTTGTACTACTTCTTCAAGCTACTCCATACTTTCTCGAATAGAGATGGATACACCTGCAAATACTTACAGATGTGGACGGTCCTTCTATCAGACTAATAACTTCAACAACCATTTGCGTTCCTACGAGGTCGTTAAGAGCCGGGTGTCGAGAGGTCTTACAAAGGCCAAAGAGCTTTGGGAAGCCCGGAAGAAGCAGCGTAACCAGAAGGCAGCTGCCGAAGACCGGGTAAGTTTGTCGGTATCTATGATTTCGTCAATAACATCTAGTTCAGGATTGGGCCCCCCTGCATGACGGCCTTCAAACATCCTTGGGTATGGCGGAATCGAGCAGGAACTCAGCCTTGCACGTCGTAGGCCACGACGCCGCAGTATCTGAGGCTGAGGGTGTTGCGTCAAGTTCTGACCTGCCTATTGCGCTGAGAAAGGGTATACGCAAAGATATCCCCCAGCCAGCACGCTATCGCGATATCTTGCCTTGCCCACCCCCTCCCTGCCGCCCCAAGACCTTAGAAAACCCCTGGACCACAGTCTTCTGTTGGGGGCAAGAGCCAGACAAAGCGTCGCTTCTGAATCGCCAGAAACTCTTTTGGCCTTATACGTGAGTATTTTGGGGAAGAGTTTCTGGAGCATGATCCAGAAGAACATCTTCAATTTGGAGATCGTTGTACTCGCATCTCCAAATCATCGCTGCCGCCCCACGTTTCCCCGGCAGCGCCTGCACAGTTCTTTCCGTATCCAAACCGGAGTTCCTTTCTTCTTGGTGACTGGTATTGGAACGATGGAACGCAGAAAACTCAGACCGGTTTCCAAAACCTTGTCCGTATTATCGCAGACCCTGAGTTCGTTCCGGCTGATGTACTTCGCAACAAATGGGATCGCATCAATGCGGTACTTGGGGGGAATCAAACTGATGACGATGGAGACTAGGCGGATGCTGCCGATGAAGGGTGGACTGTGTTGCAGATCAAGATCACTGTGCCATTTCACGCGGGGTCAACGCACCCCGGTCCAAAAGTGTACGAAGGTGTTCACTTATATCACCGCTCGCTCGTTATGGTGATGAAGGAGAGAGTTTCTGACCCCCATTACTTCTGCCACTTCCATGTTGAGCCGTACAGGCTCCTGTGGCAGCAGCTAGCGGGTGCGTATAATGGTTTTGTCCAAGAGCGGTGACAATACAGATGGAGCTGATGACGCTCATGATTCTCCTTTCATATACGCAAGAATTCTAGGAATCGTGAATGCTATCCAAATTGGTACGGCGACGCCAGACTACGCTCCGCAAAGGTTCGACTTCTTGTGGGTCAGATGGTTCAGCAAAGTCACAGCTGGAAGCTGGAAAAAGCACAGACTTGAATGCATCTCGTTTCCACCGATGGCGAATGACTGTTCATTTGGGTTCCTAGATCCTAACGACGTTGTTCGGGCGTGCCACATCGTTCCAGCATTTTCTTCTGGGGCACGGCATCCCGGCAGCCAGGGTCTCTCGCTTTGTGCCCGCGATTCTGCTGACTTTTGTCAATATTACGTCGGCCGGTAAGTCATTCATGGTATGCCGTGGTCGAGTAATGGGGGTAACTTCATCTTTGCCAGTTTTGTAGACCGAGATATGCTCATGCGCTACCACGTTGGCCTAGGAATCGGTCATGTCGGCGTCGGCAATATCCTCCATTCACATGTCGCCGGGAACAATGATGCCGCCGAACTTAGCTCTGGTGACTTGCAAGGTAATATCATGGACATTGACCCCCAACATCAAGAGATTGTGTTTCGCCGTTCAAAGTCGCGCGACAATCTTTCAGGTCAAGAGCTTTTTGACCAGCCACTTCATGATCATAACGAGTCTTCAACTGAAGACGACGATGATCTTGATGAGTCTGGATCAGAGGATCATGATGACACGCCTCAAGCTGAGGACTCAGACCCTGGTTCAGAATCTCTAGGCTCTGAATCAGAGTATGATGACTAGGATACGATATTTTTTTACCCTGGCCCTGTACAGTTTACCAAGCCTGATCCATAGCAGTTTACGTCATAGTAGATCTTTATACAGCTGCCTCGACCTTCAAGTCGCACTACCGTGATAGATCAGCATACAGCGTCTGCTGCTTCGAGTTTTACTACGGCATGAGTGCCCCCCCCCGGTTCTATTCAAAGTTCAACGTTCAAACCCAATCAATGATCCAACACCATAACGAAAGATAACATCTAACTGACCGACCTACAGCCATCCACTTAGCAAGTGCTGAGTACTTACTATCGGCCGTCCCGCTATTCCAGACTCGGATGAAGTTTGTGGGAAGCCATCACGCAGTTGTTAGTAAACTTCAGCTTCAAGTTCTTACGGTACCGTGGCCTTGTCATGGTCCCGCGATAGCATTTCAAATTGGCAGCCTCGACTATCCCTAAAACGGAGATCAACTTCAAGTTGTGACTCACTACCAACACCTTCCTTTGACAAACCATGATTCACGCGGCAGAGCCTATGCCCCTCTCGGGTCCAAGATACATCATGATGATGTTTTGTGACAGACCGTTTGTCATTGGATGCGTCAATAGGACTTGCGCTGACTCGGAGCTCCTCTACTTATGCCTCAACTAAGTCCATCTGCCAATCCTCCTCCACACTTCCCCATGCCATCAGCAAATCAACTCGATGCGCCACTCCCGAACTCCATGGCGAGTCGGCCCTCTGCCAGTGCCCTCGAGCTGGGTCCCTGAAAGAAGCCGTATATCGTTGCTTTACATTCGCATGTCTATTCACTAACCAATGGCTTTCCCAATTAGAAGTGTCACAGACCCTCTTGTCCACCATGGCCGTCACTTCGGTCGAACCGTCCACGCGTTCTGCAATATCCGCACGCTTATAAACAATGGGATCTTACGGCTGGGAGAGCTGGCAGATCAGCCAGATGAATCCTTCAGTGCTGAGTAATACTTCGTTACAATTTGTTTCCTAATTGCGGCTCTCACTGGCCATCAACCAGGGAGCGGCGAGAACACAAAATTTTTACTGCACTCTTGCAATCTGTTGCGGGTTTGGAGGAGCGCCTTTTGACTGGATCTGAAGAAGAAACTGGGTTTATTGCAGAACTTGTCAGTTTTTTTATATGGGACACTCATTGCAAAAGAGCTGAACTTTGATAAGCTTCGCAAAGGTGCCTCTGGTGCTCGGGGTGACGACACAAAGAGTTTAAAAGGAGCCATTCTCGACTGGATTACTCCAAAAGGTCAGGCCTTGAATCCGCCCCTCGCTCGAAATGTGAAAGTGGATCGCGGATTCCACCATGAGCGCACCGGGGCTCTTCTTTGTCCCACAGATCTCGATTGGTCCAATCCAGAGTCAGTAAGCTTTTTTGTGTACAATTATTTAAAGGCAACGCTGTCCTAGAACCAAAGAACAATTGAAAAGCGGCGAACTCCTTGTTAGCGGCGATCGATGGCCCGTCTTTCTGTACGCTGGTTGCAGCTTTGATTCTGAAGAACCATGGAACGGCCTACTTCGCAACCCTCTATTGATTTGCGTGAGTTAAAAAGTGATGCTTTCCGACTGAATCTCATCTTTGATCAGGCCTTCAAGCATGTATTTACATCTCCTAGCTCGGTCGATAAGGAACCGAAAGCTACCAGATCGGGAAATGCTCGAATTCATGGTATGAGGAGTGTTACCGCCGGATCCATTGCATACATCGCGACTCAGGTCAGTGTTGGATTATTGCATTGACCTGCAGATTTTTTGTGGAATATTAAGATGACCGTAATGCCAGGTTCGCTTTGCATTATGTTCCTCGCCAGTCTTCTCCAGAACGGACATGGTAACCGATTCAGAGAGATTTTTTTCCTCCATTCTTGAACTCCTAGAGGATCCTCGCGAGGCTCGTGAGGTGCACGATTTGTATGTTTGGTGGAATCGGTAAGCACCCCAAAACGTTGTATCAGGCCAAGCTCTGAAAAACATCATTGGAATGTAGCCAAGTATTTCCATCTCACTCATCAGCCCAGCACATCATTAGCCAAGGCAGTGCTTTAGCCAAGATTCGGGAGAAGCGCCGCCGCACTTTGATTACCCTTGTCGACACATGACTAGTTCAACTCCAGATGATCTTTGCACCAATTATAAAGTCATGTACAGTGAGATGGAAAAGATCCCATTGATGTAGTGAGGGAACATGTCTTGGGCCTAAGCAATTCGTTACGTCATGGACCTGTAAAAATATTGCAGCAGTTATCTAACTTCGCAATAAATGATCTAGTTATCATCCCATTGCGGGGGATCACCCTTCACTGCAATATTTTTCATTGGAGCCTGATATTATTCTGCTGGGGGATTTATCATGGCAGACATGAGTTTTTGTTTCTCAAAAACAATTACAGAAGATTGGCATACCTTGCCGGAATTATGACAGTCATCTAAGTCCACAATATTCCATACCATTGGGGAGACTGCCAACAATACAATTTTTGTATTTGATTGGGATCCTGGTCTCGCCATCTTTGGTGAAAATTTGTCATCGTGAATAAGAAAGATGAAGAAGACTTTTGTAAAGCAAGGTTGCGGAAATTTAGCATGCCCCGCCAACACTATGGAAGTAATCTAAGTTCGCAATAACAAACCCCATTGGGGAAGTGGGCATCAATGCCATGTGTTTCAATTTGTTTTATTTGTAGTCTGCCATTATTCTGTTGATGGAAAAACCGCCATTGTGGATGTGAAAGATGTGAAATGGCCTTTCTTGAGTAAGATTATGGAGGATTGAAATATACCACCAGTGTTATAATAGTTATATTAGATTCCACCCCGTGTCGGGGTTCACCGCCAATGTTCTTCGTTACAAACCTTTGTATTGAAAGCTTGATATTACACTGTTGGCGAAACATTGTCCTTGTGAATGTTGAAGATGTGAAATGACCTTCCTCGGGCAATATTATATTTGTAGTTATTAAAGTTTCCATCGTAATATTTATTATTCACTCTTGGGTCATCATAGACATTGAAAATGTGACACAGCATTATAGAAGATTAACATGCACCATGAGTCTTGGAGTAGTTTGTCTGAGTTCCCAGGGATGGGTCTCGTTGGGGGGATCACCATTAATGACCTCCATTGTAATACTTCTTATTGTAAATACGATATTATGCTTCTGGTAGAAATTGTCATTGTGAAAATAGAAGATGCAAGATGACCTTTGTTCAGAAAACATCTTGTAATTGACCTTTTTACAATATCTGTCCCCTTATATAAGAGTATTTCTATTGGTGTGTAGTTCTGATTCCTTTTGGCCAAAATATATTTCTTTTAAAGGTAGATCTACCTTTTCCATAACAGACTCGGTTGCGAAGGCTGCACATTCAATGTAAAGTCTGAGACAGAAAGTCGGTGATTATTTATTTGATGAAGAATTGCCCTGAATAGCTGGAATTATGGTGTATGACATTTAGCTGCAGATATTGCAGTCGTTGTCTGAGCTCTGCATACTTTTGCAGAGTGTGAAGGCTGCCATCCAAGCCCTCCTCTATAAAGTCTTACACACAAAGCTGGTGATTACTTTTCTGGTGGAGAATTGTCGTGAAGAACCAGTAATATACCGCTCGACAGCCCTTCCGCAAACTTCCATATATTGAGCTTTCAACAATAACTATCCTCCTATATATTTCTATTCAATGATGACTATCATTCTTGGACTTTTTGGGCCGAATGCATACTTTACAAAAGTAGATACGGCTCTATCATAACAAAGTCAATTCCCTGATGTAAGGCTGCCCAAATATTATTAAATATAGTATACAGATCACAGATATCCACGGATTTCCATATATATCCACGGGTCTGATCCGTGGATAACGGGTATCAACGGCCACGGATAATACCCGGTTATTGCCGATCCATGACAGTCCCTAACATATATACATTGATGATACAGATGTAATAGTTCAGATGAGTTGGACAGAGTCGATCGAATGTATTTTCAATTCCTTCTAAGGGTGAAGCTAGGCCCATTTCCCAAGGAGCGCCATGATAGCGCAGCCGGCCAACATCGAGCCTAAGGCGTACACAAGTTTTCCATTGGAAGCGTCCATCATTTCTCGGTTAAAGAGGAATTCATGTGCAAGCAACTATGAAATAAAATTATCAGCTACAGCCGAACTTGTTTAGTGAAAAAGAAATATACAAACCTCCACCAGCCCAGTGTACAGAAGGATGCCAGAACTCAGCGCGTCAAGGACGCCGCTGACTATCGAAGCCGTTGCGCTTCCGGGGTTATATGAACCTTTTATCCCGAGTCCGATAGCGATCCCAATGGGAGTTGTGACCCCGTACAAGATGGCGCCAAGGAGTGGAACCCAGTTAAATCGAGACGGGAGCTGCAGGTTAGCCAACCGTGATCCGATTCCCAATCCTTCAAACATTTCTGCGAGTTCAAGTTAATAAACCGAACGCAGAGGTCGTGTCGGGAACTGCTCACGGTGGAAGATGACGACGACGAATAGCACTTTGAATGCCTGGTCAACCGCTAGAGTTAGACCAATCAAGACGCTAAACGCAAATTAGGAAAAAAAAAATGGACGCGAGGAAAATAAAGTGTACCTGTGAAGAAGAACACCGAATTCAAGAATTGCCACTCCGATAATTTGCGTTGCCGCCGAGTCATCAAAAGAGTGCCCATGATGGTGGCCCTGGGACTCTTTATCAATCTCCAAACTGTCCTCTTTCTGCAGCGCTTGAGGTTGCTCTTCCTTAAATTCCGGCCCGTGGGCAGCATGAGATCCAGTGTGGTGGCCATGCGCGTCTTTTGGATGGTGTTAGAAGAGATCAAAATCCGCCAACCCGAAGAAACCAACCGTGTGATTTTCCGATTTTCTTGAGCTTCGATGTTCCCCACCTAAAGGCGATGAGCTCGACGATAAATATCGAGAATACGCTCAGGAGGCACAGGGCCAAGGCGTAAGGCTGGTAATGCGTCAATAAACGGTTAGAACCCGCGTGCTAGGTGAAACTTACATATTCAGACCAGCCGGGAGCCAGACAGGGAGAACCAAGCTCGTCTAATGCTGGTGAGAGAAGATGGATGAATGCCGTAGCGATCTATAATAAATATATCAGATGATTTGTACGAACTTTATGAGAGTCAATACTCACGATAACCCCAGATCCGAAGTATTTTGCGAAGCTGCGTGTGTGTGTGAGAAAGGAGACTGGCGATGATGAAGCGTTGGAAAGCTCACTCGAAGACGGCTTTGGGGACGTGCAGCCATGATGACCGCTTAGCGAGGACAGGGAAGAGAGCACCGGAACAAGAGCCGATGAGGACGATGAAAATGGACGCGATGCGTAGATGATTGAACTGATCGCGGGCGTCGACGGTACTACAATCGGATGACATTTTTGGGGGTGGGTGAGGAGGCCGATGAGTGGGAAGAGAGGAATAAAAGGAGAGGGGGGCTCAAGGGAAAGTACTTATGGCAGGGAGGCAGTCAGACGACGCCCCGGAAATGGAAGACAGGCCAGGTCCTCAAACAGTTTGACGTTTTTCCAAATGGGACAAAATGTGAGTACCTTCGCAGTAGCTGAGCTCAAGCGAGTGTCATCAGAGGATATTTGCTTACTCACGGTTAGTAGTTATCCTGCCACAAGACAATTGGAAATTCCCAAACACACTCCTTCGACTGTCACTGTAGAACGATACTCGTCAGTGGAGACTACTATGCTATATCAGTACTTCGGCAGACCCTCTCAGTCGGCGGTCACAAATGTCACATTTTTTGGCGGATGAACGTGACAGATCGTGACTGGCCAAAAAACAGAACTTCGCCAATTCTTCGTTTTTTTAGACGAAAAAAAGCGGAGATAGGTTGGATTATACGCAGGAGGCCCTGTCTCAAATTTTGTGGCAAGAAATTTTGTGGAAAGTTCGAGATCAGGAAAGTGCCGACTGAGAGGGTCTGCCGAAGTACTGATAGGGCATAGTATCGCACCAGAAAAACTTAATTGCCTTGATGCCTTGACGACACTACAGTGTAACGCCTTGAGGTTTGGAGTCTTGACAAGCCAGGCCCTTCCACGCTGGGAAACCCGGAAATAACTTTATCTGACTTCATCCGTTTCCAGGTGTGTGTCGGTTTCGGCCGTTTCTCCTACATCAGCAAAACCTGATTTTCCCACGTAGACAGGCATAGTGCTTCCGCTAATATCATAGTTTCCCATAGTTACACGCCAAGTTTGGCTAGATGCCCTAGCGCCCCACAGCGCTCCACAGCACTGTGTGGGTGTAAGCTTGTGCTATACAGCACTACAGAGACTTGTGCCGTTACTATAGGGTGCTATAGAGGGGCCTCCACTTTCTACCCAGCCCTTATAGGGAGTCAAACTACAAGTATACTAGATTTCAATAGAAAACACATTCCCTATTGTATATGAATAATTTATGACCAAAATACGCCTGGAATAAGAAGAAAGTACAACACTGTCCAGAGATTGATTGACCTACAAAGATTGCAACAAGAAAGAATATGAAGTATCTTTTGCAAAACATATTCGTCTTTTGTGATTTTTTTTTGCATTGGAAAGTGGTGTTCAAGCCAATTCCAACGCATCTATTTACGTAGTATTTAGTTCAAAACTCAAATGGCTTTGGACCAATTACTGGTGAGGAATCTGCCTAAAAATGGTAAATGTTATCGGAGGTCGCCTTAAACGTCGAAATATTAGGGGCTCTCAGACCCGTTTTAAAGCTCTAATTTGTGCGTTTCTGACAAGCCCAAAATCGCATGAAACGGAGCAGAACTCATGATGATAATATATATTTCAGATGTCTAATACAGGCCAAATAGTTTATGCTACAATTTGTGAGGTACTCCAAATTTTTCTACGCCGTAAATTGGATTGCATTCGCGTGAATAAAGCGATTAAAATAAGCCTACATAGAGGCCAAACGGTGTGATACTCGTGAAGTTATAGCTATGAGCTACCTAGAAAGTGTAAGTGTGAATTGATGGAAGTCGGTACGGTTGCGGGAAGTCACATGCCACGCTCAACTCACATTTTCGAACTTAGACAACTTCAATTGTTACTACTACTACCAAAAAACAGGAAATTTCGGGAAATCATGGAAATAGCCAGGAAATTTCTGGTAACAACTGCAAATTTCATGGAAGGCTCGGAAATTGTTCAATAATTTTCCAATATGAACTTTATATTTGCTTGATTACATGGTGCCATCTACAATTGTGTATGCCCACCTCGAATGTCATGCTTTCTGTGAAAGACAGTGACAGGCGACAAACAACTTCAAGTCGCGAGACAATTCGTTTTAAGTCCGTTGAAACTCCGACATCATGTGATTATGTTGAACTTCTGAATTTCCCAACACGGAAATTCATTGTTCTTCCTTCCCACCACAATGTTCAACTTGTCCTCGACAAACGGTGTCCTCCCTCGTCAAGTTACAGCATCCTCCCTCCCTCGTTGACGAACCGCATCCCTCGACGAACGGTGTCCTCCCTCGTCCATGAACGGTGTCCTCCCTCCCTTGAAGAACAGCATCCTCCCTCTCTTGAAGAACGGCTTCCTCCCCCCCTTGAAGAATGGCTCCCTGCCTCCCTTGAAGAACAGCTGGCTCCTGTGAAGAATGGCTTCCTCCCTTAAAGAAAAGATCCCTCCCTCATCGACGAACGGCTCCCTCGTCGACAAACGACTCCTCCCTCAACGAATGGCTCCCTCTCAGCAAACAGCTCCCTCCCTTGACGAAAGGCTCCCTCTTGACAAACAGCCCCCCTCCCTCGACAAACGGCTCCCCTGATGAACAGTGTCCTCCCTTGACAAACTGCTCCCTCACTCGTCGACGAATGGCATCCTCCATCCCTTCTTGACTGACGGCGTTTCTCCCTCGATGAATGGTGTCCTCCCTCCCTCGTTGACAAACGGTCTCCTCCCTCTCTCGTTGATAAATGGTGTTCCCCCTGCCTTGAAGAACGGCGTCTTCCCTCGCTTGTCGACAAACACATCTTCCCTCTGTTGTCGACGAATGGTGTCCTCCCTACCTCATTGATGAACGGCTCCCTCCCTTGAAGAACGGCGTCCTCCCTCCCTTGTCGACGAATGGTGTCCTCCCTCCTTTGAGTCCTCCCTCCTTTGAAGAACGGCTCCATCCCTTGACGAACAACCGTCCTCCCTTCCTTGTTGGCGAATGGCATCCTCCCTCTGTTGATGAAAGATGGACGGTCTCTTATTCCATAAATTTGATATAGTGCAGTCATTACTATGTAGAATATTAGGATATCTTGTATAATGTAGTAGTGCAGACAATAAACTTATTTTTTCGTAACACAAGTTCTGTGTAAAAATCATGCAATATGGTATTAAAATGAGCAGAATGTATGCCCCCCCTCTAGGAATCTGCAGACCCCAGGGGTTGCTACTGAGGACTGCAGATCTGCTCCGTAATTCTAGGGAGCACTATGAAGTGGCTATGTGTTTCTATGAATGGCTGCAGATCTGCTCTGAGATTCTAGGGAGTGCTGTGTAGTGGCTGTGCGTTTCTATGTAGAGCTGCATAGAACGCGCAGGTGACTGTAAAGGTGATACCCCTTTCTATGGTGCTATGGCACTACACAGCCCTGCCACGTGCTGCCTAGCTCACCCAGGTTTTGCTGATGTAACCCCAAGTTTTCAGGACGACTGTGAGGGTACCCGGTAGACAGATTCACCCCTCACACGTGAATGCCATATCGAGGCCAGAGGTCCCGAGTGAACAGGCGTGTGCAGTTTTTGTTGGTTTTCATCGAAACGTTGTGGACGCGTTCCTTGCCCATCCGGATTCCGGATGCCAAGGAAGTGACGTATGTAGTCGACTGGGGTTAACAGAAACTTGCCCTTCACCTGACTTGCTTTATGTATAGTCTCTGAATCAGAATCAGCACTTGAGTACTATGACAAGATGGGTGTTGTTGATGAGCAGAGCCTAACCATTTGATGTGGAATATATGTATGGCCAACGTCGATGCATATCGCGTTTTCATCGTCATAGCCCTTAAATCCGGGGAGCGTAGTTCCTCCGATTGCAGTTTCTTGGGTTTAGTAGTTCCGCTGATTCGACGTAACGGACGTTGAGGGAAGAGAGTGGTCATTAAACTGACCAAACTGGGCCGGCCGAGTCTCCGGCGTTACCGACGTTGACTGATCCTTGCCAGTTCACTGCCGACTGCTTCAAGCTCGACACCTACTCCACGGCGCCCTCGACCTCTCTCTAGCTTGAGCTATAAGTATGGGCCAAGTACGGGCTCCTCAAGTCCCAATTATCAGCACTCAACAGAGTCTCGAGTTGATGATGCTACCTTGAGGCAACCTTGAGCTTCAATCGCGTCATTTCGAAGAGTCTGGGAGAGCTTTAGCCTTTCACCCGGTGTTCTACTATCATGATTTATATAGCGCCTACCAAGGCCGCAGTATGGACGACAATCTCCTCGCGCAAACTCTGAGGATGTCGTCGCTGACAATTCCTCATTACACGCACGCACCAGTAACCAAGGCCAACTGTAAGTTCTCTGAAGCTTCATTTGAATGACCAATGGCTGATGCGTATTTCTTATCTGTACAGTGGAGTATGCGGACCTTGCTATCATTGACTTATCCAAAGCAGGGACCTTGGAAGGGCGTTTGGAATTGGCGAAGGACGTTCGTGAGGCGCTGAGGAACCAAGGATTCTTCTACGTCGTCAACCATGGCTACACGTCTGCACAGGTACTGTAGCACCACCACAAAGATGTCGGATATGCACTTATGAGTTCTCAGATGGCCAGGATATTTGACATTGCTGATATCCCTTTCGCTCATGTTAGTGAAGACGAGAAGAAGACCTATGCTGCGAAGATGAAGGAGACAGGCTCGTTTCAGGGGTACAAGCCTCGCCAATATTGGGTGGGTCTCTTCTCTGTTTTTGACTTCTAGATAGGGGCTGATAGACTTCGTTGCTTCAGCACATAGATAACGGAGTTCGGGACCAATTGGAGCATTACAACAGTAAGACCACCTAACTAGGGAACGGACGAAGCTTTGACTGATGATGTGTTCTAGTCAACCGAGACGTCACGAAACGTCGACATCCTGAACCACTCCGGCCTTTCTTGCCAGAGATCGGCGCTTTTGCTCGACACAATCATGACGATGTATTGCATCCCATCCTCAGGTACTTTTCCTTTTTTGTTGCATTCACGGATTTGGCTTACTGTTCCCGAGGTTATTATCACTTAGCCTTGAGCTGCCGGAGGAGACATTGGCGAAGTTGCACGAGTTTTCGGCGGTTGGAGAGACATATGGTGAGTTTTCGTCGAGGCCTTCAAAATGCACCTTCTTCAACACGGAAAATTAAGTTCGGTTCATGAAATAGTGAGTTCCCCCCTCACAGAACGGAACTTTACTCAAGCAATTTGTAGTTATCCACGAAATGAGGAAGAAGAGGCCAAGACGAAGGGTGTTTGGCTGAAAGGCCATACAGGTATGGAGTTCCAGTCTGAGCTTGACAGTCTCGCTGATGGGGGTGTTAAGACTTCGGGACACTCAGTATCCTCTACAGTCAACCTGTCGCCGAGCTTCAAATCCTAACCAAGGATGGGACTTGGAAGTGGATCAAGCACTTCGATAATGCACTGGTACACTTGTTTCATTTTCTCCAGGGTATCTTTCTCAATCAGGCTCTTTCTCATAGGTGATCAACGCAGGAGACGCAATGGAGTTTCTCTCAGGAGGGTTTTATCCCGCAACAATCCACAGGTTCGTTCATCACACCCTTCTTTCGAACGTTCATCATCCTCCACCAGAGTCGTCCAACCACCCACAGATCAACAGAAGTATACCCGTCTGGGGGTGTTTTACTTCTGCACGACAAACGACGATGTGAAATTGGTACCGCTTGCCGACAGTCCTGTGCTGAAACGGTTTGGGATCACACGAAGGTTTGAAGACGGTGATGAGCCCACTATGGGGGCCTGGAGGCGAGCGAGGACTGTTGCTTATGGTCAGTCGGATCTGAAGCCTGCAGATGATAAGGGGGTTGAGGAAGAGATTATCAATGGCGTTCCGGTCAAGCATTACAATTGAAGGGACTGATTAAAACCAATGTGTACCGAGTATTACGATAATGTCATTGTATGTCTGGAGTCTCCTGACAACACTGCCACCATGGTCACCTCGGTCACCTTTTTCCACACACACTACCACGTTCATGCTCTTCCCCTCCACACCATGAGCAACGACGACCCGCTTGAACGTGTCGATAAGGGCAAAGCTAGAGCTCAAGATCCCACAGAACGAACTCCTCTTATTGGTGGGACGTCGCAGCCACCTCTGGTGCTCGACTCGGACGATGGGGAACATCATACAACAATAAACCGCCGACTACGCGCAAGACTGACCACCGTCTTTCTCGTCACATTCTCTTTTTGTATAATTGCTTTGATTTTTTTTGCTCTGCTTGCTTGGACTTATGCTGCTCGCGCGTCGAGACTGACTCCGGAGGACATCATCAAGAATGATCTGGTGTACCAAGGACCAAGCCGCGTGGATGTTTTAAACATCAGCTTGGATGGGGGTGTGTGGGTTAGGGTGGAGGGTAAGTTGGGGGTAGATGCTGGGGCTGCTATTGGGGTCAACTCGGACGCGGAGGATGGGATATTGACGGACATTTGGAAGATGTTTGGGAGACATGGGGTTCGGGCTTTGGGTAAAGTGTCGGTGAATATGAGTACAGTGACGATAACGCCGCAGTACGATACCTCTATCGTGCTGTTGACTGTTCAAATACCGCCTTTGGAGGTGCCACTTACTGTCGACCCGCCCCGAGACTTTTCGTGGTTGACGACCGTTTCTACTCCCGTCTACCTGCAGCCTACTACCAACACCACTTTGCTTCTGGGGTTCCTGAAAGATTCATGGCAGCATGGGTCATTTAACGTTCGCGCGGACGTTGGAGACGCAACTGTTCGTGGAGGTGGCTTGCGTGAGGAGACGTGGAGAAGCAAATTCCACTCAAAACTTTCGAATATCCGGACCTTCATTCGCATGAAAAGTGTGTCCTTATCTTTTTACACTTCTCCTATCTGACAAGAGAACAGTGCCTAGAATCCCTGGCTTTCCACAACCAGGCAAAAGCACTCCCTTTCCCTCAGTCGAAGACCTCGTAACCCTCCAGCATCTCAGTGTATCCTCCTCGAACGACAGTCTGTCCCTCCATGCCAAAGCAACAATGGTAGATCCCGCTCCAGAGTGGTTCAATCTCACCTCACCCTCATTGCCATTTACCGTCTGCCTAGCCACCAAAGAACTGCCCCTCCCCATCGCCGCAGTGAACACACAGCCAATCACCCTAACCCACCCCAACATCACCCTCCTTATCGACGGCACAGTGCTCCCTCTATCACCGCCCTCCTTCCGCATTCTCTCCCAGTTCCTAACACGCTACCTCTCAGGCAAATCAAACGACATCATCATCTCTTCAAACGCCTTTCCCGGGTTGAATGTCCAGACCACTTTCCCAGGACCCAACCCCAAGCCGCACATCCTCCGCGATGTCACCATCCGCGACATGAAGATCAAACCCTCCGGCACGTCCTTCCTCGCAAGCGGGACTGTACAAGCAAGAGTCGTACTGCCCAAGGGCATCAACGTGGGCCTGGACGTCTATCGCGTCTTACCGGACGTACTGATCTTTGACGGGGAGGTCCCAGAAGGGGCTCTCGCGCTACCACCACCAGTTACGCCCCTACCGGACCCCCTCCCAGAACGTGCGTTTGGGCATCTGAGACCGGAGGACTGGTTACCCTCTATTAGCGTTCCTGATGTATCAGAGGACGGAGAAGGCGCGGCGTATGCTGTGTCTGCCAAGGTTGTTGACTTGCCTTTGGAGGTTCTTCCAGGGCGACAGAAAGAGTTTAATCACTTCGTTAGCAAGGTACCTTTCCTTTTTCTTTTCTCGTGCTTGATAAGGTGATATATCGTCGATCAAGGTCATATTCGGCACAGATGGGGCTGTCGCTGGTATCCAAGGATCGGCAGGTGTGACTGTTGCTGTTCACGGACTGCCTTTGGGTGGTGGGCCTGAGACCGCGACAGGGCAGATAGATTTGTTTGGGCTACCTTTTCAGGGTAGTGTGAGGGTTGGGAAGAAGGGTCTCTTTAAGGCGGGTTGGGAAGGAGTTTTAGAGCATCTAGGGATGTCACGATAGTTTGTGTATCTACTATGTTTGTTCAGGTGTTTGAAACTTTTTCACCGCTGCGCGATTTCTGCCTCACCACTTCATTGAATTCTTTAAATTTTTAACAAGCCAATAATCTTTTTTCTCTTCTATATAAATATCTACTTTTTTTTGGTATAAATGTGTTGTGTTCGCTGTCGGAGGCGTTCCGGTGCTCAGGGTTCAGATATATCAGGAGATTGAAACTCGTGTCACACTAGGTAACAACGAATTTGGCTGATGGATGATGTGCGAATGTCACGCAAATGTCACGTTTTTCGAGCTGTTTTGCGAGCAAAATTTGGTATTTTGCCCTTCCTCCCGAGAGCACTTCATCTCCCCCTCTAGAAATTTGTAGGTAGACTTTCAAATACAATTTAAATGTACTTGGAAAGTTTCAGAATAAACAGTCTAGCCGATCCAAAGGGATCTGAGAAAACATTCCAATACTTTTGTTTGGTTGGTGTAATGAAAAGCACAAAGTCATGCCTCCAGAGCACAAATCTTCGAATCTCCCTCTGAAAATTTGGAATAGTAAATCTCATGCATAAATACATCTTCCCTGAAATTTACAAGATCCTAAGGTAAGCGGAAGGCAAGATAATGTGCAGTTTCAAACTCCTGATGGGTTTCAAACACCTGAACAAACATAGTAGTGTAAGTCATAGCACTTTCGTGTGTATATTAATGTTGTATGTGTGTGGATGCAAGCCCATCCAGAGATGGATTTGTCTTTCACTATGTAGCATGGTCGACAAAGGGAAAATTGAAACGTTGACCGTCGAGTGACGTGGGAATGTCAACTTCGGCAAATTCATCGATCTCATCAACTTCAAACAATCCAGCGTATCGTCGTCAAAATACCCTCCGTGTTCGGTATTATTTCTCTTTTTATCAACCTGAACTCCTTTTCACTCTTGCTTAAGTAGTGACCGATTGCAAACTTCCTTCATTACAAAGCACTTCAAGAGGCAAACTTCACAATGGACAAGTCAAAACAAGTCTCGAAGCGACGAAGAGTACTTTATGAAGTTGGTGCGTAATTTTTTGTTGGGTATTCAGCAGGGTTCATGGTGGCCATGACCAGAGGTCATTACAAAGGCTCGAATTGTACATGATGATCAAGCAAAAGGGCGAGAAGATGGAAAGGGCATCGTGCGTCATGTATCCTCCATTTCCTTTCCTCGTGGAATTGAAGTATCTCTATCCTCACAGGAATACTTCGTGAAGGTATGTGATATATATTACCTGGGACATCCCACTTTGTCTTACAGACTTGCTATTCAGTGGGCTGGTTATGATAGCAGTGAAAACAGGTATTGACTCAAATTCTTCCACTGTTTACTGGGGTCTCCTATTCTGTCTGGACAGCTGGGAGCCAGAAAATGGTCTTGTGGGGTTTGAGCGCCTTGTTGCAGGTTTCTGGAAGCATCTCAGCATTCCCAATCCATATTGCTGTAAGGTGGGGACAGAGCTGAAGCCTGAAAGCACTACCTCCATGGATCAGTTGAGTGGAAGAGATCATCATAACCCATTACTCTAACTGTAGTACTTTGTTTTAGAAAAAGAGAAAGAGCTGTTTGCTCAATGTATGCAGGAAGAAAATGTTGAAAAAGAAACACCAGTGAAAAAGGTGATATCTCTCATGTCAATAGGTTAAATGTCCTCAAGGACAATTAATATTGAAAATTTGTTATAGAGGATGGAAATGATTAGACCAATTGTGATTTCAAGATCATCACCAAGTGTCCCATTGTCACAAACTCTGAAAAGAAAGGTAGGAAACTTACAGCACCAACTATGCATTGAAAATATCTATTAATTCACTTTGAAGGGAATATTTCAAGATGAGCCTGAGGGTGACATATCTCCACAATCAACTGTGGTTGTCAATAGAAGGAAAGATGCTGCAATAGTAAGTTAAATCTTTATCTTATCTCTTACACTGGAATTTACAAGGTGGAAAAAAAAACAGGATAAACAGGCCTTGACTACTGAAGCTGAAACTTCATTTGAGGGAGCTCTGGGCAAAGAGGTATGTGAAGTTTGGATTTTCTGCTTATCCAATCACTCAATTTAGTGGAAAAAGTTTGAAGTTATGCTTCAATTGCCCTCACCATCCTCCTCAAACTCTCTGTTTGGTGGTTCACCAGAAAGATTGTCACCAGAAGACCATGATCATATGGCCGTGGATGACCCACCACCACCAAATTCTCCAAAGGCTCCCTCTCTCCAGGCTATCATCACTGACAGACTTCCTGGACCTCCTGTTCAGAAAAAGCACCCTCTGACAATGTTTCTACCACCATCGAGGTTAAATGAACTACCAAGCCATCACTCCCATTCCACTCACATAGTCTCTGGCCTTTCAACAAAACAAATTCTTAGCCAGGGTGCTTTGGTACCCATCCTTGCAAGAAACATAGCTTCAAGCAGCTCCCAGAAGAGCTCATGGGCTGGTCCACTTGAAATGAGACATAATGCTGGGCCTACCCAATCTCGAACAATGCAGTTCATCTGCAATATTGCTCTTCTCAAAAAAACTACATCCAAATTCAAGAGGCTAGAAATGGCAAACATCCTATCAGAATCAAAGAAGGTTCAGTTTATGAGCTTTCATGATGTAGAAGATTTCTACATTTTCTCTCAAAGCTGTAAACTTCCTTGCCAGTTTGGCCAGTTTGGCCCTCATACTCCGAGAGATGCAGCCTTATTCTCTCTAGTTGTAAAGATGATGACAAAAGCAAGAAAGGTAAGTTCTATTGTAATTTCAGAAAGTTTGAATGATCATATCTCATTTCTATAAGGTTGCTTTGCTACCTCTCACATCTCATGGTCACCTGATTGGGCATATTGTTTTTATGCCTGAAGCTTTACAATCTAACCCTCACAATCTCCTTCAAGTTCCATCAAATGTCAATGGAGTTACTGGTGAACATTTGACTGCAGCCATTGTCCTATGGAGACTTCAACATCACACCCATTGTCTCAGCCCTTTCAAAGCATTCCCCCAAAGGCCTTTGACCCATGCAGATGCTCCTGACATCAAACAACAAGAAAACTTTCTCCAAGCCAGAAGAAAATTTGTCCTTGCCATCCAAATGCTGGGCTTCCCTCATAAACTTTATGAATTCTTTCATGATACAGTGAAAGATAGAACCTTTTCTATCTGGTGGAAGACACTTAATGACAGTGAGGCTAGTGCCCAGGAGACCTCAATGCTCAGGGACATCCTGGAAACCACATATGGAAGGCTGGTTGGTTATGAAAGAAATGCTCGAGTCATTTTTGTGCATGTTTCAAGCTTTGAAACTATTCATATGATTCCTGAGCTTGTGAACAGAAGGCGGGGCTATCCACACAGGGTACAGTTCTATACTTATGGAACTTCTGAAGCCATACCAAAAGTCTTCTGGGGGATTCGAGAACTTGATCCATGTGGTATGATGGGTTTTTATTTTACTCACTCTATCACTTAAATTTTCTTCCTCAGGAGGAGTTGTTACATTTACTCCCCATGCTTTCCTCAAAAATCCACTTCAAGTAATGGATGTTTTGAGAAAAATTCACAATCACCCATTGTGGGTTTCTTATATCCTTCCACAAGCTCTTGGCATGCTGGCAAAATTGTCTTGTATGGATGGAGATGGAGATCCCTTGATTTTGAAAAAATATGATCAGTAAGTTTGAGATCCTCATCTCCCAAAAAATAACTGAGCTGTTGACACCTAGGGGACATTTCCTCTACACCTGGGTTTTGAAGTTCATTGAGGAGGGAGTGACGGCTCTCTTGAACAGCCCCAAAAAAGTCAATGATGGTTGGATTCAGAATTTTTTCAAGCTACAACCACCCTCAGCTCGAGATGTCCTTGAAATTGCTATTGGGGGTCTGGAAGAAAAGTTCAAAAATGCACCAGTATTCCAGTGGAACGGGCTTATTGACAAAGCAATCGAGTCCGACCTCAAGGAAATGCAAAAACAGTTGGCTATTATGACAGAGTACAGGAGATATGTTATCATTACCAGTGATGAAGATCATAAGCTGCATCAACCTGAGATTGCCTCAGATGGGGTAAGTTGTACCACCCTTCCACAGTAATTAAATGACTGACAAACTTTGTTACATATCTAGCTGGAATGGATCAACATTTCAAAGTTCAAATTCAAGGACGACTTTTACTTGAAGTGACACCCATTTTGTTGAAAAGAGATTATTTTCACAAGCCATACACTTTAGAATATACATACAATAAAGCAAATTTTGACATTCTAACATCCATTCAAGACTGCCGTTGTCCAGCATTGAATCCTAGTTCCACAGGGTCTACTTTTTTATTCCCTATGCGGAAGAGTCAGAGGAAGCTTTCATGCCAGAGGTTTTTCAAGCTCACCACCAAGCCTGCTAGGCAAGGTTGAACCCGAATCGGTGAGTCAAGACATCGAATCACAAAGAGTTGTTCAACAGGCGCAGCAGGAGGGCAAAACAGGAGATTGAAGTGAGGTTAAAAGCAGCATTAAAGCGGAACACCCCAGGTGCTACCAAAAACAAACCTCTTCCAAGGTGTCTGGTCAGCGCAATGGTAAGAAGGTGACGGCAGGTCCTCTATGGAGGACAAGAGATCATGTGTGTCCCGGCCCAGTGGCTCACCCAGCATTAACAATGAGGTGAGTGTGGACAATGCTGCAGTGTTCAATACGGTGGATATTTTTGAACAGCGGGAGTCTATTTCCCTTCGAGGTCTGGTGACTGTTGCACTGTATGGCAGAAGTGGACTGGGAGTAAACCGGTTGATTCGTTGCAACAAGTTACAAGATGTTCTCACCAAATTTCCACAGCAGCCCTATTGAACCTGACGTAGTATATTCGTATCACCATTGACTGATCCACAGTCCAGAATTCTGGAAGTTCCATGCCTCCCGGTGCTTTCTTAGCAGCTGACAAACCTGCTCTTCATTGCCTTCAGGTGCTGTGTGGCCCCGCGTCCAACTCCGAGAGGTTCAGGTACTCAGTACTCATGCACGATCACAGTGCGCCCAATGAGGACTGTAACCAGTCAAAGATCAGGCTTCTGGAAGGCTATGCTGTGGTAGGAGAGAGGTAACCACTGCTGGTGAATGACTGGACTTGGAACTGGGATGGACTGCAGGTCGGCTCACCTCTGCAACTTGGTGCTCTTGGGGTTTGCTCTGGAGATGACGTGAGGGCATTGACGCTTAGTTGACTCTAGCAATTGCACAATAACCTTATGTGACAATCAGCTTTTGATGTCGTTTCGCTGCCAAAAGATCGTAAATCAATCGTAAATGGGATGAAATCCGGAATTTCTGCTACAGTCATCCACCTGCTAATGATACGCTGAAACTGAGAAATTGCATCCAACAATTTGAAGTACAACATTCAGCCATAAAAACTACATGAATATTTGAGATAAATTACACTCTATAACCCTACCAAATTTCAGAATGTTTGAACCACAGGTCAGGAAGAAAAGTCAAAATTATGAGTGTATCATTGGGTGGTGTGACTGTATTGCAGCAATTTCCAAAAACAGTCCATTTTGAAAACTTCACAGCAGCACCAATACTGCTTCAATTGTTCCCAAATTTTGTAATACGGTAGATGTGAACCTATAGTGCATGTTACAATTTATTTCACAAAGATTGATGTAGTATTGAGTGAGATATTAGTTGGTCAAAAGTGTATGCCCACTACGTAGTTAGCGGGTCTTATCCTATGGGCCAGCAAAGCTCTTGCGTGGGTAAGTTTAGCCATGTTTGGCCCCTTCTGAGTGACTCGGTTTGGGTTCGAGCCTTCCTCTTTCTCGTGTTCCTCCACCATGTCCTTTTGTTTCGAGCTCGACGGCTCTCCCGTTTCTGCTGAGCTTTCCTGTGGTCCTCGATCCTATGTGTCCATTGCTTGCTCAAACTGTTTGGGCTTGTCTTTCTCTGGGGAGTGTGCTGATCTTGCAGTCTCCGTGAAGATTGGCGATAGCTGGCCTACATGTATTATGTCTCTGCTTGTCTCAGGCAAACATCAAGAGTTTGACTTGGTGTTGGGTGGAGACTGGAAGGGCCTGATGAAGGAGCTCGGCTTGGCTACAGGTGTTATCTTTCCCGTGGCATTGGTACGTTTATCTTGGGACTTGAACAGTTGTTGACACATATTTCAGCAATGTTCCATTGTTCATGGTCCTATCCCTGCCTTCGAAGTCAGAGAACAGACATCTCGGAGGTCCGCATCTGTAAGCATTGTCTCATGGTACAATGCCCTTTCTGTTATTGATAAGTGTTTTAGCCTCCAGCCGGGCACGGGTCCTCTGGTGGCGGCGACAGTGGGGGTCATGAATGCGTGGAGCCAGCTGTAAGTTGACACGCCTTGACTTAAGTGTTATAATCACAAGGACATCTAGGGGCCATTGCCAACCATTGATCTACCAAATTGCTCTCTGCACATTGACAATTTAAACACGGAACATGTTCAATTTAAATCTTTAATCTGTGACCCGAGCTCTTCATTTTTCGTGTTGGGTGGCAGCAGCTCTGCTGTTGTGGAGGCACTTAGACTTCATGGTGTTTTGTATGAGGGTCTCAGTGGTGATGCCCGTCGAGCTGCTCTTGTTCATCATCTTTTTTATGGTCATTGCCATCGTCGTGCAATGACCAATTGTCGCGCTGTTGTGCAGATGTCGACAAGTATGGTGTCTCTTGCCACCTCTCTTTCTGAAGAAGTGTTAGCATTGTTTCGACGTTCCGAGCTCCCTTCTGGGATATTCCAGGATTTATGTCTGTTGTTGGGCTTTTGAAAAGAACAGGCTTGTTCAGAGTCAAACATGCTCGCGTTTTATGAACATCGTCTAGATATGTTGCGTGATCCCTGTACGTTTTACCAGCTGTCCAACTTTTTTTCCAATTATGATCACATGGATTGTCCTACTTTGTTGAGTTTGTGTGGGGTTCATGGGTTACCTTTGGATGGAACGATGACCATTCTGACACGGATGACGACAATCATTGATACACATTCAAGACTCTCAACCACGGCAGCAAACTGACTATGATTTATCAATATTGTACTACTTGTATATCTCCAAATTTGTATACAATAGTATTATTGACATTCGTCTCTACCATTATTGGGATTGGTCGCCGCACTTTACATAATCGCCGTAGCGGGCTTTGCGCCCGAAGGCGCGCTGCCATCAGGAAAATCACGGGGACTTGATTTTGCCAGATAGTATTTGTCATGTCAAGACAATGTGGCACTGCTTTGGCTTTTTTGATAATGCGAGATATACGTGTAGAGTTAGTGTGAAAATTTGGTGAATTATAGTAAGCATTGTGCAACAATTTCAGTTGTAGGCCCAACAAATGAATTATTATAAGCTGTGGATAAAATTCTGCATTATATACTAAAATCTTGCAATTCTGATAGCCTAGTTACACAAAGAGGCCAACCGTTAGAATTCTGGCAGACAATGACAAAGAAAAATATTTTTCAACCTGCTTTACAGACCTCCTACCATGACTTGCCAATATTCTATAATTGGTTACAAGTGGGATAAAAATATTCTATTACTAGGCCAACAGCAACAATTGTGGAGTACTTATGCCAAGATAGAATAATTTTCAACCCATATTTCACACTTCCTACAATAGCTGGCCAATACTCTATAATTCTGACAGCATGGAAACAAAAAGAGGCCGACTACTAAAATTGTGGCAGACCCATAACAAAAGAGGATAAATTTCAACCTCCCTTCCAGACATCCTACAAAACTTTGCCAATATTCTATAATCCTGAAAAGCTGGTTATAAAGAGGATATAAGTATTCCAGCGCTAGGTACCGGCACTTGATTTTTCTTGATGATGTTTGTCCTCAAGCAAAGTTATACACAGTTTCATAAGCACTCTGGAAAGAAGGTGATCTGTGACAAGCATTATGCAAACAATTTAGCAATATGGCCAGAAAATCAATTTTGATACTGTGCCATTTCGATCAATTCGGCAGGCCATGTTACGCGTTACATGCCTGCCGAAATTTTGATTTCAGCAGGTGGGGGAGATGACCGTTACATAGATTTTTTTTCGGCAGCTAGGAGAATTTTATATGTAATCTAATACAAATCGCAGGGTTTACAATTTTTTTCTTTCAAAGCGCTACACAATTAGTAGAGACTAGAGATTTTTTTTACGATTTTTTGGTGATTTTCAAAGCTTTTTTTTACATTTTTTAAACGCATTCGGCACTTGGCTCAAACGACCGTTACCTCCGTTACATTTCGGCGATTTTGGAGGTGCCGTTACGCGTTACTGCCGAATTGATCGAAATGGCACAGTAAGCCCATAGTAGCCTACAATGATCTTGCAATTCTGGTAGCCCAGTCTCAAGAAGCGGCAAGTAACTAAGATGATTATGGCAAGCCCACAGTGACTACGCAAGCTTCAACCTATTTTTGGGGTGCCTGAAATAACCTTGCAATACTCCATAATTCTGAGAATTTAGTTATGACTCAAATGTAAATATTCCAGCACTAGCCTACCAATGTGGAAGAGACATAGCAAGGGAGAATAAATTTCAACCTACCTTCTATGGTCCTTGAAATAACTTGTGCTTCCAAGAAGGATACAAATAATGTAGTAAGTAGGCCAAGAAAATGGTATGTGGAGGCTGCATGACCTGACACGGCATGATAATTTTCAACCTACATCACTGTAATCTCCCGTGCTTCATAATTCTAAAAACTGGCTACAAGAAGGAAACAAATTTTGCAGCACTGGCACTACATTGAACTGAGTTATAAAACTCTTCAAAATCTGCCTGATGCCTCTCATAGTAACCTTCGCTGAGTTGATCCTATGCTGTGAAGTTATCAAATGAATCCAGTCCCCATTACAAATTCACCAGCGAAATGGACACCGTCACTATTGAAACCAAAAAAAAAGTGAAGTTATCATTGTTTGACAATGTTTGTGATGGCCATGGAAGCTACGCAACGGCGGGAGTCAACTTATTAATGCTGGGCATAGACACAAAACTTTGATTATGACTCTGCTTAACTTGTAGTTGAAAAAGGCGGCATCGTTCTGAATAGAGCCACAATATATAAAAAGGAATCTTGTCCTAGTCATCATACTCTGACTCAGAGCCAAAAGATTCTGAACCGGGGTCTGAGTCCCTAGCATGAGACGTATCATAATCATCATCTGATCCATACCCATCGTCAAGATCATCCTCCGAATCATTGTTTGAAGAGTCATCATGATGGTCAGAATTTGCCAGCTGGTCCTCGACTTCAACTTCATCACCCGACTCCAGACTGTGAGGTTGATGGTCCATGTTCTCAACAACCTCTAAGTTTGAGTTATGGCCAGCCTCGCTCCCAATGACATGTGAATGGAGGACCCCATTGTTACTGCCGACATGGCCAATTCCGAGGCCAACATGATAGCGCATCAACATATCCCGATCTGCAAATCTGGCAAGCATGAAGTTAGATTCAATAACTCCATGTGAAATGTGGTGCATGACTTACCGGCCAATATAATATTGGCAAAAGTCTGTAGAATCTCGGGCGCAGACCGAGAGACCCTGGCTGTCAGGATACCGTACCCCAAGCGAAAACGCTGGAATGACGTGACATGCCCGAACGACATCATTAGGATCTAGGAACCCGAACGAAGATTCATCAGCCATGGGTGGAAACGAGACGTGTTCTAGTCTGTGTGCTCACCAACTGCCAGGTGAGACCCTTCTGAACCATCTAACCCACAAGAAGTTGAATCTTTGAGGAGTGTAGTCTGGCGTTGCGGCACCAGTTTGGACCACATTGACATGACAAATCCCCAAAACCCTTGCGTATATGAAGGCCAATGACTCATCAGAATCATCAGTACCAGAACTGTCACTCTTTGACAAAACCATTATATCTCGGCGCTCAGTGTTCACGTTGATGGTGTCTTGAGCCCGGCGAATGTCATATGTTGTGTAATTGACGCACATGGTATTGTGAAAGTAGAGGCGATTAAACTTGAAAAGCACATTGTCGAGCGTCTGGGGTTCTACAGTGTGCAGGGGAGCTTGAACTTGATTCAGATAGGCCAGATCGGATGGCACTCTAGCAGCCTGGATGCGAGGGAGCAAATGTGCTTTGAGTTTTGGGAGAAAATTCTGAGATGTGGTGCTTAGTAACGTTTTGCCTTCAAGCGGTTGGGTAAAAGTTCACCTTTGTGGCAGGGTCATCATCACGAGTCCGAAGAAACGAGCCAATATCTTCATAGAGAGCTTCGGATTTTCCTATGTGATGGTGATCCTTGGCCGATCCGTTCAATCTCTCCTTATTACTGTGAGATAGGGGTGAAGTTGGAAAGTAATTTCTTCTGAGGCGCCGCAAACGGGTTTGGCGCCGTTCAATCTGTGTCAATTGCTTGATAAAAAGCTTTTTGTCGGTCCTTCGATACCTCGCCTTCGGAGTTCGGTGTTCCAATTCTCCCTGGTAAAGACTTGTAAGCCATAATGCCAGCAATGAATATATAACCGATGACATAGCTCACGGGCTCAGTGCTATACGAATCTGTTGTCCCTCTTTCTCGAATTTCATTGACGTAGTCTCCAAGCGAGTGGTGCTTGTAGGTGTCTATGTTATACTTTTTGATACGTGGTCCAGTTTGGCCTGCATTGCTTAGATCAACACCTCGTGCGGCGACATCATCAGCTTTTGACTGTTTGGCAGCTCTGCGATGTCGTGCCTCCAGTTCACGAGGGAGTTCGCGAGTTTTGTAGGAGGGGCAAACAATGCTTGAAAACTCACGTAACGAGCTTCCAATTTCAGTTGTCAGATCATCAAGCAGCTGAAGTGTTGGGTCGGAGTGCATGCGAAGTTTAGCAAGTCCATGCCAGTGAGCGCAAATGAATAATAAGCGCATGACTGAAGTTTGATTGTCGCCAGTCAGCAAGCCATCAAACACGGGTAATGCACACTGAGGATGCGTTAAGAAAGTTGAAATCACAGGGTTCAACTATTAGAGATGACTGACTTGCAAAATATCCTCAAAGTCGCGAGCGGCCAACTTCTTCATTTGAGAAGTGTTGGAATAAAACTTTCGAATGGTGCCCTTGCCGAAGGTTGGGATTTGTCGATATCTTTTACATTTGCGTTCAATACTCTAGGGCACGGTACAAACTTTGGAGGGAAACTTGCCTTCGGTCAAGTTCATTTAGCAAATCTGGATTGATTGCTGCCAGGATACGGAGAAGATGAGTGAATAATGCCTTCCACACTCCCAGTTCAAATTCATGCAGCAAATCAACAGCCAGCATCTGAAAAAAATTGAACCCAAGATGACTTAAGTTGTCGGAAAATGCATTCTTTGGTTGCGAATAAGATAACACTAGTGCGGCTGCAGTTTATGGACTTACTTGGTTGGGGACCAAAGACGCCTCTTTTAAAATCCTTTCTACAGTGGCACCATTTACCCTATTGTTTTCTTTGTAGATCAGATTCCTCGCCTTGGCAACGTTGCGGCGCCGCCCCACGTCATCCACTCTTGCTGAAGACTTCCTTTTTTGACGATCTTCTGTAGATCCCAACTTGCTAATCTCCATCTTAGGGACTAGGCAACGCGGGCAAGGGCAGGCTCCTTTGTCGCGAATACTAGCTAAAAGGATCCTAGGAAGGGGTTAGATCAAGCTTCTCCAACCAAACAGGTAACACTCACTTTTCTGGATAATCTGCGGAATATGTGAAGATCCGCGGATAAAACCGTCGAGAGATACCGTCGCCACATCTGATAACAATCCCATGCTCCCATGCATAAACAAATTCATCATCGATGAGAGCTTTCATCTGTTCGTGGAAGAATTCCCGCCCACAATGTGTGTAGAATTGACTTGTCGGTCCTTTCCCACCGGTAAACTTTGAAGCAAAGTCATTAAAGGAAGGGGGTAGCTGGAAGACTGTTTAGAAAGACATGGTAATGAGATGGGATATAGAAATCTACCTTCTCGAGGTATGCAACATGGTTGCAGGATTTGAAGCTTGGTTTTCCACGACGATATTTGGACTCGTTACCGAAGTATACGTATACAGGCCAGAGTTTTGTGTTACCGAAAGATGTGAGGTGTGTAGCATCTGACCAAAACATGAATGCACATATGGCGCGAGGCAACTCGCAGCCCTCCTCACGCGGAGAGCTAAGGAGCTCTGTGTGAGCCCGAAGAAAGGCCCGTGAGGTGTATACCTCGCCGTATACACAGCTTTCTTTCTTACCCGAACCTGTGCGTGTCTGCCATAGGAGCTTGTACGGTTCAATGTGAAAATGACAGAAGTAATGGGGATCGGAGACTCGTTCCTTCATTACGGCAACCAGTGAACGATGATACAACTGAACACCTTCGTATATCCTTGCACCAGGGTGTGTCGCCCCAGTGTGAAAAGGCACACTGATCTTAATCTGTGACACACGCCACCCTTCATCAGCAGCATCCACCCAGTCTTCATCGTCGTCAGCTTGGTTTTCCCCTAGAACAGCATTGATATGATCCCACTTGTTGTGAAGGATATCGGCTGGTACAAACTGAGGGTCCGCGATTATACGGACGAGGTTCTGGAATGTAGCCTGAGTTTTCTGAGTTCCATCATTCCAATACCAATCACCGAGACGAAAAGAACTGTAATTTGGATATGGAAAGAAGTCCTGTGGGGGTGCTGCTGCCCCAGGAGGCAAAGGTGACAATGTTTCGGGGATGCGAGTGCAAAGATCTTCAAATTGGACATGTTCTTCTGGGTCGTGTTGAGGGAATTCGCCCCCAACATACTCACGAACAAGGCCAAAAATATTGCTAGGTGAACGCAGGATAAGCTGTGACATAGATGTTTGAACGTGGCTTTTGCTTGCCCCCACCTCAAAGGGATCAGAATGCTCCGAGGACCTTCTGAGATCATGGGGCGGAAGGGAGGGAGCTGGGCAAGGCAAGATATCACGATAGCGTGCTGGCTGCGGGACATCTCTGCGTGCACCCTTTCGAAGTGCAATAGGCATGTCAGAAGGCACAACATCAACATTAGATACAACAGAGTTGTCGCCTAGGGCATGCTGGAAGTTCTCGCTCGTTTCCGTTTTGTGGCTGTCATGTAGAAGTGTGGTACAACCCTGAGATCTGGTATTACTAGAGGAAGGGGCAGTGATAAACGCCAACGACTTACCTGGGTTTCGACAGCTGTCTTTTGTCTACGCTGCTGTTTTCGAATCTCCCAGAGTTCTTTAGCCTTCGTAAGACCTCTGGCCACACGGTTCTTCACCACCTTGCAAGAACGCAGATGATTGTTGAAGTTATTGGTTTGCGAAAACGACCGCCCACACCTGCAAGTATTTGCAGGCAGCTCCGCAGTTATTACAGAAAGACCTCGATGTGATTCCATCTGGGATGCCTAGGCAGACTTTTCCTCCATGTAAACTGTCGGAAGTAGATTACATAGGGTAACTTGAATAGTAGAAGTTGGAAATTGAACCCACCTCAGCTGGCAGTGAGCCTTGGACTCCGACTCCGTGTGACTACCGTCAGTCGAGTCAGATGTAGCTGATCTCTCGCATATTGTCGTTGCCGTCCTGAGCTTGACTCGGACTTGGCAGCACCGTGACATAAGTTTCCAGCAACCTTCCTCAAGTCGAACTTCCGCGCATTTCGCCCGATAATACAACTTTAGTGAACACGATGCATCCAAATAAAGCTACCATTTTCGATTATTTTTTCCGCTGAAATATCTGCTGTATCGAATTACCGGCGGTTTGGTCTCGAGGTCGGGGGAAGAGAACTTATCATACTTATCATGATCATCGGCTCGGACTCTAGTATCGGGTTCGCATCAACTTCAAGTTCGTGTCTGAGTCACACACCATCATGAAGCATCATGACCGCCAGTTGGATGTGCGAAAGACTCGGCCCGAGTCCGAACGGTGACCAACAATAAGTTCAAATTCAAGTTAGTGACGTGGTACATGCTAGTCACGGTAAGTAGATGATCATGATCATGTTTAGTCTACAATGGAATTAGTTTGCGGTGCACCCCGCGAGAAAACTTGCATAACGCATTTTCATCCATGATAAAATCAAAAGTCACATCCATCTGCTGTTGCGGCGTAAGAAACTTGCTCAAGAAGTTATGAACTGATTCTATCCCCGCTTTGCATTGGTCGATCGGGGGTTTCTTCGCTGAACCACTAGACGTACGAGCACGCTCCGGAATGTAACCCAGCAACTCCAATCCTGCCGCAGCACCACGGTTAATGCTGGTTATGCATTTTGCAATTGTATGAAGGCTCGGTTTCTGAGCAACGGACGTATAGGCATAGTCAGCAGCGAGCAAATATGCGGTAAGATCCCCCAGTTGGGGAAAACGAGGCGGGGACATTCCTGGAGTTCGCAAAAAGTCATAGATTTCCCAGAAGTCATGACTCCGGCTCGCAAACAGAGGCCAGTCACATCCCTCTGCTCCTTTCCATAGCTGGGCGGCGAGCGCAATGTTGCGCCTGGGATTGCTTTGTCCGTAGGCTTGAGGGTTGCAGATATAGCTCTCGTCATGAATCCCCTCAATGGTTTCTCTCCACCCCATAAGACCCTTGAAAAACATGGGTTCCTGCCTCCCAAACTCTGTCCTGAAAGTAATCACTCTCCCAACAACAGCACTAAAAAGGGCCGCTGGGTCTGCCAATACCCCTGCATCAAATGGACCTTCCTTGCCCTTTTGCCTGAGCCTCCAGGGGGTATGCTCGCGAAAGGGCAGAAGGAAGTCCAGATCTTTGAGTATTGCTTGCTGCAACTTGGTAATTTGAGAGTTGTTGATACGATAGTTCATTCCTTGTTGGTTTTGAGAGAAAGTTGGAGCTTCCACTTTGTAATAGAAGACTTGAAGCGACTGGGTGATGAAATCTGCAAAGGCTCTAAGACGTTGTTCTCGGATTTCAGTGATAGCTGAAGGGAGAGGCGTTGAATGATTTAAAGATGGGGCATGGGCCAAAAGATTCTGTGCATTTAATATTGAGTCCGCTTCAACGAGTTGCCCAATGCGGTGAGTCAATGAAGACTCCCAGGAAGAAACATCGTGTAAAGAGTGAGTTCGCAGTACTGCCTTGAAAGGCTCCATTTGCGTATAATCAGGAGATCGACTATGTTGCTTGAGAAGGCTGCCTCGCTTCATTGTTTCATGGGCCTTCCAGATATAGTCCAAATATAACACCTTTGGATTGAAAGTCTCCAATAGCGCGCTCACAAACCATGCTGGCCAGCGACGGGTGGAATCTGACATTCCCAGCCACCCAGCCATGACATCCTGTGTGATTCGTATAGCTATTTCTTCAGACTGCTTAGGGCTAGGATGAAAAGGAACCACCCGCGACGCAAGGCGGCAAACAGCAGGAGGGAGGTCGACCGCATATTCGGTTGTCGAAAAGGATCGAGGCTCGGTATTTCTGATGAAAATCATGCGGCATGCATCGAAAAAGAGAGACTGGAGCCAACCCTCCCCTTCCAGTCGCCCTGTACTCCCATCAAACCGAAAAGAACTAGCGTTCATTCCGCGGCATTGCTCTGGGATCCAGCAATCTAGCCAAGTCCACAGGGCACAATTTCCAAGCATTAGATTGGCACGGGTTTTGCGAACATCAATAGTTGTCTGGGCCTCCGCAATGTCTAGATTACGGAACTGCGCAAAGAGTTGGACTGCAGTAGATAAGTTCCTCTCTGCGCCTGGCGTATTCATTAACGAGTGGACATCTTCCAAATAAGTACGCTGCGCAGCCATATCGAGGTGAACCGGCGATGTCTGTATTTGATGAGCACCGCCAGGCGTTGAAATAGATGACCAGATGGACAAGGCACAGGCCTCAACTTGCAGTAGCTCATCTTCAAGGACCGCAAGTGTCAGCTTGGCAATTACTGGATACTCTGGAAACATATCATACATTACAACACCTATTATTCAAATACACTCCTACCCACCTGCGCGTTTGGCACATGCCTTCTTAGCCTGGCTAAACGGCCCACCAGGTTGCTTCTGTATCTCAACGCACGGATACAAGGGAACATGACCAGGCGCGAGGCTGGACGGTGCGGGTGCAGCTAGAGAACTTAGTAATCAGTGACCCATCGAAGAGCTATAAGGATTGAACTTGCCCGTATTTGCAACTGGACCAGGTGCGAGGCTGGATGGTGTGGGTGCAGCTAGAGAACTCAGTAATCAGTGACCCATCGAAGAGCTATAAGGATTGAACTTGCCCGTATTTGCAACTGGACCAGGTGCGAGGCTGGATGGTGTGGGTGCAGCTAGAGAACTCAGTAATCAGTGACCCATCGAAGAGCTACAAGGATCGAACTTGCCCGTATTTGCAGCTGGATCAGGTGCGGGTGCAGCTAGAGAACTTAGTAATTAGTGGCCCATCGAAGAGCTACAAAGATCGAACTTGCCCGTATTTGCAACTGAACCATGGCCGCGCGGTTGTTTGTTGATTTTACCATTCTCTGAAAGGTATTACTCGCGTGACAAAATAAAGCAAGAATAACCATACCAGTAGTTTTGACCGGCCTGTTTCGCAAGTCATCCAAAGCCCCCTCTTCCTCGGAGCCATAAGAGCCTTCGTCTCCTGCTTCGGCTACATTGTCATCAGACGAGCTGAAATCTTCTCCCGTGTCCATCTCAGACTCGCCCGAATCGGCATCACTGTCCAGCTCCAGCTGGGACGCTAACAAGTCTCTTTCATCGCCAGTGGAGACATCATCGAGGAGAGCGTCGGCGATCTCAGCCATCTCTATATCCTCGTCTCTCATTTCTTCTGCAAGCGTGTATGTGTCATTTGGATCTTCAACCCACTCTCCGTCCGAAAAATCTTCATCAACCCAATCAGACTCATCTTCTGGATTAAAAGGTTCCACCTTCCCGGTATCCACCATTGAGGGAATGTGTTGTGCCAGCCTGCGCCGGTGGCGATTCCATCGCTGCTCCTGCTTGTTTCGACTCTCCTCCTGAAAAACACCGTTGCGCCAACCTGGCCCATTCTTCCAGGGTGTGCAGCGCACGCGCACCCCATCCACGACATGACTAAAAGACCCAACAAACTCATCTATATCACACTGAAAGTCGGCATGTTCGGGCGATTGCCTGATGATAAAGACCGCTAGGCTGGCCAGGTTACGGACAATAAAGTCAGCGTGTTCCTGCTGGGCCATTATCGTGGAGCCTTCGCGGGTGAAGGTAGTGCCCCGCCGCCCTTCCGGTGACCCTTTACTTGACGTTTTAGCTGTATTGGTGCTTTCTACTGATCCCCTGACCGATGATTTCTCTTTATTTGGCAACATCGATATTCGCCTGCAGAAAAAACCCTTAGCCTAAGATAAAGGGAAGAAAGATGAGTAGAAACTTACTCGCCCTTCCTGATTTCCTTCCCAATAGTCCAGCGCGACCCATCATAAAGGATACCCAGTGGGAAGCGTGCAGAGTCAGAGAATGCGGTAGTTGGCGGGTATGCCACCGCAACGAATCTGATGGCAGCGGGGTCGGGGTTACCATCAGATGTAGTGATGGGGGAGCTCCCATGGTAGTGACGACCGGAAAAATTGATGCAGGTGTATTTTGCACAAGTCACATATACCTGCGCAATGGGGAAAAAAAAGCGGCCTGGATCATATCCATCAGGGTATTCCGACATCACAACAACCGTTGTGAAACAGCCAGGTTCGTCCCGGCCGTCTTCGTGCTTGCCTCCGAAACGCTCGCCCATCAGGGTTTCTAAACCAGCATCTGCATCGGCTGATTCCGCAGGCGCGAAGTTGAGCTGTAAAGGACCTAGTAATCCTTTGCCGTGTTGGCCAATGCGAGGCAGATTGAGACGAGTAGCTTGTTCATTGACAGCCTGGGGTATTTGGCCCGTTGCCTGCCGTTGGGACTCTGCCACTGCAGCACTTGCTGCCTATCACGAAGAATCGCTAAAAATGACAAGCTTAAAATCAAGAGAGGCTCACCCTGAGTATCTGCAGCCTCATCTGCGTCCCAGCATCCAATTCATCATCCACACCATGTAGCTTTGGTTTTGCAGTGGGCGCCACGATGGAAGTCGGTGCTTCGCAAGATACACCAACCGTATACTCACGGCCGGTCTTGTCGCCTACCTTGCTTGCATGGCCTTCGCGCTCAAACGCCGTTCCAGTGTCTGTTCGGTTGCGCGTCTCTGGTGATCCAAGAACCGTCTGTTGCGCTTCGTCCAGGGAAGTTATTGTTTGGTCAGACATTGTTCGCCTAATCGGACCAACATTTCAGTCAAAAAGAGTGCACAATGATGTAAAGAAGACCGAACCTGCCAGTGACCAATAGCTTGAGAATGTCCCGTGCAGCAATCCTGAGTCCCACATTTCCTCTCTGGCGAGCCCAAATCTTGGGTCGGCTGAAAAGATAATCTCCTTCTCGAAGTTCTGACCAGCCTGCATGGAGTGTTGATTTTCGTAGACAAAATCAAAGCAAGAAACGGAGCCGTACCTGCCTCTTGAGCCTCTTTTTCACCACCACGAGGAACTTTGAGGCGCTGTTCGAATTTATGCGCCTTCCGCATGCCCCGCCTAGAGGTGTCGATTACATAGACAAATGCTCGTTTGCCCACCCGTGCATCTGTCCGCATCTGTGGATGGTTGAAAACTTGGAACAGTTTTGGTGCTTCCGGGTTGCGGGCACCATTGACTACGGGGCATTCAGAGTAACCGCTTTGATGTTCCAGCATATCGAGGTAACGAGCTGAGGGTGTCTGAGGTGTGACTGTTAAATTTAGGAGAGTGATAGCCACAGTCTCAGATTGATCATCAACTTTTCTCTGTTGAGTATAATGTTTAGCGATAAATCGTTGCGTAAACTTGTGGGCCTGATCCGCGCTTGCATCCGGGTCTCGCTTGCACACCGTTGGCACGTCTTCCGTATGACCGACAGACACATCGATGTTATGGTAGCCCAGCAAAACAATGAAAGCCTGCGTTGACGGTGCCCATACACAACTGACAGATGTCCAGAAGGCAAGGGAGCAGCAAGTATGCTAGAAATCATAGATATCGCAGGATTCAACCTCCATACCATTCCGTGGATATATCAATGTCTGAGCCGCTTCCCTCCACTGCACGGCGAGCATGTACTTGATTCCGGCTGTGACTATGTGCGGCATGCGTTCCAGTTCAATCGCTACCCCCAAAAGTTGGTCTTGTGTTTGCCACAGAAGCAGTCTGTCCAGCGCCTGTGGTCTCCCTTGTGGACATTCACTTTGGAGGCCTCTGCACTGAATCTCGTCTACGATATCTGTAAAAAGAGGTAAGCCCGACATGTCGATCGCTTTCAAGTGCATACCTTCTATTGTTCCAGGCAGTTGTGCTTGCTGTCCTTATTGAAGAGCTCCCAGACGAGTCCCTGTTCGCAAATGAAGCCGAACATAGTAAGAACCAATTTCTGGACTCACTCGAGCACTTGAGCCCCCCATCCTTGCTTCATGGCCTTAACTTCTTCCGAGTCAACAGTATCGGCGCGTATTTTCGTCTTCGATGTTGCCAGTCCAAGGCCTTGAACTTGATGAAAGACTGCGAATACGGTGTAACAAGGAAGGTTTTTCAACAAGCTCCGCTTCGCTTTACTCCTGGGTACTTAGTTTCTTTGATCTGAGAGTCCGCGGACGCCTCTTTGACCCTCTATAGTTATCATTTCTGGTCAAGATCTGGAGTTTACTTACTAGGGGAGAGCTCCTATCCGACTTGTCTACTCGTGGCTGTCGTACAGCTTTGATGGATGAGCATCAAACGCCGCTGTGGGTCGCTTGCCACGACGCACCTGAACAGAATGCACTGGTCCTCCGTCATCTCATGTGGTGGTACGTTGTTGGCGATCTGAAACGTTTGGACGGAGTTCCTCCTCAGGATTGTGTTCTGAGTCCAGCCTTGAATCCGAATTTGGGGCGACTACTGCTAGGACGCTATGGTGAGATTGGGCAGTCGTCATCTGGAGCCATTCCTTTCGATGATCATCCTCCAGGTTCATCATGTCGTAGACGCAACTTTCAATGCCAGTGTCCTTGCAATGCTTGATTACCTACTAGTAAAGCGATCAAAACTTGTCGACTCGGAAAAAACCCTACAGCGTGGCTTACCTCTGTCTCAAAATATCTTGTCGAATAGGAAAGCCCTTGTGGCTGATGTGATCTAGGTGCGGTTGTAGAGTCGATGTTGAGGAATTGATCAGGTTTATCCGAGTCATCTGCAAGGCAGTGAGTCAGAAGGTCGCGGACTGTAAATCGGTACTATTGCCTGGAGGGAACAAAAACGATGACGAGTTTGGCATTCCAGAAGATCGAGATAGACATGCTTCATTTAACACGGCAATCATCAGGGAGGGGAAGTGGAGGGGTCACAGTGAGGGACTGAAGACGAGTCAGTGGAGTCGCAGTTTGGCATCATGTGACTGCAGATGGACCGAATTTTTGGAGAGCTGTAACCACCCCAACGTCATACTAGATTACAAATCCTTCTGCATCCCCTTGAACCACTGCCCAGTCCCACGGAGTGCCAGATGAGTTTCCCCATCCAAGACTACCCTGAACATTGTCACACAGTTGCCAGTATGAGATGACACGCCACTCCTAGCATCAAGTCATGCTGACAATGCAACACAGATAGCGACTCCGAGTCGGAACAACTTGAACCTCCCGAGCAGGCTGCTGAGACCGGTGTGACAGGAATGTTGTTTGGCACCTTTGGTGCAGCACACGTTGATGCCAATGATACTGTGGTATGTTGCTACCACTTTGAAATGGTATTGAATAGGCTAGAGCTGACATGCATAAATTGGAGACAATTGGCACCAGTTGGCAGTGAGCGCGACTCGGAGAAGTTGTGGCCCGAAAGGGATAAAATAATAATGGTGGCACAAATGGCACCTGCATGTACAATGCTGTAATAGCACGCCAAAAAAAAATTGGGGCGTAAGGCAACAAAAGTAGAGAGCCTGCATTTGAAAGTAGTATGAGTCTGTCATCCGAACGTCTTGCAGTATAACCAAGAGACGACGCTGGTGCAACTTGGAACAACTGCTGCAAAAGGAGCAGAGCCTGCACAATGATGCCCGCCCACCTAGCTTCAGCCTTCCGCAGAGTCAGAGACATCGATGCATGATGCCTTCATGAAATGGTCAACAATGAGCATCAGCCTGCCAAGAAGAATATCCTACATAGATCCGACACTCACCATGCTGCTGAGAAGCCCTCCGGATTTGACAAAAGCCTGAGACGAGCCTGCATCGGCAGTGCTCCATGATCCGCCTTCAGCCTTTTCCGAGATACCGTGACCTTGTTGCACAAGGCAGATTTGCTCACTGAACGGCATGATACGTGCTTCAACTCGTGCGAGATACGCAGGTGCTACTAAGGTAGGCAGATCGTTGCTCTCAGTGACGGTCGTCGGTGGCAGCATCTTGGCGGCGTCGTTGTAGCGGTTTATTGAGCCGGCAAGTCCCAGTGGAGTCCAAAAGCTGGCGAAGAGGGAGATGCTGGCCGAGATGTTAAGCACGGCACCGTGTTCACGCGCTAGATGGGTTTTGAAGCGCAAGATGTTGCTTCCGCGTCGTATATCCGATGGGGGCAACTAGAGAAAAGGAATATAATGGTGAGAAAGTAGCGCTTGGGAGGAGGATAAGGGAGGTTGGCAAATGGTCCAGGGGGTTTTGGAGTTTGGGTGGCTTCGGTGTTTGGCCCGGGAGTATTGAGGCTTCAAGCGTTGACGTATTGAGTGTTGGAGTCCACTGAGAGGATTCTGTGTTTGAGAAAGTTGGGTTTCAAGCCCTGAGTGAGCGCTGAGCATCCGCTCTACATGACATCAAAAATTATTGACGCATCTGCCTCTTTCTGTGCCTGAACTACTATAGCTTTAAGTTCTTCGCGTTCGAGATGCTCCATACACGAAGGACCGTGAGGCGAGCGCTGAGCGATGCTGGTTGGAAAGAGTTGTCACGTGAGAACAGGCATCAAACTACCTTCATCTGGTCATTGTGACCTAGCGTGACAGCAGTTTATATCTCTTGATATTTTTGAACCCTGGGCATCGGTAATGCCTCCGACAGCGAACATAAGACATCTACACAAAATAAAATTAGATGTTCATATAGAAGAAAAAAAGCTAGATCGAATGGTCCAAAAATGTAAAGGATTTGAGGAAGTGGTGAGCCAGAAATTGTGCAATGCTGAAAAAGTTTCAAACTCCTGAACAAACATAGTACATAAACTGGTCTATCTTGGGTCTATCGGACCTCCTTCACCGACTCAGGAACAGCCTGCCAAGAGAGAGTCGGAGCGACTCCTGCTATTTGTCGTCCCACGAACCTCGGGCAATTTCGAGTCTAGCCTCGTTGGTCGAGAGCAAGTCACGAGTGACGTTGCTGTGAGGCAACTTGCACTTGCTGAGTGGAAATGTAAATCATTTGCTGGCACATTATTCTTCGTGGTGTTGGCTCATTAGGGTTGGAAAATCTAAACTTTGAATAGAGTCGGGGACCAGCACTCACACCACTAACTTCTTCTTGTAGTTGTCACGGTATTCTTGGATCATGATGATCAATGATAATGATGATGACAGTGACTTTGAAACTCCTATTGAACAAGCGTGAGAATCTTTAGAGCCCTTTATAAGCTGGCTTCTGGCAAGTGACAAAAGCAAGTTTCACAATGCCAGGTACGACTTCGGAAGGAAAGTCTGACCCTGCACGTCCCTCGCACTCACGAAATCCATCTGCCACTTCATCGATATCGAGCTCTTCTGAGTCAAAGGGTAGAAACTCGCTCCCAAGGATGTACATGTACGAAGACTACCAAGATCTACGATTTGGGAAATCCCGCCCTGTATTAGTTTACCTATCTCGTGGTGGATTGACACTGAACGATGGTCACACAGGGAATATACATGCTTCCAAGTGTGCTGTTTAAAAAGGAGCACAGCAGCGATGTCGATAGCCTTGTGCGAGCACGCCTTGCTGAACATGTGCAGCAGGAGAAGCTTCAGAGCTTATCTAGTCCTCCTGGATTTGGCAGCCCACGCAATCACCATCTCCAGGGTGAAATCTTAAAGACTATGCTGGACCGGGCCACCAAGGAGGTTCAAGTTTTGTCGCAGGCAGTGAGGGACCTTGATTGTCTTGAGCGCACAGAAGTCCTCGTGTAAAGCCCGGTATCGAGGTAAGGGGGCCCCCAGTTTGTGCAGGTTATTTGTAGCTGATGAGTCACTTAGAAGTGCGACTCGGCTGCAGCAATGTCTTCAATATCTTTTTCATTATCTTTATGTTGGACAGTTCAGTTTTCCTGTTAGCTGACCATTTGTATGACGTTACCTGTATCCCCAAGTCCTGTGTCGTATTATTTTTGCCTCAATGACTTTAATAAATCTTTAGCTTGCTTGAGAGGTTTGGGTGAATAGATCCAGCCATTCTGACATACCGTTAACATGTTGTGAGCCCCAGTGCAACTAAGTTGAAACCTGATCCACTGGGATGCCATAGGCTATCATCTATCAGAAGACCGGAGTAGTACGTTCAAGTTAAGCAAGAGGTGTAAGATTCAATAAAGCTGTGCCATAACTGCAAATCGGATGACTTACTATTGCCGAGCTGGTGTATTTTAGTACCAGCATAAGGCAAGAGCGCACGCGAGAGAAGCAGTTCACAAAGTGAAATAAATAATAGATGGAAAATCTTCGACGTTGACTTTCGCAGCATCCATGGCCTGTGTCGCCACCCAATGAGGGTAAAAGGCTGGTTCAAGGCAAAAAATAGCTGTCTACGACAACGGTAGCCAAAAAAAAGGGGAGGTGGAAGAATATAGCACACACCAAGAAGACGCCCAATCAATAGGTGTAGCACCGACACTTGGCGGCCGCCACAGTCCCAGACGTCCACCGTGAGTCGCCTTCAAATTATTTGTGTTGAAGTCAGGCATGTCCACCGTCATTGCTATCGCTATCTATCAACTTAGCTCAAGCCAAAACATCGAAGGGGAAATGCTTCGCGAATGCATCAACTTGTAATCTCAACGGATGGTAAAAGTCCGTTGGTCTTGGATGCAGGCTGCTCTACGGTTTTGACTCGGAGGCCTGAAAACGGCGTAAATTTTTAAAGAAGACGAAAACACAAATGCAAACTGAGTGAACCTAAGAGATGACTAGCGCGTTTGTAGCATGGCGAAAGTATTGCAGAGGGACTTGTGCAGCGATAACTGAGCGGTTTGCACTGAGTGCCAGTGTGCCTGTTGAAAATGAATTAGTGGCGAGGATACAAAGGCTCTGCAGTGAATGCTTACTTCAATATAATACCAGGAAGACCTGCCATTTTTACCGTCATGTCGGACAAACCACAACTTCAAGTGCGCTTAGAGCCCGCGACGATGGTCATACTCGAAAGCGCGAGGCGTCCGAGGTGGCTAATACTAGTCCCGTAAAAAATACAGTTGAACTGGCACAGTCGGAAGGGCTCCAGCGGCCTGACCGAGGAGATGTTCGAGTCAACCACTGCATATTGGGCCATGGCATTCACGAATATATTGAAGCCGGCGGGCAAAAGGGTCCTTTAAATAAAAGCCTGCGGGTGATGTCCACTTTGAGTAAGGTTCACTGGCAAGGAGAAACTTTATAAATATAACTAATGGATGGCAAATTTAAGATGGCCGAGGTCTGACGAAGTGCTGGTAGTCGAGCCAGGGCCAATTGAATCAAGTTGGAGTGGCGCTGTAGTCAATCAGAAATTCCAAAAAACCGTATGCACGTCAACTTCTTTACGGCAGTGTGAGCGCCGAGCCTACCGTTTCAACTTCAACTTCGACTGTTGCTGCCCGCTTTTTTGGGCCTTTGAAGTTGCAGCCTGGTACCTTCGATGGGACTCGATTCCAGTGAGCGGTACATACTACTACCACTGTGACAAATCCCCGCTCTAGGCCAATTCTTCTATAAATATATAAATACCCTCTGTCCCTTTTCCCCCGTTCTCCCTTTCCGGTTCCTTTCTTCTTCTTTCTTCCTCTTATTTTTATCATATTCCCTCTCCCATACGTTACTCAATATATATTCGCACTACACTAAACCACCCCATCATATCTTACATACGTCTAAATTACACTACAGGCCACCGCTGCCCATTTTGCGCGTCGCATTTGCAGACCTTTCAGATTAGTCAATCCCCACATATTGGCCCTTGAACCTGCGTGCACTACTACTACATCCAAGTCCATCAACCACAAATCATTTGTACAGGAAGTTGGGGCTCCTTACCTCGCACCACGCCAGCAGCAAATCTCAATCGGCATCATTTACAGCCTTCAAGACCTCTATCTCCTTGATGGCCCTATTGAGCATGGCTTGCACCAGTTCTTGTTGAAGCTGGCGGTTGCCAGGCGTGCCAACAAATCCCGGAGCAGATTGGGACTGGAGCTTCTCTTGCAATAAATGTTCAGCAAGGCGTACTCGAACGAGCTGGTTAACTTTTTCTGTTAGCTCCTCTGTAAAGAGGACGCTTGGGAGCATATATGTTCCCTGTGGCCATCGTTCAGTATCAATGAGCCACTGCGATTTGGCTATCACTTACCGGACGTAAATTTCCAAACCGGAGGTCATGGTAATCTTGAAACACGTAAACTTGAGGTGGTGCCAGTGAGTCTCCCATTTTTTTACTGGACTCCAGAGGTTGACAAACTTCGCGAGTGGGAAGGGAGTGCTGGATCAAAAATATCGCCTAGCGGTCACCAATTGACGAGTCAGTGAATGATAGTCACGGTAGTCATATGCATGCGAAGTTTAACTTATATACTAGGCCTGTGCCGCCTGTCACTTTCTCAAGTTTTTGTTATTTAAAGAACACAGCGCTTAGTAGTGATGTCCGATCATGGCCGCACTGACTCCAGTAATGAGTCCTTCCTTCTCCTTCCACTGGCTGATTGCGAAACGGACTCGGAGCTCCGAGTCAACCGTGAGTTTATTTGCGGCGGACACCAAAGCCAAATAAACCGGATCGATAGTACCGTTAGGGCTTTTAAGTTTTGAGAACATTTGATGAGACGTCACCTAAGGCAGCCTTTGAAGGCATGATGCTGATTAGTGACAGGACCCCATCTAAGGTTCATTCTTTGGCAATGATGAATTGGCCTCCCAAGGCCTAGTGCCCACGCACTTCTCGGCGTCCTCGCTCACCACTTGCCAACTTAGACAACGTTATCTGAATTATAACTTCCGAGATTGTCCCATGACCAAGTTCTCAAGAACAGCAGTCTGGATCTGGGGTCAGTATTACGAGAGCGCTAAGTTATCTTTTTCCAGCAGAGACCATCCTCTCAGGCTGTCGAAGCTTGCAGGATTGGCATCATGATGCCACGACTCTGATCTCACTCCGCCGAAAGTCACCAGAGTCAGAGCGCCCTCTCTTGGGCCGGCGGGTGCGGCACATTATTACACACTGACTCGATTATCTACTAAGACTTGCCAACGCCAGTTTTACCGTAAAGCAGCAATTAAGTTCAAGTTCCTGAGGTTGAGCCCAAAGGCTCATAACTAATACGACATCCGAGTCATCAGAACTCATGGTGGAGTTGAGGCCGAGTGACCCAACCATTCCGAAACAGTCACTATCACTGTTATATCGGGCACTGATAGTTTGGTAAGTGTAGTACGGCAGCGATGATCATCATCAGTTCAATTAACTTCAATCCCTGAGACTAGGCTCCAAAGATAGCAGGTATGAGATGGCAATGAGACGGTCACAGTGTCCATGCTGCCAGTGAATAGTCACTGTCCAGTAAAATAATAGCTGAGTGACCCCCAAACATAGCGGCTGTCAGGAACTTCTGACCAGTAACATGTTCTTCTAAGGAAACTCCATCGCTCCTCTTGAATAGTTCTTATCGAACCGTACCGGGGCCGGTGCATGGTGTAGGCTGTTCTGAGTTGAAGGATCAACTTAAAAGCTCAGGCTAGGTACTAAGTGTCGTCAAAAATCAAGGCTCCTCTTCTACTAGGAGTCATGTCTCACTCTTACCGTAACGATCTGAATTTCTACGACCAGGATATTTCTGAATTTTTTGAAAACCAACTGCCGCACACCGATATGCACTATGGATCTGAGGGTGCCAACGATTTTAATATACCAGAGCAGTGGCAAGTCCACTTGCCTTCGAACACCTTTATCAGACAGGTATGCCGCTTCCAGTCTCTATCAAATACTGGTGTATAGCTGAACTGGCGTGACGTTGAGGATGAAGTCGATCATTGGCGAACGGTGGCCCAAAGCGAAGTAAGTGAAATGACAATAGTATTGAGTTCATATCATTAACATTGGCTTTGCCGTAGTACTGTGAACCTTATTTCGTCTCCTTGTGCTATTCGACAGCACTCGAGACACCCATTGAATTCTATGTAAGTCTTTTTTTAAGTTTGGACGCTTCAAGTTGACAACAGCTTGATTAAGGTTGGGCTTTCGCCATTGAGTCTACTAACTCTCGAGAAGATGGAGGAGAGACACCGCCAACACTATATTCTATCGGTCGAAGGTTCCTTTGGGGTTCAAGATGGCCCCGTATTGCAAGAACGTATTCCACCATTTCGGGGAAGGATTTTAACGACCTATGGAACCTTCCCCTACCACTCAGTATGTAAACCTTAGATTTATTAATCCCTAATAAGTGTAGCTGATCTGAGGCTATGTATAAAAGGTGGTTCCATTACCAGAGGAAAACGTAAGTAGTTGCTGGGTATACTATGATTACCGTAAAGGTGTTGAACTCTGAAGTTAGCATTTATCAATTGGCTATTTATCGTCAGATGGTGTCACCCTCAACAGTGAAGATAAGGTTTTTATATTTGTAGGCCACAACTCTTCGGAGTTTCAGATTCAAAGATTTCATCGTTACGTTGAGGTAAGAATCTATTTTAGAACTTGATTTTTTACTGATGTTTTTTTTTGTTCCACTACGCCAGCACATGTTACGCGGTAGAGCCTACATTGGCTCAATCCACGCCGATGGTAACAGGATCATGCAAGGTCAAGAAATCATTCCGGGTGCTCCAACTCTCCCCTATCTCAAGGTTTGCAACAAATGAAAAAAAAATCATTGCGGCTTAACCCATTTTCTCATAGTACGACCTAGACGATATAAGAATATTTGGGAAGGCACGTAAGTATAAGAAATCTTTCTCCTTATTATATTCAGCGTATATTAATCTGAAACCTAGAACTCCTCACACTGCCCGAATACCAGAGACTCAAGCAGTCTCCAACACACCTCCGACTCACTGAGCATGTCCATCTGGACCACCTTCCAATACCTGCCTTTGACCCAAATTTCAATAACGGCCAGAATCTAGGAAGGTTGCTGTCTACGGGAGGCAAGGGTGGTCAAGCTAGTGTATGTCATCATTCATTGTCTGTATACAATCTTACCTCATCAGGCTTGTCAGATTAAGATCCTCCTTGACTACGCCCCTGGTACGGCGAAACAATTGGACGATCTGGACATTTTTATCCAAAGTCTGGTTCTCACCAGAATCCCATTAAACTATACCCCTGCCACACACGCTGGTACATCGCATACCCTATCCACGGAGATGCATGCCGCCTTCAAATCAATTTGGGAAGAGGGTAAAAGGCTATATCCGCCAAAATATCCTTTGGAAGACTGTAAGATCTATTTTTCGTTATTGCCAATCTCTCATGATCTTCATCCCGTGCTCAGACATGTACGAAACACCAGTTGCGCCTCCACAAGACTACATAAAACTTCTACATGTTTGCCTAAGTTTTCTCTATAATGCTATCTCCAAAAAGGTCGACGGGATTGTTCATACCGCAGTTGCCGAATTTCTTGGGAATTTGCGTGCGTCGGACCCACATATGAACATTGACGATACTTTTCTCAATCTTTTCCGTCTAGATCTGGGCGACGATGAAGCGGGTGGACTTTCGACGATGTTGGACGAGGTGCGGCCGAAGTTTATCACTACGCAGTTTTCTAAAGGCTGATGAAACCAGATCTACCACCAGCCTTTTCAACACCAGTTGCTTTTCATGATGGTGCAAAATCTTATTTGCAAACCGACTTTAAATTCAGTGAGCAACTCAAAGTCCTCTAGACTGGGAACAGTCCGCAGTGAAATTTTAATTGCCCGGAAATCGCTAATTGGGGTCCCCAACGAGATAATTGCAAATGTTCTTGCCAAGGTAAGTGAGACGTTAAGCTTGCATGAAAAGGTTTTGATATATAGCACCTCAGATTTACCGGATGGGTGCCATGGAGCTTAAAATACATCCCATGTAAGAAATCTTGTTACCCTATTTTTTCTGTATTAACAGTTGATATTTGTTGTACAGTGATTTGAGGAAGGAATCGGACGTCTTTCAAACCATGGTCTCAAGAATGGACGCCATCGAAAGGCCTCACTACAAACACACAAGTAACAGCTTCAAGTCAATGAAGTTTGAGTAAGTACAGTAGTCCTTCAACTTTTGTGGCAAAGTTTTCGCTTAAATTTTTGCTGACTTCTCCAAAAATCAGATTGCTTCAAATTACTTAGTCCAAACGGTCCTACCTGGATCTCTTGCTTTTCCTGGTGGTATATGAAATGCGCGAGAAGGTGACACGGTGTATTATCATGATATGACAACTTTTGGAGTAGCAGCCTACACATGTATTTGTATTACGGTAAATCTACACTCACTAACGCCAACTTCTCCGATGAATTGAAGTTGAAGTTGCCGATAACTTGAACCTTTTGTGTGGCCAAGTAAGCCCCAAGTTCAACTGCGACCTCTGTCGCATGGGCATCCAGTGCTCTGTTGAAAACCATTCTGTAAGTTTCCAGATTCATCTGTGTACGCACCCTTGCTGCTGTCACTGCAAGAGCCGCCTTCCGTTTTCCTCATGGGGCATCGTTGTTGTTTTGAGCGAACGCAGATGTGTTGTTCTATTTTGGTTCCCCTCCATCTTTCCGGAACCCTTTCTTCCACCTCCTCCACTGTTAGCACCTCATCCAACTCCATAACCACTTACAAAGTACCACCGTCGGTACACGGGCACTCTGATGAGTCAAGACCATGCTCTACACCACTCTCACCTCACGTCTCAGCGCGAACGTGCTAGCGATCGAGTATCGCATTTTCAGCAATAGTCAGGGACCACAGAGTGACAAAGGTAGTCACAAAATCATAATGCCCTGTAATGCCATGCAGATTACGAAAGCAAGCGCTGGATATTGAGCTTGCTTTGTAAGCTGGTCACATGATAATGTTCGTCAAAGTCCACAACTCATTTAGTACATGTCACAGTCCTGACCAACCATGTCCACAGAATTTGAGCCACGTTATCTTTCCTATGACTCAAACATTGGTATGAGGCCTCTCTCAATTTCCAATTTCTTCCATGCTGATGGTAATATAGCAACCTCTAATCGGCGTCTATATTCAACGATTTTGGCTGAGTTTCCATGGTACTCAGAATCATTGGTGTTAAAACCGGAATCAATTTTGGCGCACTCAGATGAGGTCCCAGAGTTTGAGGTATGTGTCTGTTTTTGTTGTCTGTATTATCACTCCAACTATGAATAGACATTCCTAACGTCGTTACATGGATTTGAGGACACCCTACTTTCTTTCTCAAATGACCGACGCACGAAGGATATCTTGGGGTTGTTGGGTGTGAAAGTCATCACACCCACAGAACCAGAATGCAGCGGATTAGTTATGGCTTCACATGAACTCAATCTGACGTCCTATGATTTTCAAAAGCTATGTTCTGTGTTAAGTGCTTACAGATTTTTTGAGATCATTTGCCTCCGTGCAAATTGCATTCCAAGAGTGCCAATCTCCACCCCTACGGCACATATGTTCCTGCCAGGGCCACCAAGTGTGAAGGATGGTCTTGAGGTGAGTGTATGCTCCCTGCTTGACCTCATCTTTGATGATTTCCCAGGCATTTTCCCGTTTGCAAGACTGGCCGAAGATGGTGATGACGTTCAAGGATTATGTACAGAAAGCGACTGACGGCATCTCGCAATTTCGTTGTTTTGACAATCCTTTGTTCTCCTTGATGCACATGGCCTCCAAGAATGCTTTCAAGACCAAGTACCTCGCGATCGAAGAAAACTTTCTTCTGGCTGCTATCCACATAGCGGCCATCAAAAACATTCCATTTGCTGCCGGAACCATACCAGATCTCCCTGCCGATATGCCTTCTATGCCACCTGGGTATGTTCTTTCTCTTTGATGTCGATGAATGCCAATAGAAGTAGCGGTTTCCAAGATACACAATCTTACGATTCTTTTGAACTCGAATATAATGCATTCCTCAAGAAATGTCAAACAGAAGGCCCCCCATCATCAGCCCATGTTGGCTCTCGCTCACCATTCCAGCTGGCCTGTTTGATATCGCCCCTGTACCTTTTGGCGACTATACGGTTGTCCACGAAGTCCTTTCATCGCAGAACTGTCATCGATTTGGCTGCCAAGCTTGGCCCACACAAACCACCTCGCGTATTGGCCATTGAGAACCTGATTTGGGACGCTCTTTTTCGTCTTGCTGAGGGCCATACCTCAGCTTACTTGGTCCTACGGGATTTAGCACAATCACTGCCTTGGTCTGATATTGATTCTGCAGCAAGATGTGATGCGGATAAGCAGTGTTTTTCCCCTGCATTGCGTATGTTTTTTCCTACCTTGTGTAAATTTGATCGCTAACCTGCTGAATTGCCACTTTCATAGTGATGCCGTATGCTCCTGCAATTTCTGTTGTAGAGCCTAAGCTACTTTTGCCACCACCATCGTCCCCGTCTGTTTCATGTCCTATTACGGGATCAAATTCTTCTGCGAACACCCTAGGAAGTATCCCCAACACAATTTTTGCTGATATCCCACTAGGATACCACCTGCCAGTGAATCCTCTCCAGCTCACATCACCGTCCGCTATGTCAACTCCAGTGGATGCCATGTCTGGTTCAAAAAGCTCCCCAGTTTCGAGCTCTGAACTAGCCAGCAGCTCAGGTAACCCACCTTCACCATCTGTGCCATGTCTTATATCAGAGTCTTTTGCGAACGCCTTAGCGAGGACCTTTAACACAGCTTTTGCTGGTGCTTCACTAGAAAACCACCTCCCGCTGAAACCTCTCCAGGTCACGTCACTGACCACCACATCAACTCCAGTGAATGCCGGGTCTCGTTCAGAAAGCCACTCTGGTTCGAGCTCTGAATCACCCAGCACCCCGGGCAATATGGATGTTGATCATGACCCCAATGCGCTCGATTTCTCGCAAAGTGTCTTTGATGGGCAGGATCTTCTTCAACACCGTGGTAGCTATCTGGATGACAATGATTCAGACAGCCATCCAGATTCGAGCTCTGATTCGGCCAGTAGCCCAGGTAACATGGATGTCGATCGTGACGAACCTGACAACGTGCCTCACGAGTCCCATTTGGTGCAAAGTGTCTTTGATAGGCCGGAAGTTCTTCAGTTGAAGACCGTACTTGACGTCAACCAAGCCCCGAAAAAATCTTCACATTCCAAAAAACCTCGCACTTCTACAAAGCAACCTTCAGCTCAAGCCATGAAACAGCCCCGCAATAGCAAATCAGAGGATTCAGAGGATTCGGACGATTTGGATGATTTGGATGATTTGGACGATTTGGACAACACCCAGACTGATGGACTGTCTTCGCAAGCTGGACACGTACAAGCTTTGAGTAATAAGTGTCATCGCTCACCTTCTCCTGTTGTCTTCCCCGGGCTTGGATCAAAGGAAAACCCAATCGATTTGGACAAGGTATCCTCCTTATTTGAGCCAATGGTGATAAGAGATTATGTATGGCCATCCACCAGACTTAGATTCCTTTATGCTGATCATACCTTGTAGGTGAAACGGGAACAGATTTCTCTTCCCCTGGAAGTTGATCCTCCAAAGGACAGAAGCATAAATTATACGATTTATGACGTGGCAGGGCAACCTGTGTCATTCAAGCCTAAGTTTCATGTAAGTTGCAAAAAAATTGACCAGTATTTAATACTAAATTTGTTTGTGAAGTTCCCAGTTTACCACAACCGGTTCCATCAATTCTTTGACCGTATCGAGATGTTTTATGAGGATGGAAAACCACTCCATATTGCACGTCCAGATGATTCCATCATCAAAACTTTCTCTTATGACGAGTGGAAGACACTGACGCCTGTCCAAGTTCAACAAGAATTGAGGAAGAAGAATGTTGTTGTCACCGGATGGCCTCTCAAGGACGACTTATCTTTCGATGAGGCTGGTTTGCAAAAAGTTGCTGGAACACCATCACGGCAAATCTCTATCAATGGTAATCAGGTATCATCAATTTTGCCGAAATTTTGACTGATTTCCTCTTTTTTTGTGCAGATTATTCTATCAGGCCTTCTGGCAATATGTGCCGTCCAACAGTCGTAAGTGGTCGTGTACGGGATTTGTGGGACAATCGACATCCATCTGGGAAAATTCTGAATGCTTTGGACCTTCCGTTATATGATGGCAACACGGAGCCCAATGAGTATGCAAGTGACCTCCATGCATGGGATGTGACTCGCGGCCACCATTGTATTGACCCAGCCTCTCCATACCCAACAGAGCACATGCGTTGGGCTCTCGTTGGTCATGAGAACGCCATAACATTCCTTCACATTGATTGTGAAGGTTTATCCACTGATCTTTTAGTGGTCGCTGGTGGAAAAGCATGGGCGTTTCTTCGTGAACGTCAGGGCAATCCTCTGTCATCCGTCAACTTTTTCTTGAAGGATAGCTTTCGCCTTGACGAAGTCCTGGACTCATCCGATTATGACTTTGAGATAACCAGGTGACAGACTGTAAGTTCATTATTGTTATACCCTATGCAATCTTTGACTAAATACATTGGAAAAGCTTTATGATGCCTTGCCAACCTCATTTTGTCTTTGGTTATGCTCACTCAATATGTCTTGGTGGGCATTCTTACCTTACGCACCACATGCAAGGGACACTCCGAGGCCTCATACATTCATTCGTCTTACACGAATTCCTGACCAATATTGCTCATCCCACTCGTGTTCTGTTGCGTCATATGGTTCTCTTTTATCATATGGGCTTAATCGAAGATGAGATCCCAGAATCTGGTATACTTCCTGTCTCCCCCATCAACTTTTGTCTTACATCCATGCAACAGATCCCGCCGCATCTCATTTGCCAGACATCAAAGACTTCACTGGTTTAATGGATTTACTTTCAGCTTGTGTCCTCGTAATCTTAGGGAATGTCCTCGATTTTAGGACTTATCGCGCACCCTCTCAAGACGAATACAAGAAGGCCAATAAAAATCAGCAGATTCTGATTGACCATGAAATCAACAGCATCACTATCAGGGAAAGATTTGCCATCTGCTATGCTCGGGGAGTTGCTCTCCATCTCATTAACTGGATACGCATCTGCTCCGAGATCAGGGGACCTGGAGGTGCCGTTATCACTGACTTGCCCTCTCGCTTTTTCATTCAGATCACCCAAACCTTGATCAAGTACAAAGAAGGTGCAAATACTTCAAAGCTTGATTTACAGGCAAATTGCACGTTGGGCATGCTTATGAAGCAGATCGAAAACATTGTAAAGGTTGATCCCCATATTCTTACTTGGTGGTCGGAACGACATTTGCTACCTTCCGGATCGCTGGCACTGGAGAACCAGGAGGAGTACTCTGTTCGGTGGCCTGAGTCCCGACGTAAAGAATGGTCAAGCATCAACCATGGTATGTTTTGAATCTTGGATGTGCTATGCCAGCTCACACTCTGTCATCAGAATTCATGGAGGATGGTATTACACCATTAGACCGACTGTGCTTTGAGTCCCAACAAGATCGTCAACATTTTGAATCATCGATGGTCATTCCTCATTTGAAAACGAATTCCTCTGCCATGCAACATCCCCCCAAGCGTAGTAAGCGCTCTGGTTCTGAGAGGAATAGCCAGGGAGCGTCTGGGGACGATGATTGACCTGGTTCGTTTGTTCCCTTCATCGTTTCTAATCATGCATCAGACCCACCTTTTACCCTAGGCATCTCTGTGCTTCTGTGTATACCATGTATTTGTTCAGTATCCTCATGAAATGGAACATCACATTTATCATTACATTTGTATGTTGTGACATCACCCTAGCCTGTAAGACCCACCAGACGTGCCGAAATCCATACCCTTACACCTGGACCCTTGGTTATTCCAGTAGAATATGTGCACGTGCACCTAGCTAATGGTCTCCAACCGTGATCTGATATCACAGACGTCAGTGAGTCTTATCATCTCCACCCACTCAACACCAGTGATTGCAGATCACTTATTGCGCATGCAAAGACGCGAAGCCTATTGATCGTGATTTGCAAATGCAATATGCAAAAAAGGAGGGACCGTTGAGGAGGACGGTCAAAGGGGCCATTGGTGAGGAGAAATCAGAAGAAGGCTACCATTATTTCTGATGCATCATCCGGCGAAGATCTGGAGGAACGCGCTACAGTTGCTGGTATTCACGACCTACCATTCTTTATCTACTCGTCCTCCACATATTCAGTGGCCCCCATCGAGCAACACTGACTTGGGGACTGCAATCTCCCCCCCTTCCCCCCCCCCCCACGACGACGGCGAACATGGGCAACGTCGCTGCTCCGATACAAGCTCCTGCTAGTGGTGGCGCGGGGCCAAACAGTCAAGTTTGCAACGCGCATTTTTGAAGAAGCTGGAGACTCAACAGGCGATGAGTGATCTTGGGAAAGGGAAAGGTGGGAGCGCTAGTTAGGGTAGCAGCTAATATAAGTATATTCTTAGTGAAGCTTTAAGACTCTGTCAAGGTCAATCTTCGTGATACGCACTACACAGGCTTTCTTACAGTTGTAGCAGAGATTTGCCACGAACTTAATGTCGGCCCAGTAATCCACACAGTCACTAGTACGGGCCGAGTCACGAGCGTAGTCCTGCATCGAGATCACCATGGCTTTTAGCGGGGAGATAGCGCCAGAATCTTTTACCTTGGCGGCCGAGCCATTGTCCATTCAAGACGAAATGGGGCATCCGGCGATTGCTTCAGGTTAGCCTTCGTGATTTGCCCCTGTTCTCCCCTGATCTATTTTGAATGTCATTTACTACTTGATACATTGACCCTGGCCACTCGGTTTTAACTTGGTCGTCGGTCAAGCCAAAGTAAGGTGAGATCACTAGGAATGGAGCTTTCTGCCGTACTTCAAGTTTGATGGCATCAACACTGGTGTCTTCAGCCTGTCCGACTTCTCATGCACTCAGGGCAATGACTTTGGCCTTGAAAGTCTGACTCACCTCGGACACGCTAAGAGTGACTCCCTGAGCTTCAGACCTGACCGACGGCGTAATGGCCCAGTGCCCTCAGATGATGACAGTTACTACCATTAGTAGGCCTCATCTGCCACCCTGGCCTGACCATTCAGCCCCGGGCCAAGTCCATGGTTCCTAGCAAAGAAATTCAGCTTTATTCGTAAAGGCCCGCATACCCTGTCGAATCATAAACACCTATAAAAGGAGGACCAATCCTCGACTGTGTCTCCACCAACATCAACCATGGATCCTCCTGCCAACTTGGACGTGTCAACTCTTCCAGTCCCGATCCAACTTTTCTTTAAGATATCTGGAACTCCCAGCAGACCAGGAATCATGGTTTCATATGATGCAACATCAAAGACTGTGGTCCCATTTGTATGGTAAGCGACCAGATGCTCGACTTCCTCCAAACCTTGACATTGACGGGCCATCACTTTAATTTTTACAGGCCCATTGACCATCGTGGAGATCGCGTACACCCTGCTCTCTTCGCGGCTTACAGGTCTAACCACCACTTTAAGAATCCAACTTGCTTCTGTCCTTTAAGCTTTGGCTCCGATGCAAGTATGATCAACAAAGAAACTGCGATCTACAGGTCTACCGATGGTCCTTACCAGAATCAAATGCTGGCAGCATGCGCATCTGATGACTGTCTCTACCTCGGTAAGCATTTCCAATCCACTGTGAAAAGAATCTCTACTAATTGCGGCCCAAGTTCCTCTGCAATGCTTCCATCGTGTTGCTAATATACCAGTCAAATATTATCCTCGTAGAAGTTCGTCCTTTCCCATTTCCCACTGCCTTGCGAAGTTAACTTGCATGTTGTAACAGTCGACGGAGACAAGGGTCCTTCCCCAATTCTCCATATTTCTTTGATGCGGTTACCGGTCATTCTCGAGGGGAATGATTGGGCTCCTACTGAACTGATCGATAGCGACAGCGACGACAGCCTCTCCGACTGCAGCGATGTGGACATGTCTGACTTCGCGGATGAGCTGAAGGAGATTGCAGATAAGGTGCGAAAACGGCAGCAACCAACTATCCCTGTCAATAGGCGTCCTCTTGGTGTGTGCCGTGCAACCTTCTGCCTCTATCCTTTTCACTTTGAATGCAGCATTACCGTCTATCTTTATTCCTGTCTTCAACCGGCCTCTCACTGTCCCTTTGTCACTATGGGCGATGACACAAGCGATGGATGCTGTGATTAGGCCTGGAGCGGACATTAATGATTTTCTTTCTTTAGTTTCGCTCTGCAAATGTGGGCTTGTTCTCTCCTCTCGCGCGTTCCCAACCCATGCGTGCCAGAACGAAATCCACAAAGCGAGTGAGTTATCCCATATGGGGCAGTCATCCGGGCTTTCTAGTATGTCTAACGCCTTTGGTTTTCAGTTGAATATTATCCCTCTGATATTCTTCGTCTAATTGATGCAACCTTCAATCCAGGCATTCCATTGAAGGATTTCTGCCGCATGGTTGCGCAGTGCCCTTGTGGAATGCTTATGACCCGGAGGGCCTTTCCAGCTCACGAATGCCAAAAGATCATTGTGCGAAGTGTTGCACAACGTAGTAGTACTACATAGTGGAATGTATATTCGAAGCTGATACATTGAAGATATCTTGAACGATCTCACAATATGTCATGCTCAGTCATGTGACTCGTAAATTCCATCCTCTGCCACTCACTGGCAGGCTTGACATTCGCACTCTTTCACAAGGCTCTCCCGACTTTCATGCACAACAACCCATCTAAATCGCCTTCTCGCCCCCCCGAATTTCTTCCACAGACGCTCATACTTCTCGTATTCGACATATCTAAACTTCTTCACATGTGGAAGAGGACGAACAATCCACCGCTCCCTCCTCTGAATCTTATGACCACCAACGCAGGGCTTGCTGTGAAAGCGCGTTGAACGCACGCGAATCTTTCCGTCTCTGATCGGACGCATCCCCTGAGATAACGTCACCCACGATGACAACGGCGTCTTCACACAAAAAACGATCTCCCATCTCCTCTCCCCGCCACAACCTTCCCCTCGTCCACCTACCAGCCCTGTGCCATCCCCCGACTCATTGAGGCTCACGTTCACGGACGTTTCTTACGGGTCCCCGCACCCACCCAATCCCAACTCCCACTTCGCTTCGTTCTTGCGCCTCTCCCACCTCGTCCGCCTCATCTTCACATTCAAGCCGTGTTCGCAGTTTGGCACGTTGCCTCCTACACCGTCGACGTCAGATGACGAGTTCGCGCTCCCTTCTCTGGCTTTGCAAACCGGCTTTCGGAGAATAATTGGACTGCCATTCCCGAGATAGGTTTGTTCACTTTTCTTTTGTTGGTTCTACTTACACTAATGTGCGATGACTCTTTTGAAGAACATATCCTCGCCTACCCCCAGCACGGCCTCAATACATGCACCAAGGCCTTCCATCCACTCCGTCGTAGACACGTTCGCAGACGAATGGGGGTACATCAAGGCGCTCACGACGCTGAACACAGTCCAACAGGTCTGGCAATTCACAGACTCAGTGGGAAAAGCAGGTGGATGGAATGGGGAGAGCGTCGAGGGCTTCGTGGTCTGCACGCACATCTCAGAGCCGCCTACAGGAAAGGCGAATCCACATCCACTGAGCTCCCCACTCCCATCCGCCTCCTAGTGCTCAACTGGTCCTCCCCCGTCACAATCCGCCGCATCTGCGCAGACAGCATCCAATTCCGCGGGGCGAACCACCAAACCCTCCATGCAGATCTGTCCACCTATAACATGGGTGTTCATCAAGACGACGGAAGAACTCGCTCCTAGCGAGGTGGACGAGTGGAACGAGATGGAGCGGGGGGGTTCGCTTGAAGAGGCGGAGGGGAGGGCCGTAGATGGGGTAGCGAGGATCTTGGGGATCTCCCTCATCTGGGTGAGGAAAAGGCGAGGGAGGGGATTGAGGTGGTGAAAGGGCACGACCTTTTGTCCGAGAAACCTGACGAACCCATGTGCGATTCCGGAGGTACACATGCCTCCACGTCGATGACACTCCCTTTGGACGCCCCGCCCATTTTGGAGTGCGTGACTCCCCTCACTCTCGCTTCCACTTCATTTTATTGCCTTTCCCTCGACTCCCCTTCCCTTTCACCGTAACCCCTTCCCCTCGACTCCAATCCCCAATCCCCTCTACCCCGCTCCAGAAACACATCCCAGATAACGACCAATCATAACCGGTCTGCAGAACCTCGACAAACTGCAAACATCCCAAGTCGCATCCGGGCTCATCCGCGGTCTATAACCAACGCAGCGGCACCCTTCCAATCGTCAACCTTCGACTCCCTCGAGCCTACCTACTCCTTATTGAAAGCGGACTACACAACAGGCGCCAATGGACAGGTGTGGAAAGACCATTTGGACCTGGCGAAACCTGTTGGATAGGATATTGGGGGTTGAGCTGGGAGATGGGGCAGGGGTGGCATGTTAGTTTTGATCAGTATGTGTTTTTTCGTTTCACTTTCAGTTTGATGGGATGAGGCTGATGCGTTGTGTGGGCACTTAGCTACTACGACAATCTGAGCGCCAAGCAGTGTCATGGGAAACCGCTTCCTTGTAATGTGACCGCCATGTCCCAATGTGTATCTAAAGAACTCGTACGTCTTCTTCCCTCTTCCCCGTTCACTCTCATGATCAGCTTGCTAAATCAAATCAACTAGGCAAACACAATACCGCTTCGGAAAGCGGGAATACTCTCGGCTTCGTACGCCGCCCTGCGGTACGGTGCGTGGGTCTTGGAGTTGAAGGGACACCTCCAAGCCAAAGTCAATGGTTCATCTCAAATGAAATACGTGCATAATGTGTGTTTCGCCTCTAAGCTCGCATGCGTAGTACTGTATGTGAATATGGGATGGGCGCAAAGATGAGTGGGGATTAGGGTAGCGAGGTGGATAGAATCTGTCATTTAGTAGATAGAATATATTTGAATGAGCGTCGTGACTATGACGTTGGGGCGGTTGCCATTCTCCTAAAAATCGGGCTGAGATGATGATGATGTCACCTAGTATTAGATGCGTGGCGTCACATTGAACTTCTTTTGGAAGTTACTGTGACTCCGTGACTTAGTAGGCTCAGGTGGCTCACTCTTTATCGTCTTTTACTACCACCATGCAGTGGCACCGACTCCGACAAACAAAGTTCAGATGATGATACGGGAGGTAGTAAGTGCTATTCTCCCCAGCTACGCGGTCGCTCACTCCACCGCACCGCAGGACCGTCTCATCCAGCTGAAGGAGATGGCGCGAAACGACACAGGCACTGCGACCAACTCGGACGATTCGCCATTCAGCTCTTCTCTGATGATGAAGGCAAATGCGCAAGTATCGCAGCAATCAGAGGAAAGAAGGGTAGTTGAGGTTGAGGTCAGTTTTATCCTTCTTCAAAACCCGGAAGCGTTTCACAGCCATCCATTGGACAGAAGCAATGTTGGAACCTATGGCGATGTTGGTCTCGGAGGCGATGGTGGCCCCGGAGGCGACATTAGCCTTAAAACCCCTGGTCCTAGAAGACACTACAAGCGACACGCTGTCTCCTTCCCTGCGGCCATACTGCTCTGGTTGAGGGTTCAAATGAGGTCTGAATTATCCACTTTAAGAGGTATTTTCCGTGACTTCGTCTTGCAAGGACCACGTGGAAACGCTCGCAATGCAGATAAAAGGTAGCGCCGCTGTCCCACAGCCATCAAGCTCCTCGTTCTTATTTCAGCTCTTACAGGTCGGCGTAGTCTGTTGATAGTTTTTGTTCAAGGCCGATAGTTTTTGTTCAAGGCCGCTTCGACTCGAACTTGACCATTATTACAAGGAATCCTCATTCATAGTGATCAAGGGCATCAATCAGTTCGCGCAATCTCTCTCTACACCCATCACACTTCAAGGTTGTCATCACACACAACCGTAGACCGTTGCCGGTGAGCATGCACTTGCTATCCAGCAAGAGTCGGGCGCTATCTGCGCTTTTTTCGCGAAGATGATCCATTTCAACGGCATAATAATATCGCGAAGCTGCTTTACATCCATGCATTGGGCACTCCTGCCCACTTGGGTCAAATAGAATGGTTGAAACTGGTCGCGACTCCGCGCTTTTTGGATAAGCCTCTTGTGTATCCTGATATCATGATATTCTTAGATCAGAACCCGGAAGTGTTGACATTGGTCACGAACGCCTTGGAGGGTGAGTTTGGTTGTCCTCTTGGCGCCTCTCAATCCCTGATGCGGCTCAGGGGTATGGACCACTTGATCATGTACGCTGTTGGCAGGAGTGCTGTGCACATTTGTTTGAAGACTCGATGTTACCTGATCTTGCTAGCGAAACTGAGAAGCTTCTGGGACCTAGTAATATGTACATACGTAAAAAGGTATGGTCGTCATACCTCTATTGCGATCTCATATAATAACACATCCAGGCTGCTCTTCGTGCTCTGCGGGTCATCAAGAAGGTACCCGTTATCGCAGACCATCACAAGCAAAGCCAAGAAGCTCTTCACTGATTGCATTCATGGTGTCCTGCTCTCAGCTGAAATGTGCACCATTTGGAGAATTCAGCAATTCGTGCTACCTGTGGTATACCATGTGACGATTCAATCCTATCTTTTGCCCTGGGCTGTTCCGCTTCTAGTTCGGAATCTAAATTCGCTCGTCACCACAGCATACAACCCTGAACATGATGTCTCAGGAATTACGGTGCGGCTGCTCAGCTGCTTGGGAAGTGTGATGAGCAAGCCAGTGAGGCGATGGACGACATCTTGGCACAGGTATGCGACTTTTTTTTCTGTTGAATTGAATAATATGGCATCTTACCAAGACATAGGTGGCAGCAAACACAGATTCGTCAAAGAACGTTGGCAACCAGTGTATTCTATACGAGATGGTGTTGACTGTTTTGGAAATTGAGATCATCTCTATCGTTGACTCGCCACTACCTCCGATACCATATTATGGCGGTGAGCACGGACGGTGTCAGGTTTGTGACTCTGAAATAATAGACTCAATCATCTCTATCGACTCGCCACTACCTCCACCAGGCTGGGAGACTGGTGGAACGTATCCGAGAAGGAATTTCTCCTCCAGTACTTGAGGTATCCTTCTTCTTCTCTGCCTTCTTCCCACGTTATCTCGAAGCGTTCCACCAACTCTTGGTTTCTCTGGAACATCGCATGGAAATGTCTGAAAGAGGACGAGTTCGACACATTCCCCGAGTGATGGAGATTTCTGCTCTGGGTTGTCTTGAGCTTGGCCAATGCTAATGCAATCCCCTCAGCAATCAACAATGTGGCGGTCGAGAACATGGAGTCGTAAATTGTAATCACCTCTTTAAACACAAGTCGCTGAAGGTTTTTTGCAGTTGGTGTTGATTCAGGACTGGGGGTATAAGTCCAAGAATTTTAGAAGTCGTGTGATGGCTGGGATCTCCACTATCTTCCTTCACAAACATGTTGGTGTGGAATTTGTGGTTGAGCTTGAGTCGTCGTGACGGCGGTCTGGGGCTTCTGCACTTGTGCCACCACCGTAGTGTTCAACGTGACGTTGAATCAGCCATCTTTTAGATCCTGCCATCAGGTCGGCACTGGGCCGCCTCTTAGGTCGTCAGTCAGGTTTATACTGATTCGGAAGGTCACCACTCGCAGATCCCTGACTCTTGAACCCTGACGAATTCTCAGCCGGAACTTAGTGACATGGTTTGGCAGAAGCATTCCCCTGAAAGTATGCCTCACTGGCCCCTAGTAGAACTTTGCGGCCTGCAAGGAGCGAAGCGGATCGGCGATCGCGATGAGCAGGCAATCAATAGAGGGCTGTATAAACTACTAGCATAACTCAGGCTGTTACTACCTCCGAGTCAAACAGAGTCGGCTTGGATCTAGAATTCGGATATCTTGATGTGATCTTGAGGTGAACAGGACACCACTCAGTCAGGGTCAACCCAACAATCTCCAACAATTAACGCTGAGCGGATCCGCTTGTCGTTCTGAGTCTTAGGGGCGAACCCTGACTCGCGGCGCCACTCAACCATTAGTAATTCAATACCAATTGGAATCGTCTGTCGATTGATCATCATAGTCTCTGGCACATTATCTTTGTGAAGGTACTTAACTCTCTGAATTGTCCGGGACCCGACGGTGATGCTTTACGACATATCATTTGTCATTAGATGATTACGACTCGCACTGACTCGAAGCATCCAGCATATTTAACCTGGTATGCATAGATCCGCTCTTCTGTAAGTTTTCTGATATCTACTACATGCCACCAGCGGCAGATCAAGACCCGTCTCAGCAACTTCTTCCTGGCAACTCTGCAATTCGGACCACTTGCAGTGCGCTTGAACTAGGGCCCCGAAAGAAACCGTACACTGTTCCTCTACATCTGCGTGAAGTTTTGCTAACAATGATCTATTCGCAGAGGTGTCACAGATCCTCTTGTACACCATGGCCGTCACTTCGGTCGAACCGTCCACGCGTTCTGCAACATCCGAACACTTATCAACAATGGTATCTTACGACTGGGAGAGCTAGCAGATCAGCCAGATGAATCCTTCAGCGCCGAGTAGTCTCTTCATTGCAATTTGTTTTCTGATCTCACCTATACCAACAATTCAGGGAGCGGCGAGAGCACAAAATATTTCTTGCCCTCTTGCAATCTGTTGTGGGCCTAGAAGAGCGCCTGTTGACTGGATCCGAGGAAGAAACTGGTTTCATTGCAGAACTTGTCAGCTGTTTTTCTGAACCAGGCATTCATCACAGAAACTGAACATTCCATAGCTTCGCAGAGGTGCCTCCGGGGCTCGGGGTGATGATACGAAGAGTTTGAAAGGCGCCATACTCGAATGGATTACACCAAAGGGTGAATCATTGAATCCGCCCCTGGCTCGAAATATGAAACTCGACCGAGGTTTCCACCATGAGTGTACTGGAGCTCTTCTGTGTCCTACGAATCTCGATTGGTCTGATCCAGAGTGAGTAAGTTAGTATCCAACAACTATTTGACAATGACATCGTCCTAGGACCAAGGAGCGACTGCGAAGTGGCGAACAGCTTGTCACCGGGGATCAGTGGCCCATTTTTCTTTACGCTGGTTGCAACTTCGATCCTGAAGAACCATGGAACGGTCTGCTCCGCAACAGGCTCTTAATTTACGTGAGTCAGAACATCATACGACTTGATCGAATTTGATGACCCACAGGCCTTTAAACATGTCTTTACATCTCCAAGCTCAGTCGATAAAGAACCCAAAGCGACAAGATCGGGAAACGCGCGAATTCACGGTATGAGGTGTGTTACCGCCGGATCAATTGCATACATTGCAACGCAGGTACGTATTGAAACGGATTACGAATTTGCCCCTGATGAACCAACAATGGCACTGATATGGATTAACAATGGCAGGTTCGCTTCGCACTGTGTTCCTCACCAGTTTTCTCTCGAACAGACATGATAACCGATTCAGAAAGATTTTTTTCCTCGATCCTTGAACTCTTGGAGGACCCTCGCGAGGCGCAAGAGGTGCATGACCTGTACATTTGGTGGAACCGGTAAGCGCCCCAACATGTTGTTTTCAATCAAATTCTAAAAATCCTTTACTGGTGCGAAGCCAAGTGTTTCCATCTTACTCATCAGCGCAGCGCATAGTTACTAAAGACAGTGCCTTAGCCAAGATTCAGGAGAAGCGACGCCGTGTCTTGACGACATCCAGCATTTGTTGACGCGTCCTCAGCTGCATTCCAGCCACATGAGTCGCTGCAGCCGCTTTGGACGCATGATGCCCCCTAGGGCCGATGTTTTTCGTATTCTCCAATCATGCGACGTGATACGTAGCCTTTATGACTCATGATAAGGGTGTTTACAGCTTGATTTGAAAGGCTTTACAAAGTTGCGTACCCTATTATAGGTTTCATCATGGTGCTTTCAATCTTTGTACTACTATCATAAAGATTTGGCAGAAGCTATCCTCACGGTGCCGTGGAAGCTAACAAATATCCTGGTTCGCAGTTATCGATGTCATCGGGAAGCTGATCGTCGGCGCCATACATTGCAACCTTTTCTTATTGATGGTTCTGTTGGCGTATAATTGTCAGCATGGGCATGGGACATGTGAGACGACCTATCTCCAGCAGTATTAGGGAAGATGACTTGCATTGTTTAAGATTAGCATGTACCACCATGGTTACAGTAGTTATCCTGAGTTTCCAATAAAGGACGCCATTTGGGGTATCATCAACCTCCCTCACAGTCTATTTTATTGAAAGTCTTATATTATTCTGATGGTGGAAAATTGTCATTTTGAACATGGAAGATGTCTGGTGACATTTTTTGGGAAACGTTACAGAAGTCATCAGCTATTAGCGAAGTTGTAGCAGTTCTCTGAACTCACAATAATTGATCCCATTGGGGAGGTCGCTATTGATGCCATACATGGTAAGCCATTCTATCGAAAGTCTGATATTATACTGTTGGTGAAGAATTGCCTTTGTGAGTATGGAAGACGTGGATTACCTTCTTCGAGCATCAATATTGAAGATTAGCATGTATCACCAGGATTAGAGTAATTATCTAATGGATCCCATTTTGTGTCAGGTGACGTTTTTTGGGCAACATTACACAAGTCATTAGGGCTTCGCTGTTCTTACCGGAGTTATGGCGGTTATCGGAGCTCATAATCACTGATCCCATTGGGGGGGTCGCTATCGATGCCATACATGGAAATCCATTCTATCGAAAGTCTGATATTATACTGTTGGTGAAGAATTGTCTTTGTGAATATGGAAGACGTGGATTACCTTCTCCAAGCATTCATATTGACGATTAACATGTATCGCCAGTATAAGACTACTTACCTAGGCTTCTAATAAAGTTGGCGATCACCATAAGTGCCCACCATAATAACTTTTTTTATTGAAAGTTTCACATTATGCTGTTGGCAGAAGATTATCCTCTTGAAAAAGGGAGATGCAGAGTGACCTTTTTTGAACAACATGATTGAAGTTTAGCATGTCCTACCGGCATTAGAGCTGTTGTCTCAATTGGTAATGGAGGGTTCCATTGTGGGGATCGCCACCCGTGTCCTCCAATGTAATATTTTTCATTCGAAGTCTGATATTGTGTTATAGACGGAAAATTGTCATCTTGAATATGGTGTATTGGAGATGACCTTCCCTCACAATATGTCCTGTGATTGAGCTTTTTACAATATCCGTCCCCTTATATAAGAGTATTTCTATTGGTATGTAATCCTGATTTATTTTGGGCCAAATTTTTTTTTTTTAAAGTTAGATCTACCTTTTTCATAACGCACTCACTTGCCTGATGATACGCAGCGACATTGAAAAAACGTCAAGCGTAAGCATACTATGGCGATATTGTGCAGTTTTCAATTTGAAGGACGAGGCAAATTGGTCGACTAGAGTAGTAGGAAAGATCGAAGGATGAAGATGGAGCTGATATTAACGAAGATGGACGGAACTTTGAATAATGATAGTCTCGAACCTCTCGGGTGATCGTTAATTTTTCGAATCGAGCATAATTTGGGCCGGGGTAGTTTGTACTCAAATTAACATTGACTCGGTATGCTGCACCAACTGTTGGCCATCCGCCAGCTGGAGGAGGAATCGTCAGTTTGTCGTCGCTGCGAGGAGGCCGCTATCAGCAAGGGCGACAAGGCAACCAATTTGCTCCTGCGGACCGCCACATGCTGGTCATCGTAAGAAACAAATCGCTTAGCATTTGGCCGGTATAAATGCTGAAGTTACACTTTTCAGATGTGCGATAGAGAGGAAGTCGGGAGTTTGTTGATGTTTGAATCGCGCCTTTCAGGATTCGGGTACGTATTTGAAATCTCCACGTGATTGATCACCAAGAAATTGCGATTCAGATTTGAATCAGCGTTCGCGAACTTTCACCTCAAAAATTCCCTCAAATCCGTTCTACTACCTACCTTGTCCAATAACGCCAATTCTATAATGCCCGTCAAAACTTTCAGCTCATACGACGAGTTCAAGGCCGTCGTAAGTCTCAGAGACTCTTACCCCTCTTCCTAGCTCATGACAATGAGACAACAGATTAACGGAGACAAGCCTGTCGTTATAGACTTCTGGGCTACGTGGTGTGGGCCATGCCGAGTGATATCTCCAGTGTTCGAGAAACTCTCGGACGATCCTGCTTTCGCCGGAGTTGAGTTCTACAAAGTGGATGTCGATCAGCAGGATCAAATATCCCAGGAAGTCGGGGTCAGAGCAGTACGTCATATACATGTCATCCTTGTGTTCCATAACTTGACCCAATTCAGATGCCTACGTTTGCTTTGTTCAAGAAAGGCGAGAAGGTTTCCGACCTTGTTGGAGCACGACCGCAGGAGTTGCAGGTATGTCAATTCATGAGATTCAATTCTCCCTGCGCTGAATTGTCTCTTTGCTCAGGCCCTTGTAGCAAAGGCACTTACCGCATGAAGAACTGCAATTAATGTTGGCATTTAGAAGCGAATAAATATCTACATTTTGCTTCCTATCGCGGCCCAGCGTAAAAGCGCATAAGCAGGCGTCAAGGCTACAATTGGTTTTTTTGCTCACCGGGGCGTCTCATTCGAAGCAAGATTTGGATGAGTGACGTCGTACGGAAGTTATAAATGGTATTCCGCTCAAGTCGGACGGCCATCGTCTGACGCCTATGTTTTTGTGGTTAGTGTCCCTCTGGGCGTTTTCTGCAGGTTACCGATCAGATTTATCCGAGGTTCTCGTGATTTTTATAGCCACTTGTGACTTGCTTGCCCTAGGTGCAGAAGAAAATCTATCATGTCACCGGAAGTTGTGCATATTTTCTTCTATAACCTTTTCAAAATCCTAGAGTGAGAGTTCTTGGTTGGCTACTGGGCGATTACTGAGCGTCCGAGTACTCACGCCTGCCAGTGGAGTTCCTGCACAGGATTAGCACTGTGTCATGGCATGGCGATTGATCTGTCCACAATACGGCTTCCCACGGTTGGGCGCCGTTGGGCATCATGATCAAGCACAGTCAAGCACCAAGGCCATTTATATTTTGGAGGGAGAGATGGTGAAGAGATGTTCCCAGATTAGAACGGCGTCAATCGATGAGAAGATGCGGCGCATCATATGACGTCTTACCAGCGTCTTACTCACTGGTCACGGTATGCTACATATATGAAGGGGGCTTTGGTCTTTTCCCCAACTCAAACACCTCCAAATCGCTAGCCCCAATATACATTCTCGAAGACAATGCCCGTCAACGCGATCACGTCCCTCCAAGAATTCAACGACATCGTAAGTCATCCTATCTTGGCAATGATATCAGATCAAGGTTAACATTGTCTCTCCTTCCAGATCAGCAGCGGGAAGCCAGTTGTCATCGACTTCTGGGCAGCGTGGTGTGGACCATGCAGAGCGATTTCACCCGTCTTCGAAAAGTTTTCAAACCTTGAAGAGAACACGGGGGTGGAGTTCTACAAGGTCGATGTTGATAGCCAGAGGGAGATCTCTCAAGAAGTCGGGATTAAAGCTGTGAGCATTGCTTTGATGGGTTCTACCAAAGCATCAGTGACGAGGGAACGTAGATGCCAACATTTTTGCTGTTCCAAGGCGGAAACAAAGTCGGTGATGTTGTTGGTGCCAATCCCCAAGCAATCGAGGTAAGCCCTTTGACTCATGACATTGTAAGGAGGACCGCTCATCCGCGTTGATTTCAGGCCCTCGTTCAAAAAGGTAAATCGTTGTTGTGATCGGATGCTATTGATGAGCTAGAGCGGCAAGCCTGAATTCAAAAGGCTTCGCCATGTATATGTACTTTCTTGTAACGGACCATTGAAGCTTCCGAAATTGTAAATTTTGTCGACCGTGTCTAAAGAAATATCCGCTAGTCATTTAACTCAAAAGGCAACCTGACCAAGATACCGAAAAATCCAAGTACACCCACCCACAGGTGTGACAATGAAATGCCAGCGAGATTAGGGGTATCCGCAGGTCAAACGTGGCCACTTCGAGTACTAGGGATCCCTCTTTCGGCGCTTGAATATCTAGGTGACGTCGTTGACGTTCAGATGCGAGACGTTCTGGGAGGTTTGGAATGGGTGCAGAGCCCTGATGAGCCAGCTTAATCTGCTCCTTCCAATGGGAGGGAAAGCCAGCAAAAGAAGGTGAGAACGCGCATCGGGTGGGGTGACACGGGAACACGATTTCCAGCTTGTTAGCCGTTAGCCTCCGCATCGCCTCCATGGTGGGTCGTTGCTTCCAGTCGATATTATTGTCGATCAAAGGATTTAGAAAGCCGAAATCGCGTTTTCCAGAACCGGTTTTATAGCCCTGGCTGGAGGGCGAGGATGGCACAGTAGCGAAGAGAATGAAGGCCATTACTTCTGTAAATTCCTGGCGGATCAAATTGCCCTTGCAATAGACGTCAACGGCAAATGGGTTACAATCCTCGATTTTCTTAAACTCTGTAATCGTTGCGTCTACGGCACCCCATCCAGGAGAATACAGAGTTGCCTCAAGCAAGGAGAAACGTGGTATGAATGCATGAATTGCAATCCCTAAGAAGAATTTGTGTAAGAAAAAGTTCAACTGATATCATACGACTTGGAGACGAACCTCCGAAGATTGGCGAGATATGTCGATTGTTTCGTCAATGGTCACAAATGAGGATATATGAAGGAGAGGCAGGACAGGAATGACCATACTTTCAGCAATCGGTGTAATCAGGATTTATAAAATAGGCAAACCGTGGTTAGATTGTCTTGCCCTCATACTTAGCTTCGGTTGAGAAAGATGTCCCGACGACGGACGTCCACCGTCTTGTCTTTGGGAGCTGTTCGTTTGAACATGGCAGAACGACCATCTGAAATCCGTGGTATACTATAGATTCTTTGGGAAGACGTCTTGGATTAAATCCTGTCGAGTAATGGACCTGGATTTCTATGGCGTCCCCGGGCTTCTGCTTTCGTCTTTAACACAAGAAGCAACTTATCCAATTTGGATGGTACCTCGAAAACCTAAGCCATGGCAGATCATCGCACTAAAAAAATTCGGACCTGAAAAGTTTACCTTGCCTTAGGTTTTCAGATTTGTCAGTGAGTAAGTTGGCAAGGAAAGCGTGAATGGGAGTGGTTTCCGGCTTTTCATGACTTCACGACCAAGTTTTAAAAAGCACGTCTGTTACTCGTAACGCGTAACGGCGTGACCCATGAACACTGTGGCAGTGCTCGCATTTTTTTCTGTCTTCGCCAACGACCACACGCCAATCATGCATTTGATGTACACATTAGACGATGAGGGTAACAGGATATACACGTTGAAGGTGCGCTCGCTTCATTTGTAGATTCGACCAGACGTTGACGAGAAAAATAGAAAACCACAGACGCAGGAAAGATCACCAAATCCGCTCATCCTGGTACGGAACGAAAGCTATCTGGCTGTTATAATGGCGCGCTTAGATCTCATTCTTCCTTTACTAGCACGATTCTCGCCCGACGACAAGTTCTCTCGTCATAGAGTCACAATCAAAAAGCGCTATAATGTGCTATTGACCCAACTGCCTTCGAAACCCATGTGAGGGCAGTCAACAACCACCCCTTTTGGGGGAGATATCGATGTTGGATCCCCGGTGTGGCTGTACCTAGAGAGAGGCATGCCGCCCCACCGCACGGCTTATGAGGTTGGGCTTGTACGGCGGGGAAGGTTGCAAACCATAGTCGGGACCCTTGTGTGTTCCTACCTTATTTTCACGTCATTGTACTATCATCACGGTTTATTGAACGCAGTTGATTCGATGTCAAGGAAGAAAGTACTTTGCTTACTGGAAGATAGTGAATATGACCAACCACTGCGAAAACGAAAGTACTGGTTCTATTCAAGGATCTCCAGCCATTTGCGCAAAGGCTACACTGTCCGCACCCCCCTCTATCAGCGATGCGAACATTGCGTTGTTCTGTAACGTTCTAGCAGTGCTTTTAGTACCGAACGCGGGGTAGGATGAAGCCTGCCAGGCCGCACCATGGATTTTCGGTGCAAGCCAAGTCGATGTCAATTGAGGGGACTGGATCACCCATAATCACAAAGGCTTCAAACGCCTTGGTTATAGTGGCGTCAGCAGCACGTCAAAGACTATGTGGCCAAATGTGGTACATCTCCCGCTGCAGTGGTCAATGGGGTTCGTAGCGCTTGAAGCGCCAGGCCTTCAGCGCCAGCTTCAGGTCTCAAGTAAGCTATCTACCGGAAGTGCAACATACTTAGTGTAGCTATTTCTGTTGATTGAACATCATCGATCATCCCTTGACTGGGAACTCTCGACTGTAAAAGTTTTTCACCATCACCATGGACATTTACTTAGGTTACCAAGTCATCTACGTACCTTGTGTTGACGGTTGTAGCATCGAAAGGGCCAACAAATTGAATAATGGCCAGAGCTTGAAGAAAAAAGATCCAGGGGACTTTTGCTACAGCGTCCTGGAGAGGATTTGAACCTCCCGCTTCCCATATGCACAGTGACAACATACCATTACCAAGTTAATGGGATGATTTCACCACTGATCAACCAGGACGCATACTCTTAAAATTGTGAGTGCATTTCAAACGATGGACTTCCAGCGGAAATTATTAACGCAAATCTTCAGTCTCGCAGCGGGATAAGATGAGATTTTCAGTATGGTCTGTCTACTGTCATTTGAATGTTGAACGTTGAACACGTGACAATGAAGTTGTGACTGACGCGTCTGTCACATCGTAATGTTCAATTCTTGGCCGCCTTTCACGACTCTCAACGGCCATGCCACCACGACGCTCATCGCGCGCGCCCAGCGCCCCCGTCGGGACAGAAATTTTACCAGTCAAGCGTAAACGAAGCCAAGCTGCCGACTCAGAACCCGAAGAAAAGGAAAATGTCGCGAAACCGGCTTCCAGGACGACAAGAAGGAGCTCTTCAGCCAGACCAAGCGTCGCACCGCCGTCGAAGGGCCGTGTAGCCTCGCGATCAAAGGTTTTGCCGGATGTGCAGGAATCAGAGGACGAAGAACAGGAGGATGAACCGCCCGTTAAGAAATCTCGACCATCCGTGGATGCGGGAGACCAAGAGGAGGAAGACGAGGAGGAGGTGCAGCCCGTGAAGGGGAGGAAAAGCACCAAAGGGAGAGGAGTGAAGATGGAGGTCGAACAGGAGCCAAGAAGCCGTCGAAGCTCCAGCAGGCAGGCGGTGAATGTGTCATCGGGTAGCAGGTCGAGTGCAGCTGGCTCTGCCAGATCGAAAATCGCGCCTGTGGAGGAGTCGGCGGCCGAAGAAGACGAAGAGGAAGAGGAGGAGAAACCAAAGCCAGCTCGTCGTAGTCGTGCGTCTGCCAAGCCAGCAGCCCGAAAGTCTTCCAAAGCCAAACCTCTATCGGACGACAATGAGTCTGATGCAGCTGCTCCTGCATCCGACGAGGACGAGGACGAAAAGGTTAAACCCGCCCGCAAAGGACGCAAACCCAAGGCCGCTCCTGCAGCTCGCAAATCCCGCGCCCCAGCGAAGAAAGCACCCAAACCTGCCGTTGCAGACGATTCTGATGAAGACATTGAAGCACCCCCCTCCGCCCAACCTCGCCCAGCCCCAATGGACGTTGAAGCCCCCCCACCCTCCGCGCCACCGGAAGAAGAGGAAGAAAAGTCGCTGTTCGATCCGCCCCCTATGCCAGCGCTGTCCAGTCTCCCGACAACGATGCCCGAAGAGCCCTCTGGTCCCAAATCACGCCTCGTCATTCACAAAATGGCCCTTGTCAATTTTAAGAGTTATGCTGGACGACAGGAGATCGGACCATTTCACAAGGTAAGTAAGCACGCTTCAGTCCTCGAAATCTTGACTCATGAGGTTTGGTTTTGTAGTCGTTCTCGTCTATTGTCGGTCCAAATGGATCCGGGAAATCCAACACCATCGACGCGCTCCTGTTTGTTTTCGGATATCGCGCTTCGAAAATGCGACAAGCCAAAGTCTCTGAGCTCATCCATAATTCTGCGAGATATCCGGACCTTGAGGATTGTAGCGTTGAGGTTCACTTTCGCGAGATTCTTGACCTGGTGAGCCGTTCATTCAGCCTACATATGCGTGTAAAAGTTCATACTCTTTTCAGCCCGGTCCAGATGCGTTCAAAGTTATACCTGGTTCAAAACTCGTCGTTTCACGTCAAGCATACAAGAATAATCAAAGCAAGTATATGATCAATGGACGAACTAGCACATACTCTGAGGTTCAAACATTACTCAAAGGACGTGGGATCGATTTGGATCATAAACGATTCCTTATTCTTCAGGTATACCTTTACTCATCCGTCTCGTTATGAAGCTCGTCTCACGCGTTTTTGACAGGGTGAAGTCGAGTCCATCGCGCAGATGAAGCCCAAGGCGCCAACGGAGCATGAAGATGGGCTGCTCGAATATCTCGAAGACATCATTGGGACCTCCAAATACAAAGAACCCATCGACGAAGCCCTTGTGAAGATGGAGCAGCTGCAGGAAGAGCGGCAAGTCAAGCTGAACAGGCTTCGCCTCGTGGAGAAGGAGAAGAGTGCTTTGGAGGCGAAGAAACGCGAAGCTGAGGATTACTTGCGGTTGAAGAATGAGCATGTGCGAGCGTTGTCGAGGCTTTGGCAGTGGTATTTGTGGCAAGGGTTGATGCATGAGGAGCAGGCGCAGTTGGATGTCGTATGTGCATTTTCTTGCCTCTAGTGGGACAAAACGTTGAATGTTGTTTTTTCTCTACAGGAAAAGTACCAGAAGCTGCTGGCGGAGGAAACAGAGAAGAACAAGGATGATATTACCCATTTGGAGATGCTTCGGAAACATTTTGGGCAGCGTGAGGCTGCATACGCGGTAAATATCTTGGTTTCGACTACCTTCGACGTGTATTCACGATGAGACGCTTTTAGGAAGTGAACAAGGCTGCAGCAGCGGCTGTCAAGGAGCTCGCTGCGAATGAACGACAGGAAGTCTCGTTGACGGAACGGAGGAAACATGCGGCTGGAAGGGAAAAGAAGCTCAAGAAGTCGTTGCAGGAAGTGAGCCTTTTCGCGTTCATCAACATGGACGAAATTGATGGAATATGTATAGGACAAAACTGTGATGACGACGGCTCTACGTGCCGTTGAGGAAAGCGCTGACAAAATCAAGCGAAATAAGGTCAAAGTCGAGGAACACGAAGTATCACTTGTGGAGGAGGAGAAGATTCTGGAGGGTATCCGCGATAGTTTGAAAGGTAACTTACGTTCTTTCTTCATCTTTCCGATAGCTGATACGCTCTCTATCCTTCAGACAAGACTCAAGTCTTCCATGATCAAATCGAAGTCAAGCAGAAGGAGCTCCAGCCATGGACGGCTCAAATCAACTCGAAGAGGGCTGAGGTTGACGTTGCTACCAGCGAGCGCGATGCTCTTGCGAAGAAGGCTGCCGTTCTCAAGGCGTCCAGCGAAGAAGCCGAGGAAAATTTGAGGACGTTGCAGACCGATCAACAGAAAAACGTAGTTATCACTTGTTTCTTTTGCACAAGTACGTTGTCCTGACGAGGAGCAGCTTGATGTTCAGAACAGGCACAAGACTGAGAAGGCCAACCTTCAAAGGCAAACGCAGGAGGCTCAGAAGCGATTCGAGGTGAACATCCACGCAACTTTAAATCGTAATTCGCCAATGAGAATCTTTGCAGGATGCGCAAAAACAAGTCAACGAACTACGGAACAAGGCTAACGCCGCTCGCAACAAAGTTGAAGATGCCAAAGCCAGCCAGTCTCAAAACAGATCGCAGGGCGCTGTTCTTGACACTCTTTCCCAGTTGCAGAGATCGGGACGCATTCAAGGGTTTCATGTGCGGATGATTCCATTTTAAAGTCGAAAGTGACCAGCCTGACGAATTCCAGGGACGATTGGGAGCCTTGGGCACGATCCCAGACAAGTATGACGTGGCGATCTCTACCGCATGTGGTGGCGCCTTGAGCAACATGGTGGTGGACACCGTCAACCAGGGCCAGGATTGTATCGCGTATCTGCGAAAGAATAACATTGGACGCGCGTCCTTCATGATCCTTGAGAAACTCCCGAGCAACTCCCACACGGAGAAGGTCCAAACGCCAGAGAACGTACCCCGGTTGTTTGACCTCATCAAACCAAAGGAAGCGCGTTTTGCGCCTGCGTTCTACAAAGCTATTCGTGATACGTTGGTCGCGGACGACATGGAGCAGGCGAATCGGATTGCTTTTGGGGGTCAGAAGAGGTGGAGGGTCGTCACTCTTGCTGGTCAGGTCATCGAGACGTCTGGAGCCATGTCTGGTGGAGGTTCCCAGCCAATGCGAGGTGGCATGAGTTCGAAGCTTGCTGCTGACGCTGTGTCGCCGGCTGTGCTTCGTGAATACGAGAAGGACAGCGAGACGTCTGCGCAGCAGTTGCAGCAAGCTATGGAGGAGGCCCGGGCAGCCGAATCTGAGGCGGATCGTTTGTCGAGGTCGGGTCCAGAGATCGATATGGCGCTGCAGAAGTTGAACCTTGATATTGAGAATGGGAAGAAGCGTATCAGTGAAGCTGAGAAGCGGGTTCGCGACCTCAAGTTGGTCTTCATCACAGATGTCATAACCCAGCTAATCCATTTGTCAGAGTGCAGAGCAAACCCAACGCGGGTGATATCGCTCGGATCTCCGATTTGGAGAAAGAGATTGCATTATCCACCAAGGCGCTGGACCAACTTGAAGAAAAGTCCGGCAAGATCACGAAGGAGATCCAAAACCTCGAGAAGAAGATCCTGGAAATTGGCGGCTCCAAACTCCTGACACAGAAATCCAAAGTCGACGGCATCCGGCTGCACATCGGCTTGGCGAACGATGAGATCACGAAAGCTGAAGTGGCTAAGATGAAGGCTGAAAAGGATTCGGCGAAGTTGGAAACGACGATCGAAAACAATAAGAACGCAGTGGAGGAGGTCGTCAAGGAACTCGAGGATTTGGACAGTCAGCTCGAAACCTTGCAGGAGTACGTGACTGCGCTTAGGGAAAAGGTGGATTCGGCGAAAGCTGCTGCAGAGAACTCGAAAGAGGATCTAGACAATCTCAGAGCCGAACTGGACGAAAAGGAGGAGCAGATTTCTCAATTCAGACAGAAGGAGGTTCGTTGTTTCATTTTTCTTTCTCCCTTTTAGTAAACATGAGCCTGCGTTTTTAGGTGGAGTTGAAGCAAAAGTTGAACGATGCTGAGAAAGAGGCCAAAGAGAATTTGCGGCTTGTTGAGCATTGGCAAGATGAGCACGATAAGTTGAAGTTAGAGGAAATTGAGTACGTCTTTACCTCCGTGAGACGACTAGATCTGACATCGGATCTAGCGATAGCGACGATGAGGATGACGAAGACGAAAATGACGAAGAAGGCGGAGAACCACCGGCTGAGTCCCCTGCAGACCCCGACGCCATGGTCAAGGACGAGCCAGGGAACGAACCAGCGGCAGCGCCTGCTGCTCCTGAGAAGAAGCAGAAGGAGAAGAAGAAGAAACAAACCGAAGACCTAGAATTACATACCTACGAAGAAGACGAACTTAAACGTTTCAAACAACGGGAAATGGTTGCGGACGCGGAACTGCTAGATGGTGGGTCTTCCTTTCTTATAATCAACGGACAAATACACATTTATTGTTGACAACGACAGAGAAAATCAAGAACGCAAAGCCGGATCTGAGCGTTCTCCGGGAGTATAAGCAACGGAAAGCAGAGTACGAGAACCGGGAGAAAGACCTACAAGAAACAACTAGCCAGCGCGATGCGCAGAAGGCAACATACGATGGGCTGCGGAAGACGCGTCTGGATGAGTTCATGGCTGGGTTCAACTTGATCTCGTTGAAGTTGAAGGAGATGTACAAGGTGCGTACTTGGCACGGTCCATCTGACCCAAAGCTGAAGCAAATCACAGATGATCACGCTGGGCGGTAACGCAGAGCTAGAACTGGTGGACAGCCTTGACCCGTTTTCGGAGGGGATCATCTTCAGCGTGATGCCGCCTAAGAAGAGCTGGAAGAACATATCTAACCTCTCAGGTGGCGAGAAGACGTTGAGCTCGTTGGCTCTAGTCTTTGCGCTGCATGTTTTCAAGGTCTATCCCTTCACCTGCGCTTAACCACGTCAGTGCTAACGTGACTGATTAGCCCACTCCACTGTATTTCATGGACGAGATTGACGCGGCTCTCGACTTCCGGAACGTCTCCATTGTCGCGAATTACATCAAGGATCGGACTAAAAACGCACAGTTCATCATTATATCCTTGCGGAACGACATGTTTGAGCTCAGTCATAGGTTGATTGGGATTTACAAGACGGCGAATGCTACTCGAAGTAGGCTCCCTTGCCTCTGTCTTCCCTTCAAATTGATGCTAACACACGTCAAAACAGGTATCTCAATCGACAATCATGCACTGTTGACTGCCTTTCCCGCGCCGAATTCTAGCAGCATTGTTGCAGCTGCATAAGAGGGAACGGTTCATTCAAGGGCCATATACACACTACTTAAACCTGACGACTACCTGTATCTTGATTCTGTACACCCGTATCAACTTTCTTCTCTTGCTTTCTTTATTGACACCTCTGTCGTTAACACTGAATCTAAGTCCCACCACACACCCCCACCTATTGTAGCGAGCTCGTCTCAGCAGGCAATCCTCACGCCGTCATGCAAACGTTCAGGCTATGCTACACCAGATGCTGACTAGAGTTTGTTCAACGAAAATCTACGGCTGTGACTGAAAAGGGTCTAGTAGATCCCTCAGCAAATACTTGAACGCGAACGAAAATCCTTGTGTGGATAGTCACTTGATTATATTGCCATCATTTAAGTTACTGTTGCTGAATTCATTGGTACATTTTTTTTTGCAGAAACTACTGTGTAACTGTATCCGCCTCCCATAATAATCAAGAGAACGAAACCATCATCATCATGATCCCGGAGCGCTGGTCAACACCTCACTCAAGCAGTCCCCCAATGACTTCCCTCCCCACTCATACGAGAACTTGATTTGAGGTAGTGGTGGGCCGTTCCCGATGTAGTCGTTCGGTGATACATCTTGCGAGCACTCCACTTCCCGTTCCGACGGCCGATAGCCCACCGGCAACACTAGCCCCACCTCATCCAGACCTGACACAAACCACGGGTGAAGCAGTGCATCAGCGGCCTTGAGCCGCTTGGAAGAGGGGTAGACGAGGAAACGGGAGAGGAGGTCTAGGGGTTGAGATGCGGACGGAGAAGGTGGGGAGGACGAGGACGCAACAGACTGGGACGAGGCACCGGTCAAACATGTCTGAGGGAAGGTGGATGAAGACGAAGAGGTGGCGGGGGAGAGTGTACGTGTGGGTGAAGAAGCCAAAGGAGCAGGTGGTGCCAGATATTGAGGGGATGTGCTGGATAAAACCGGACGAGGGGGTAGATTGGGCAACAGCGTCGCTAACGAAACGGCCGGCACATCGTTGAAAACGACGGATTTAGAGCCTGGCAAATCTTCGAATTCCTATGGGTAAGAGGTGTCAGTCTATAAGTGTCGAAAACAGGGGACAAAGGAGAACGAAAAGCAGTGATAAAGTTCTACGAAAACAACGACGGCAGGCACGAAAAGCGACGACAGGAAAGAATACAAAAATGATCCACACTCGACAACATAAGCGGTACCAAAAGGAATAGAAAAAAAAAACACGAAAATCAGTACAAAAGGAAAACCAACTCACTGGCCAACTCTCCGCAGTAGGCGTCCCAAACACCTTAAAAATGCTCCACGCAAGCCCAATCTCTCCCCGATCTCCATTAAACAGTGTTTCCCTCGTCCATTGCGCGCCTGGGTATCCTACGCGGAGGTATTTAGGTATCAGGAAAGGTTTAATCTGCTTGGGTACGTCGCGGCTGCTTGTTGTTGGGGTGGTGGTTTCAGAGGTCCTCCGAGAGTCCGCAGACGACGTTCTCTGGCCTCTCCTCGTGTCTTCGTCGTCGCACGAGTGGGAGGAACAATTAGACGAAGAGCCGGAAGACAAATCGTCACTGATTAATCGGAGGGGCGTGAAGAACTCTGCGAAGGTCGCTCCGAAGCTCCATAGATCTAGTGCTTGAGGATCGTATGAGCGGGATGAAAAGAGGAGTTCGGGGGGTCTGTAGCCTCTGTTTGTGTGCGTCTCAGTAAGGTGTCAAAGGCGGAAGGTAGAAAAGGTACCTAGTGGACACTTCGAAATACAGATGACCTTCTTTTTCTGGGAACAGAGTCGGAGGGGAGGCGGATGATGGGGGTTGGTACGCAACGCCAAAATCGATGAGCTTGACACATCCTTCTTTGGTGAGCAAGATATTGTCTGGCTTTATATCCCGATGTGCGATCCTTCGAGATGGGTGGTGGAGATACGCTAACGCGTTTAAAACTTGATAGGCTATCGATTTGGCGAGGAGCGTGAAGCGGGCGGGTTCCCCTACCGCCCCTCCTCTGGAAGAGGTGTGATTGTTCTGTGGAGGTGGGTGTGGGGAGAACCATGGGGAAGCCAAGAGCTCTGAGAGAGAGATGGGTATGTATGGCATGTAGATGTTCAACGCGCCCAGATCTACGCGGTCATGATAGCTTCCTAAAACATCGATGATCTCCATTCTCGTGTCAGCCTAGATTCCAACTCGCCAAGGCTCGAAAGAAAGACATACATTTTCATGAGTCACTAAGCTAAGCACCTGTAATTCCTTTACGATGTCATGCGGTTCCCTAGCAAACTTCCTCTGCGTTGTTGCAGACTTGACCACTATCCATCGAGCGTGCTCAGGGGGGTCACCCGAGGCTGGTATCCACGTCCGAGCGACGGTGGATGCTGGGCCTTCTTCAATGACGTCGTAATGGACTTCTGGCTTGGAAGATTCAGAATTTTGGTGGATGAAGCATGGTAGAGGGGAAGCGTACCATCTGGTAGAAGCGCAGGCCTTGAGCGAGTTGGGTTTGGGTGTCCATTGCGGTGTGGTAGGAGATCAGGACATGGTGTGCGAGTATGGGTTTTTTGTTGTATATGAGCTGTGTAGGTACGATCAGAAATGTCACTAAGCCTCACACGACCAGTTATTCCAGAGTTATTCCAGGTCAAATATTAGGGTCTGTCCGGTAACGATTTTCATCTCATTTTCATCTTCATTTGATGGCTGACAAATTGGGTCACACACCAAATTGGGCAACAACGATAACTCTCCTTGCACAACCCACAGTCCGTTGTTATAGTTTCTATGTACAACACAGTAAGTATCCTACTGTCAGCTATAGTATGTATTTCTTTTCATTTTCTATTTCACAAAAATCATGCATCTTTATTTTATTCATGTAAATTACATACAACCAATCTTCATTTAAATTACCTACTTGTTGGTTTGGCACCCATAGGCTGCTGTGGAACCTATAGAAAAACCTATGGCATAGCTTGATGGGTAAGGAACAGGAAACTTTGTTATTTTTCCTTGAAACATTTCTGTAAGAAATCATTTTGGACAGCAACAGAAACCTGACTACATTCCAACTACATTTAATAAACATGTATATATGGGGAGCAAATAGATACATGGACACTTCAGCTGCTTTGGAGCCAATCCAGCATTGGGGGAGGGAGCAAGGAACAGGCAATGACAATTGAGTGAGTGCCGAGAAATTCATACTGCGCGGGAAGACCCCGGCATACTCCGGACATGCCATCAAATGAGGATGAAAATGAGATGAAAATGGATTCTCGTTACCGGACAGACCCTTATATTCATGTCATATGGACACCTCTACAAAGTCGACGTCCAAACATACGTGGTCAACCGATGATAAACGTTAACCGCCAGTTTTGACAACCTCTCAAACGTCAATCCTCTATGTGGTCCATAAGCACCCGCCAGAATACCCGGATCCACCATGAAGGGCAGGGACCACCAAAACCACAAGAGCACCCAAACGTACCCAACGATTCGCATCCACAATTTTGGTGTCGAAAGTGCTGCCTTTCGAGGGCTTGCCAAGCGCGATCCAGAAAGGCTGAACACATTGGAAACGATCGTCTCAACAGAGACAGCAAGGCCTTGAACGAGGAAAAATCGGAATGCTCCCAAACCCAATCTGCCGAGCATCATGTATTCGCCCCCAACGTGAACGAGACCTGAGATCAAAAACACGGTGTTGAGGAAGACAAGGGGGGTGTACTGCTTGTCTCTTGGACGGTGGAGGATTTTTGTGACCACAAAGATGGTGCATGATTTTAGTGGCTGGGAGGTATTGTCAGTATGAGTAAGGTAAGTGATGGCGTCGATGAAACTTACTCGACGCAACACCTGGTGCCATGTCCGCCTGGAAATGAGAGTTTCGGTCAGTGGAGCACATCTGGGGCTCGAACGTACGTACCCCCAGAACCTTTGCACGCTGTAAGCGTCAAACGGACTTCCAAACAGATCCGGCCACTCTTCTGGGCCAGAAATCCCAACACCTACACAAAAAGCAGCCAAAACACAATGTATCGTGTTAATTTGTGCAATGGCGTTGAGGGCGAACGCAAAAATGCCTGTAGTACGATAAAACCAACCCATGTCCCTCACGGATAAGGTGATACCCGACAACGCTGGGTTAGAGTTGATCATCACAGATGCGAAAGTGCCCGTCAGCGCGCTGGCGAGGGCACGGGTGATCCTTGACGAGACGAATACGAAGCGTGGTTTGGTTGACGGTTTCGGCAGAGTCCGCGGTTCAAATGACCACCCTATTCCGCGTGGAGTGGTGTAGAGGCTAATGGCACGACGGAAACGCTTCATCAATGGTATGTCCGCATCTGCGCCCTTCTTTCTTGGGGGCTGATCCTTCGGGTAGATGTCCCTCTGGACGTCGGTGATGAGGATGTAATCCACGGCTATCATGAGCTGGATCAAGATGGCAGTTCCAAGGCCTTGGTCAACGGTCACATCGCCCGTTGTTGTGTAGCACACAAGATAGCAGGAAGTGACGGCGATAGGGAGGAAGATTGACCAGCGGGTCCATATAGAAGTTTTACTCGAAAACACTGTAATAGATAGAACAAGTAGACACTGCGTAAGAGCGTGAAGATTCCAGGAGAAAGGGTGCCGTTTTGGCATGGCGGACGAAGAGAGGGAACACAACTGACCTAATTCACAGTTCGGCTCCTAAACATAGAAGGCTTCTTGACCTTGATGGGGATTTACGCGTTACATAACTTCGCCTTGGATGTCGGTGATATCGAGGGGCTTTGAGGGGACCATTTTACCATCAAAGTGTTGAAGACAAAGGCGGAAAAGAATAACGTACATTCTTGTGTCCCACCACACTACGGACCCTTCCTACCTGCTTAAAGAGCGTGTTTCGCATCGTTGCTGATTTGACGACTATCCAACGTGCGGGTTCCTAAGGTTTGGTCGAGGCGAGGGCCTAGGTCTGTGCGACATGAGCGATGCGGCCTTCTTCAATGGCTTCGTGGTCGACTTTAGATACCTGGAATTTTAGTTGATAGAGCGCGGGGGCAGAAAGTGCAAGCCCTAGTCGAGTTGTGTTTTGGTGTTCGTTCAAGGGATTACGCCATGGCATGGGTGACACATGACTTTTGTTTGGCAATAATTCCAAAGCCACACCGTAAACAACAAGCGCTTCTTCTTCCTCTTCTCGACTTCGACCTCGTCTACGATGTCAAACCAACCCAAAGATTCTTCATTGAACCCGCTGTCTAGTCTCAAGAAAGTGTTCGCAAGATTGCGCTCGCCGAAACCTCGATCCGCCAACGATAGTACTGGTGCAGCCCGCTCCAGTTCTGCTCCGCCCATCATGAGGATACCATCCTCCACCATCCACGCGCCGGATACGGGAAGGGCTGTCGCTGGTGAGATACCTGACAAACTCTTTGGCTATCAAGTCAATATTGGTCCTCATCCAATCAAACATTGTAGATGACCAGGCTGGACACCCTTCACATGAGACTGTCCAGCTCTTGCAACAGCCTTCCCCTGTCTTGATTGGTCTGTTCTGCTTAAAATTCTGCTTTCCGACGTTACTGATGGTTGCGACATAGGTCCTCCGAAATCTGACTCATGCACCTTGACTGCACCTCCATCCAACCTTCCCATTGCGGATCCAGGGTTGGAGTCAGCCAGTAAATTCTACAATAAATTCTTACAGTTTATATCAGATGCAAGCTCACCATGCAGATCATTCAACTATTACTGAAGTTGGTGTTATGAATAATTTTGAGAGGGTTGAATATGTAAATACTGGCAACAACCAAGGTATGTTTAATTTGGACAATCTCATGTTTGAAACATTCACCTGCATCTCATTAGGTGTTATTAATCAAGTCATGAATCAAGGTGTGTAATCAACACAACATTCTATTGACTTCAATAAATTGTTCAATAGTTGTGGATTTGGGTATTCAAATTACTCTACAAAGAATTGAGGATTAAAAACTTGGTATATATATATGTGCCAGTTCTAGTATCACTTCAACTAACCTCTCTGAATACTTCAGTCAGCAAGATTCATGCATGGCTTTCACCACCTGACAGTTCTAGCAATTACCATGCAGCACATACAATTTTGAAGAGTCAGCCAGACTCCTGCTCATGGTTTCTTGAAGGGAGGAGCTTTTCCAAGTGGCTGGCAGAGGCTGGCTTTCTTTGGATTAAAGGAAAATGTAAGTTATCTGTTGATGAATACAGTGTTAGGCTGCATATTTACCATGTGTCAAGCTGGATGTGGTAAAACCATTCTAAGGTAAATACTTTACTTACTCATTGTGCTAAGATGGGGCTAATTAAACCTTTTAATTAGCTCTTCCATCATCAATCACCTCTCCAAAACACAATCATCTTGTGCAACTGCTTATTTCTTTTTTGATGGCAGAGATTCTCAAAAGGAATTACAGCTGCATGATAAACTGATTTGATCACTTATTTGGCAATTCTGACTGAAATGTGGGAATGCTGTACCAGAGGTTTTGGCAGACTTGTATTCTTTCTGTGGCAATGGTTATCAGCAACCATCTCTTGATGATCTTCATGATGTTCTTGAAAATATTCTTGGTGGCTTTAACTCTGCATATATTGTTCTGGATGCTCTTGATGAATGCTCTGAAAGAGATAAAGTGCTTCACTGGGTTCAGACTGTTATCTTGGATATGAATAAAAATCTTAGGCTGCACTTGATCACTACTAGTAGGCCAGAAAAAGAAATCAATGATAAATTTAAGTCTTATCCCTGTATTGATCTGGTTGAGGCATCTGGAGACCATAATATTGTGGCCTATCTTGACTATCAGCTTCAGAATGACTCTGACTGGCATAAGTGGGGTCAAGAGATTCACTATGAAGTGAAGTCAACATTAATAAAGCAAGCAGATGGAATGTATGTTTTTAAACTACTAGTTGAATGACAGGGCAATTGCTAACTTCGAATCAAGGTTTCGATGGGTTGCATTGCAGGTAATGGACTTTAAGAAATGTTGAACCGAGAAGGCAATTAGAGAACAGTTAAACAATCTACCTAAAGGTCTGGATGAGACATATGATCGAATCTTGCTGGGGATTGATGAAACAGACTATGGCTATACCAAAACATTTTTATTGTGGCTGTGTTTTGCTGTTCATCCAATGACATTGAAGGAACTTGCTGCAACTGTAACTGTGGATCTGACAGCTAACAATGGACCACAATTTGAATCTAAAAATCAAATTCAAGATATCTCAGATGTCTTAATGATGTGCTCCAGTTTTGTTATTCAATCAGAATGTATGTTATTATATTTCACCAGATTGAAGTAAATACTAAACACCAAATAGATGAAATCAAGCTTGCACACTTCTCTATCAAAGAGTATCTCTTGTCTAAGTATCTTGAAGAACATCACAACAAGAAAATAAAAGCTTTCAGCTTGAGCCAAGAGCTGTCTCACTCTATGATATCTCAGACTTGTCTTGCCTACCTTCTGCAATTTAAAGGAACAAAGGGAGAAAAATATGCAGATTTTCCCCTTATGGTGTATGCAGCAGAAAACTGGATATTCCATGTACAATCTGGTAATGATAATAATTCTCAAGAATCTTCTCTATCAGAATTAATGATAAAGCTTCTGGCACCTGACAACCCTGCTTTTGATAATTGGGTTAGGATTTATGATCCACAGAATGCTTCTAAACACTTGCCACCACAGTATTATATATGCAAAGCTGGTTTGATCAAAGTTACACTTCGTCTGCTGAAAAATGGAATAGATGTGAAAAAATGGGTGAAGGGAAAGTATGGGCATGTGCTGCAGAGGGCATCATATAATGGTCATCAGGCAATTGCAAAGCTTTTGATAGAGAATGGGGCAGATGTGAATGCACAAGGAGGACACTATGGGCATGTGCTGCAGAGGGCATCATTTGAAGGGAATGAGGCAATTGCAAAGACTTTGATAGAGAATGGGGCAGATGTGAATGCACAAGGAGGACACTATGGAAATGCACTTCAGGAAGCATCATATGAAGGTTATGAGGCAATTGCAAAGCTTTTGATAGAGAATGGGGCAGATGTGAATGCACACAGAGGACAATATGGAAATGCACTTCAGGCAGCATCATATAAAGGTCATCAGGCAATTGCAAAGCTTTTGCTAGAGAATGGGGCAGATGTGAATGCACAAGGAGGACACTATGGAAATGCACTTCAGGCGGCATCATATAATGGTCATGAGGCAATTGCAAAGCTTTTGATAGAGAATGGGGCAGATGTGAATGCACAAGGAGGACACTATGGGCATGTGCTGCAGAGGGCATCATTTGAAGGGAATGAGGCAATTGCAAAGACTTTGATAGAGAATGGGGCAGATGTGAATGCACAAGGAGGACACTATGGAAATGCACTTCAGGAAGCATCATATGAAGGTTATGAGGCAATTGCAAAGCTTTTGATAGAGAATGGGGCAGATGTGAATGCACACAGAGGACAATATGGAAATGCACTTCAGGCAGCATCATATAAAGGTCATCAGGAAATTGCAAAGCTTTTGCTAGAGAATGGGGCAGATGTGAATGCACAAGGAGGAGAGTATGGAAATGCACTTCAGGCGGCATCATATTATGGTCATGAGGCAATTGCAAAGCTTTTGATAGAGAATGGGGCAGATGTGAATGCACAAGGAGGACACTATGGAAATGTGCTGCAGAGGGCATCATTTGAAGGGAATGAGGCAATTGCAAAGACTTTGATAGAGAATGGGGCAGATGTGAATGCACAAGGAGGACACTATGGAAATGCACTTCAGGAAGTATCATATGAAGGTTATGAGGCAATTGCAAAGCTTTTGATAGAGAATGGGGCAGATGTGAATGCACAAGAGGACTATATGGAAATGCGCTTCAGGCAGCATTAATTTGGGGTCATAACACAATTGCAAAGCTTTTGATTGAGAATGGGGCAGATGTGGATGCACAAGGAGAAGAGTATGGAAATACACTTCAGGTGGCATCATATAAAAGTTATGAGGCAATTGTGAAGCTTCCAATAGCAATTGAGGCAGAGGTAAAGGCCCAGGCAGAATAAATATGAAATCAAATCTTCCCTCAAACTCAGTTCTGTTGATGACTAAGTAAGTTTACCTAAAAATACCAGTTGTAACTAAACAAATGCAATGTCAATACATAAAATGGATCTGTGTTGATTGAATCCTAGTAACTGCCCTCAAACAATCTGTAGAAATGGGTTGATGGCTAGGTGACAGAGAGGCAAGCTCCCCCAGAATACTTACACTTACAGTTTTTTGCATAATGCTTTGCACAACTCATTTTTCAAAAACTTGTTTGGTTGTATTGGGTAGCATGATGAAAATCACAACTAGGCAACAGCACGGGTACTCCCATGGGTACCATCAAGCTCACCCATGCCCTCACCCACATGGGTGCCTACCCTCAAAGCTGCGGGTTTATTATGACAGGTTAGTACAGGTATCCTGAGTGGGATAGGTCAAAAAAAAAACAAGACTGATAAGTAGACTACACAGGGGTACCAGGCGTACATTTGCTCAACTACTACAAGCCACAATATGTCTTACCAAGAACTTTACCAAGTTTTTCCAGCTCAACCTCAATGTTGACATCATTGAGCACCATCATCATCCCTCACCAATCCTGCAAGACTCCAAGAACTGAGACAAAGGAGAGCACAGGTAGTTTGAGCAGAAAGACGACTCTGCATATGTGACAACAATAGACAGCCATGGCTAAAGAGCCGTTCCACATTGACGGATGTAGCTGAACAACAAATTTAGGTTATCAAATAGAATTTAAATTTACTAATCATACCAGGGATCAAAAGGTAATCCAATGCCATACAATGGAGTTGAGGATATAAGTGGTGTCCCTCATACCACCAGAGGAGAGGTTGTTTGATGGCTTCAGTCAGCGTGCTCAGATACATTTGATATTTGTCAGCGAAAGACTTCAATTTGGGAGTGCGTTTGTAAGCTGGGAGATTGTCAAATATGTTCTTAGGTTCATATTGATGCAGTTAGCTTGGTGATATCTGGTTTGATTTGTTCATTTTACTTACCTTGGCATCCTCCAAGACAGACTCCCCAGAGCTTGAACTGTTCTCATCATTGTCATCCTCGCCATCACCATCTTGTGCTTGGTTCTTGTACGTTTTCTCAAACTCTTCATGCATGAGTGTATCCATGGTTTTGATCCATTTGGTCAGCCAGCCAGCTCACTTGAAGTATTCGAGCTTGTGTTGAGGATGAAGAACTGAGATGGCTGTGGAGTTAGATGAGATTAATAAGTACAGTAAAACATAGACAGAGACTTACCCATCACAATTTGATAGACCTCAGACTCATCTGTCAATGAGTAGTACCAGTTAAGAGTCTTCTTGGCGAGTGTGAGGGTGTGTTGAATAGCTGGGTGGGTTTTGCTGTTGGCTTGGGTTTTCATGGTGAAATCCTTGTCAATGTGGTCCATAGCAGGGATCAAGTTGGCCAGGTTGGGAGATCCTTGTGAGAAAAACTCGGTCCCATCCTTAAGGATCTGAGGGATGAGAGAGATGTGGCAGATACATGAAGGGAGAACAAAGGGAGAACATCAAAGTGTGACTGTGATGAAACCTTATGTGCAATGTCGCCACCAACTCCTTCACAATCAACCACTCATTGTTGTTCAGTTCATATTTCCATAGGCTGTTGGCTAAATCTGTGGTAACCATCTTTATTGCATCCTTGTATTTCAAAGAAAACTGAAGCATATCATAGGTCAAATTCCAACATGTCTGAACATTGCGAGGCATGATCCTCACAGCACAGCTTAGCTCAACGAGGCATGCTTTCCAAGCTGGAAGAAGGATCATTATAGAATTCACAAGTGCAAAGGAGAGTTTATGGAGCTGGAATGACATCATTAACAAGGTATGTGCAGTTTTAAAAGTCTTACCTTTACAAGGACAGAGCTGACAGGGCGAATGTGCACTTGTCCTCAGAAAGCTCATCCACCTTGTCGACCCAACCATCATCATCATCATCATCCAGCACCTCCTTGTCCTCATTAGCCTCATCCTGTAGTTCTATGGTAAGTTCTTCCTCATCTAAACCCTTGGCTAGACCTAACAATTCTTCTTCCTCTGGCGACAGTTCATTGTTGATGCCATCCGTTTCTTTTCTAGGTGTCATGTCAAATCACCAGAGGAGCGACTTGGCGAAGAGATTGAGGATGTGAAGGAAACAATGTGTTGGATTGATAGTCAAATACGATGGCACTTTGTGGGCAAGGTACTTGCTAAGTGTATCATTGTTCATTGCATTGTCTGCCATCAAGCTGAGGATCTACAATATGATCAGTCTTCATGTAAGTGATATCTCAAAGCTCATTGGTACCTTGTGCTCAATCCTGAAAATTTCCAGGATCCCCCGGAACACGATCACCATGTTTAAGCCTGTGTGTGACTGCCAGAAGGTATTGTTAACATTCCACTCACTCAATCCATTTGACTAATTACCTTTGGTAGCTTGACAATGTCGAGGACAAGACAGATGGGTACACCTTTTACTTCCAGTTGGATGAGGAGCACCATGCAAGCCAAGTGATTAGGGGAGGTCCAGCATAGTGTTTGCAGGTCCAGTTGACTGGACTGAAAATATGACCGAAACCGAACTGAACACAACTGCAAAAGACCAGACCACCGGTTGCAGTTGCACTGACCTTGAAAATTTCCGGTTGCCAGTCCCAAGGTTTGGCAAAAAATGGAAAGACTGAAAAAAAACCAGTTCAAACCGGTTGCAACCGGTCTTTTACCTATGTATGAAATGACACGAGAGCTACATAAAAAATATACTATCAATGATGGTGAGTCTATGCGACGAGGATCTGACTGTGAGTGACGATCATAATACACTACCAAACATAGTGGAACTATAAAGGGCAAATTTACAAAAGATCAGCACAGCATGGCAAAAGCGGCAACTGCAAAAGGCAAAGGCAACGCGCATGCAAAGGCACCTACAAAAGCAGCACCAAAGAAAGCAGCTCCGAAAAAAACACCAGCCACACAACATAAGAAGACAGGTTCACAGAAGCGACCAGCCGAGAATGAATCCTCTGATGAATCTTCTGAAGAGTCGGATCATAGGCGACGTAAGAAGAAATGTGTGAGGCCGACAGAAGCTAGTGATGATGAGGTGGTTGATGCTGGTAATAAGGATGACAAAGAACCAGAGGTGATGGGTGGTGAGCCGGAAAGTGAGCACGAATCCCCAGATGACTCTGAGGTATGAACATGGCAGTCTCCTATACACAACATTAACATTTGAAAAGGGAGACAGGCTGCATGATCATCACCATATACCTGTCCCCTCGTTGGTACAGTGCAAGAAGGACTTGGCTAGGGATGTTCGGCTCGTCTTCACAGACACCATCAAGGTGACATTCATTCACAAGGACAACAGGGTGGAGACGCTAAGCAGGCGCTGGTGTAACATTTGCAAGTCATGATATGTGAAAAGAGAACAATTCTTACTTACTTTGGATAGGAACGACAATGATTTTGTGAAGTGGTGTGGAAAGCGAAAGGCATTCCACACTGGTAGCAACTCCTCCTGTCAGCAACATATTCGTCAGCATTACGACATGTATCAACAACGATGCAAAGAAGCAAATGTACCAGAACATCATTGGGCGATCCCTTGAACGGTTTGGAAGAGAATGGAAGAAGAGCGAATGGGGAAGGATGTGGGGTGACAAGGAACACTGGATGGGTTCGTCGGGAAGGAGGTTGCATCCATTGTATATACACGCGAAAACACCCTTCATGTGGTGACTCAGTTTATTGCAGTTGACGACCAGGTAAGTACTCACCAACATAAACATCTCTAGTATGCTCACCACCTGTGTTAGTCCCTTGCCATTGCAAACAAAACGGCGTTTCGAAACTGTTTGGTCGCAATGCAGCCAAAGTTGATGTTACAGGATCTGCCAACAACACATAACATATTCCAGATACTTTTGAGACTGACCAGTTTTCATTAGATGGCTCCTGGTCTAATCTCTACAACTGCAGATATGTGGAGTGCTGATACCATGAAGGCGGCTTTCCTAGGCGTCACTGTGCATTGGATTGATGTGAAGAGAAAGGAGGGTGAAGAGACATGGGAGATGCGCTCAGAGGTTATCGGCTTTCGATCAGTCTCAGGCGACCACAACAGGAAGAACTTGGGGTGATACTTCGTGGGTGTTTGTGATCGGATTGGGATAATGAATCTGGAAAGGTCTAAGGTACTGTCTATCTATCAATCAAATTCTGATATCGATGTCTGATTTATGAACGTATGAACAGCTCCACACTCTTACCCTGGACAACACCCACAAAATGTGAAACTATTGAAGCGACGCACACACAACGAAATCTTCCTCCGTGGTCTGCAGAGGAGAACCAACTTCCGTAAGTTTCACTATAACTTTCAACTGTTAGCCGCTAATAATGCATTATGTAGTTGTCTAGGTCATGTTGTCAACCTCGCAGAAGTTGACGTGATGACTCATATCACCAAGATCGCAGCTGTGGAAACAGCTACAGCTATCTGGGAATATGACCCATCACTGCCTGACAACCGCATGCTGAATGGTTCCTTGGATGTAACTGCGGCTATCCGGACTCTTGCTATCAAGGTTGGTCATGCCAATTCCCTGCTATCTCGATTCTAACTTGCCACAGATTCAATCATCCGGGCAGCGCATTGAAGCATTCGAGAAGCTACAAATTGAATGTGGCTTGAAAGACGCCCTCAAGATCCCCCTTCACAGCAACGTTTGATGGGGAACTGCCCATCGCATGCTCAGTGTCTCATACAAAATTTGTCAGGTACACTTATTTCTTATATCAATCCTCTTCTTTATCTAAACTAAAGGACTACTAGGCCATCATTTTGTTTATTGCAGGTGCTGACCATTGATACGGCCCTATCACAACTATCTGACATGATGGCAGAGTGAGGTCTTTACCCTCCCCCACATAATCCATATGGACTCCAGTGGACTCCAGTGGACTCCAATGGACTCCAGTGGATTCCAGTGGCCCTCTTACACTGCGGGCCCTGGCTTATATATCCATTGGGTATAATGTGAAAAAATGGGGTAGATATTAATAATAATGCTACCTTTTAACTACCGGAATTAGTTGAAAGATATTTAAAATCTTTTATTTCATTTTATCAATTTTTTTCCGTCGGAATTATTAAGAATTACGTGGGTGGATAAACTTCGAAGATATTGGAAGAAGATATTTCTACTAAAGGCAATCCATATCTGCACAGAGAATATGTGGAAGATGTGACACGAGGTGAAGAAACTTCCCAATATAGCAGTATTCTCGGATCTAATTAAACACCTGCTTGATAAGGCTACATTCGCTGGACGTCGGCACTTGCTTCCATCTACGACCTCGTCGCAGCATACAACAGTACATAACGGCAACCAACGCTCAGCGTTCAACGTTCAACATTCAAAATGGACACGGGAACGCGCCCAGCAAGGAGATCCGCAGTTTCACCCAACGTGAGGACCACATTCTCTCTTATGCAAATCTTCAGCTAACAAAGCCTGCTTCAAATTTCGTTCCACTACCTACAAAAAAACCCGACAGACAGACAGAAGGGCGAGCAAGGTAACGATAATGCGACACGAAGACTTTCAAAACCAACGCGTGAACGCCGCCGGAAGGGGGCGGGATAGTGGGCAACAAACAGATATGCTATGGACATCTGGCGTTTTGCGTTTACGAGCTAGGATAGGCTCGTGGTGAGTACTTACGTCGCATTGGATATCATGCACGAATCGCTAAATGAACTTCCAAAGGAATTCAAATCTTCTCGTATGATGTATCCATATTGCTGCGCTAATTGTCAGCTCCTACTCAGAAGATTTCAGCCACTTCCTTGCAGAATCCTCACTTGGAGCATGGTTGAAGGAGAGCGGCGTACCTGCCCTTTTCGGCATCGATACCCGTGCTCTCACCAAAAGGATCAGAGAGAAAGGGTCTCTGCTGGGAAAAGCCCTAGTTCGTGCTGAAGGAACGCGACTTAATTGTCCCCGCCCTTTAGACCTATTAAAACAAGCCCTTCCCTCGGTCCCATCCACTTCCTATCCTTGGCGAGAATAATATTTGGACATTCCCTTCAGCAACCCTAACGACCAAAATTTGGTTGCAGCAGTCTCTATTGCCGCCCCCAAGCTTTATAAAGCTCGACTTCATCCCCCCAGTCGTCCACTACGCGTACTTGTGATCGACGTTGGGATGAAACACAACCAAATTCGCTGCTTCGCTAAACGAGGTATTGAGCTCAAGGTTGTGCCATGCTCCCCACGCCCTTCTCCCTCTTCCCAGGCCCATACATTCCCCTCCAACCCCAACCACCGAAGGGCATAATAAGCCCCGGTAATCATCCACGAACGCCGTCCCCGCCCTTCCTAGCGACCACGCCCCCACAGACGGTCGAAGAGTCTAGGCGGTGTCCCCATTACAAAGGTCGCGAATTCGAGACTTGGGCTTCCTCATGACTTGGCGGCGGCAGTGTTCCCATATGCGGAAGCGGAAGTTGAGATGCAGGATTTATACAAAGGGAAAGGGAAAGGGAGAGATGCACCCTTGATTGACTTTTCCTCCAGCTCCAAAGGCGAAGAAGGGGAAGATGACGAGGATGTAGGTGTTTTCGGTCGGAGGAAGAATGGGAGGAGTGCAAGGAACTTGCTGGTTCCGGGTGGTCCGCCTGAGATTGGTCGTGATGCCGTTGGTCGATCTATCTGACACAACAGCACGTGCACAAGAGGTGGAGGGGGAGAGAGACGTGTTTGGGTTCAAGCACGCGCAAGGCGCTCTGATTTACAGGTATGAGGGGTGGGGACGCCGAGCTGCTTTCTCAAAATAAGCAGGACGTCGAGTTGCAATTGGTCACTCTCAAGCAGGACGTTGAGCTGCTTCCGTTCAATCGGAATGCTGCTTCTGCGCGCCATGCATCAGGAAATCCCGACAACAATGCACTCATCGACATCAACATCTCAATAACGGAAGAAAAGCTCGTAGACGTGGACTCTTCCTCTTCTCGGACCATCTCGCCTGTTATCTGTTGGTTCTAGTCGGGTGGTGTCAAGGGAGGCGTCGCCTGTCCCAGTCCCAGTGGTATTACAAACGGCGCCTGCTGTACTCGTTGAGCCTCTTGTGCATCTCCCAGTTGTGCAAAAGGCATTTGTGTCTGTGCCCATTGTACAAGTGCCTGTGCCCATCTTTGCACCCGTTTCTGTTTTGAATTTGGATGAAGCGGGTGAGAGCCAAGAGGAAGGGGAGGGAGAGGAGTTGGTGCATGTCGGTATGAAGATGCTGTGCATGTTGTCGTTCCTGCAAAGGGGAATGAGGTGGAGGCAGAGGAACAGGAAGAGGAAGAGGAAGAAGAGGGTGTGCTGGTGGTGGATTGGAGGTTTCGCTTCCCGAGGTTGTGGATGTCAGACTCTGAACCATACGCGGAATTTTCGTTTCCAATGGACCTGGCGACCCCGCCATGGTCAAAACCACCATCTCACGACTCGCCAAGGCCATGGAAGCAGGAGGTCTTCCCATCTTTGGCATCTGTTTAGGCCATCAGCTCATGGTGTTAGCTGCTGGCGCTACGACTTCAAAAATGAAATACGGCAATCGCGGCCACAACATCCGACGCTCTTTCCGGCAGGTGCTATATTACCAGCCAAAACCACGGTTTCCAGGTTGACACCGACTCTCTTCCTTGCGGCTGGAAGCCACTCTTTACAAACGCCAACGACCAGAGCAATGAGGGTATATATTGTGAAACCAAGCCCTTCTTCTCTGTTCAATTCCATCCTGAGTCAAATGCCGGTCCTCGTGATACCGAATTCCTTCAAGTTTTCGATGTTTTCATTCAGAACGTCAAGGACTGTGCTGCCACAGGGTCTACGGCACCCATCCGCAGCAAATGCCTGGGGGCAACAAGGAAGATAATGCGAGACGTGTTCCTGGTCAGCAAGGTCATCATCCTTGGCTCAGGCGGCTTGTTCATAGGTCAAGCAGGTGAATTCGACTACTCCGGTTCACAAGCTATCAAGGCACTCAAGGAGGAGGGAATTTACACTATATTATCGAGGTGAGCATAACATCAAAAAGGGCAGTCTTATTGCCGTCTAAACCCGATGAACTCTGTAGGTTAACGCTCGACTTTCCCGTTCGTCCGCCCTGGCCTCCAAAGCCACTGGATACCCCCTCGCCTTCATTGCTGCTAAGCTTGGCCTTGGGATCCCACTCAACAAGATGAAGAACTCTGTCACCAAAAAGTCACCAATGCCTGCTTTGAGCCAAGTTTGGACTACGTAGTCATCAAGATTCCTCGCTGGGATCTGAAAAAGTTCAATCGCGTCAGTCGTCTTCTGAGCAGCAGCGTGAAGAGTGTGGGCGAGGTTATAAGCATCGGCCACACATTTGAAGAAACGTTCCAAAAAGCGATTCAAGCGATCGATGATCAGTTTTCTGGATTTGCTAAAGTAAGCTTCTGTTCTGTACATCATATCGTTCTGATTCTTACCTCAGTGGCTTGGTTAGAATGATTTTGTGGAGAATATTGATGAGGAGCTCGTCAACCCTACGGATAAACGGGTCTTTGCTATATCAACTGCCTTCAATCGTGGTTATAGCGTCGACAAAATATGGCAGATGACGAACATCGATAAATGGTTCTTAGACAAGCTCCAAAACATCTTCAAGCTGGAACAATGTCTTTCGTGAGTCAACTGTGATCCTTGGTTTCTTCCTTTCTGATAGGTTAACCCATAGAACTTGCAACGCCTCGAATCTATCATCAGACCTACTTCGACAATCGAAGCAATACGGTTTCTCGGATCATCAAATTGCTACCTGCATCAGCTCGACTGAGCTTGCCGTTTGAAAACTCCATCAAGAAGCGGGAATCGCTCCATTTGTCAAACAAATTGATATTGTGGCCGCGGAATTCCCGGCCTTTACCAACTACTTATACACCACCTACAACGCGGTTGAGCATGATGTTGAGTTTCACGACAGGGGTGTCATGGTTCTAGTCTCAGGCGTCTATTGCATTGGCCCTTCTGTTGAATTTGATAGGTGCGCGGTCCGCGCCATCCACACCCTTCGTGATCAAGGCCTTCAAACTGTCATGATCAACTACAACCCCGAAACCGTCAGCACTGATTATGACGAGGCTGATAGGTTGTGCTTCGAGAACATTAGCTTGGAGACCATCCTCGACATTTACGACACAGAACAATCACGCGGTGTCATCCTGTCTATGGGTGGTCAAACGCTAAACAACATTGCTTTTTACATCGCCAGAATGTGAAGATTTATGGGACCTCACCCAAAATGATCGATACTGCCGAAAGTCGATTCCAGTTCTCTTGCCTCCTTGATGAAATCGGTGTTGACCAGCCTTTGTGGAAGGAGCTTACCAGTTTCGAGGATGCTTCTAGTTTCTGCCAGGCCGTTGGTTATCCTGTCCTTGTCCGCCCCTCCTACGTTCTCCCCTGAACGTTATGTCTACAAGTGATGATTTGGCGAACTACTTGACCCAAGCTGCTGAGGTATCGCGAGATCATCCTGTCGTCATCTCCAAGTACATCGAACAGGCCAAAGAGATTGAGATGGGCACCGTGGCGAAGGATGGAAAGATGGTTATGCACTATATCTCAGAGCATGTGGAAAATGCAGGGGTCCATTGGGGTGATGCCACGCTCATCCACCCTCCTCAGGACTTGGATCCACAGACTGTCCGCCAGATCAAG